AGGAGTAACTTAGGCTACTTTTATTTTAGAAAAAATCTCTAATAAACTTTTTCGTTAAATTCCACACGGACGAAGTCGCGGGTATAGCTAGTTATGAAATAATTTTGTAACATCCGTACGCCTAATTTTGATTTATTTACATAAGTGTAAATCTCTTTTAGTATTTTTCTTTATTTTTTTTGTTTCTTCACTCACTCTCTTTCTTAAGATTGCCTGGAAGATATTGCAATTTAAGATTCAAATAACAAAAAAGCGTAGAAATTACGTAAGTCGCAGCCTTAGGACTTAAAAAAAAAAATTATTTAAAAATGACAATATATTAAAATTACTTATTTCTAATTATAATAAAAAAGAGGTGACTCTATCGAGGCAAGAATAGAAGTGGCGGATGGAAGCTCGGTTCGGTTGCACTATTAGGCAACCGCGAAGTCACGTTGCCGGCGCTGGTGCACGTTCCGCTGCATCAGCGCTGGAGCATTGCGTTTGGTTAACACCAAAGTCCATGTAGAATCTAGGTCGCTCTTCATCAGCGATATTAAGGTGTCTATGTATTGTAACATAGAAAACACCCAGACCGATACAAACAACAATACTCATGAATACAAATGTTTGCATTGTGGAAATTTGGAGGAGGAATTGAACCCGCGACCATTCCGATAGTCCGATGGTGATGTAACTGTGAAATATATTTATTACAGAGTTCGGATATATCGAGCGCGGCGTACCTGTGTCCCTGGTACATGATGTCTCCGAAACTCCGGCGTGACCTTCTCATCGTGATGATTCGGTCTCGGCGCATTGCAAAGATCACGGCCGGAGGTTTCACGACACTCTCCTTAGACTCATTTATGGCGGTAAATATATAAACAACAAGCTGTGCCCGCGACTTCGTCCGCGTGGAATTTAACTTTATTTTTATAAAATAAATTAATTTTTCTAAAATAAAAGTAGCATAAGTTACTCCTTATTACATCAGCTACCTGCCAAAAATATTCCTGTCAAAATCGGTCCAGCCATTTCAGAGATTAGCAAGAACAAATAGACAGACAAAAATTGTAAAAAATATTATTTTGTGTATGTATTTATTATTATCTATTCATATGCATGTAGTAAAAAAAGGTTATTTCAATATTGCAAATTAGCAGATTAGCTGTTCTAGCGATTTTGCTTTTACAAAACGTTCATCCCTTATTTCACCCCTTGCAGTGTATTTTTTTGTGACAATATATAAACATATATAAGTATATCCTTACTAATATTATAATCGCGAAAGTGTGTGAGTATGGATAGATGGATGAATGGGTGTTAGTTGCACTTTCACGCAAAAACTACCAAACGGATTTTGATGAAACTTTACAATAATATAGTTTATACATAAGAATAACACATGCTATAAATTACATGTCTTCTTGGTCACTTAAATAAATACTTAATAATAACAAAGACTCTTCTTTTTCTTACAGATTATAAAAGCTTCGTATTCTTTGTTTACGCTCTTGAAACAAGTGGATGAGAAGAATTAACTCTGAAGACTGTCTCCGACCCCTGCATACAGACGATATAACGACACGTGTAAAATGGTATATATGGCCCGAATATTTTTACAATAAACCATTTATATTCTGTCTCTTGGCTGTATCATTACGAGCTCCCAGGTTCTCAACAAAGTAGGTTATAAACCTAACCCTAAAGGGGCATGTACATTTTTTTATTTGTTATATTTGGGTTATTGTTAGATGTTTGTAGCACCTGTAGCACTGCGATCAACATAGATCTATTGTGCTCGCCCTTTTTCAAAGTCCGCTACCTAGACCCGTCAGGGACAAGAATTGAAGGATATTCTTAGGAGCGATGGTTTTTATCTCCTCGGGAAAGAGTGTAAACTTTCCAAAGGAGATATTTCGTTTATGCATGAGTGGGCTACTACCACATAGGATGTGTAGCGGCGTTTCCTTTTCAGTTTGGCAGAATCTGCAGATTCTTGTTGTGCATAGGCCTAGTTTAGCCATATGCTTGTTTAATTTGCAGTGTTCTGTGTGGGCCCTAGTCATCGTGCATATGTTGTTTTTACTCAATAGCAGTAGTCATTGGCGTGTACATACACCTCCTTAAACTATAAAAATGTTCTACAATAACTAAACTGTAATTGTCCATAGGATAAGGCAACTAATAACAACTTTACACACTAGTCAAGATGCCTATGTGCATGCCGGCAACTCCTCACAACAAGTTGTTCTGTCCTCACTTACATTTCCATTTATTTTTCAAGTTGCCTTAGGTTATGTGCACTTCGTGGTCGATGGAAAATTTAAGAATTTTAAGCAACTACGACAATGACAAAGTTAACTGCACAAACTACATTGCTTCTCTTTTTGCAGCCAAGTCTGCTTTAGAACTTGTATTCCATTTTGTTTATTTATGTAAACTTTAATGCACATCACACATTTAACGTTAAACTTAAACTTAAGTTTAACGTTAAGTTTAACGTTAAATTTTACCTTTTTTTCGATGTGAACCCTAACACAATGACGATAACATAACGTCAAATTTAACATTTCGACATAACGGCGATTGTTACGTCAAAGGGCGTTCTTTACCATAACCATACATGGTAACATTTTCTAGAGGATATGACAGTGAAATTACAAGTTACGACTTAATTACATTTTATACATTTAAAGTGAAAATATTAATGAATTTGTTGTGTACAACACGATGGAGCTTCTAATAAAACCCAGATTTTATATATTTAAATATTTTAATTTCAACAACGTTTACAAATTAGGTTAGTACAAAGAGAACTCGATTACTGGCGAATGTCGATATAAGTAAAAAAAAGATGCATTAAAAGAAACAAGTATGTATGCAATGCGACTACTCAGTGCATCGGTGCTATTAAAATGTATCAGGCGTTTTAGGGCTGGACATCTTCCCGCCCGTTGACAGATAATTTCAACGTCGAAGTTCTTCAATAGTTGGCAACGGACAGATACGGACCAAGGGTCTGCGTACACATCCCTTGATGGTATTGATGTTAGCAACTCTGGAAATACATACGACGACGACGACGACGCACAAATTTGTACTCGAGTTTACCCAGGGTACAGTAGGTACGAAGCCGAGAGGATATCTGCGTCTCCGTAATAAAAGGGTGGGCTTGGCGGTTTCAAGGTGATGGTGGACTGCATTGATGTTTCCGTGAAGTCCCCTGATATTACAGAAATCCATATTAAAAGTGGACTGGGGTGCGGCTGATGCTGATGGTGCTACATTTCCTTCTTTGCTTCTGGTCATACTGAGTAATTTTTTTAAGGTTTAAGGAGAATGGTTGGGCTGGTATTAGATAGGACAAAAGGTGCATCAACGCACCCCAGCATTGTACAGGTTGGACGGAGCCGGGCGTATATTGTATATAGTCTTGTAAATAAACTCATATATTATTCTTACAAAGCAAGCCGATTGGTAACTGAAGTAATTTAAACTTAGGTATTCACTATGAAGATTTTACACATTATGTCACGGTAAAATTGCATCCGATTGAATAGAAACGATACAAACAAACCTATGAAATTAAGTTAGTATAATTCAAGTAATTTTTGATGATTGTAGCTATGAATTAACGGGTATCGAAGCACTATTATGTTGTATTATCTCCAGATAATTATGTAATTAGTTGATTTAATAACAGTTTATTGTGTTTGTGGAAAACAGAAATTGTTCAGAAAGCTTAGTTTTTCAACGTGCATGGTGTTTATTATAATTATATGTTATATGGGACATTAAACAATTATTTTAAATTAAAATCACAGAGGTTGAACACATTTTTTTTATAATCTTACTTGTGTGTAATGGCAGGGCAAAGGCATCTGTTTCATACTTTCAAAGTTTTTTATCTTGAACTTGGTCAAGTCATATCTTAATGCAATGTGGTTTATATTGTTGGTCGACCTTTCTCCGTTGATATCAGTGTCCAAATGTATATGTATATATAGTATAGATTTGCGTTTGTTTTGTATTTACATCAATGTCATCAAAATATAAGTATTTATATCTTCATACAATTTGTATTAAAAAAAATGAAGTTAAGGTTAGTTTAATTTTGTTGACTAGTAATTTATTTTTTAGTTTTTAATTATGTATTATGTAAACTACGATATTCATAATATTTACAGAAGAAACTAATAAAGTTACATCCCTTTTTTTGTATTCGCCATAATAATAATAATAATAATAATAATAATTATTATTATTACATTAACCAAGATGTTTTACATAGTTTTACATATCAACAATCGTATATTCTTATTTATATATTTCCTTAAGCCGGGGCTGGGATCTCCTTGTAAGCATAATTAAATACTTGTGATGGGAGATCACACTGTTCTAGGGTTATTTATTGTTATATTAAGAATTTGTTTCTACTGTAAATGACGTACACACGTCATATGTGTGTATGTATGTCTGTGTGTGTGGGTGTTGGGTGCGAATGTATGTATATTAAAATATTATAACCATTGTATATATATTACATTGTTTCGACTTGCTGCCCACCTTCATGAAAGAGGACTACTGGCCGAAAGGTGTGGTGTATCGGCGCTACCGTGGCAGACTGCCGTCTTCAGTGCAGTGATCACACAGACAATATCGTTGTATTGGTTTTTAAATATTATATTATATGTATGTTAGTCTATAAGGTATTTATAATATGGGCCTAGTTGCCTGAAATAAATAAATGAATAAATAAAATTGTGACTATATTCCTCAGGACTGCAATCCAATTGCACATGGACAATACTGTCATCTAGAACTGTACAAAATAGCTTCAATTTCGTCATAGTTTTTAGATTTTAGCCACTTTGTTAAAACTTCAGCTATAAGTAGTAGCCAAATGTTTCTTACAACTGTAACCGACCAAGAAAATGCTTGTAATAAAATAAATTCACCTCTAATATTATCATTTTAGTTATTCTCATCGAATAGACAAGTGTAAACTGTAAGAAATGGATATTAGAGTAAAGAATACAATTTTCTCACTCAGCATCTCACTAACTGCACTGAGATTGGTGGGGTTTTGGACACCAGAAGACTTGCAGGACAATCATAAGCTACTTTACAGAAGCTATGCATTTTTTTCGTTTATGCTTTATATTGGTAAGGAATCTATACTTTGTTCGCGTGAAGAATAGATATTCTGCGTCCTGAGAATAATAGAAAATACATCACAGAAGACCGAAGAGCTGGCAGCTACCTTGGACACAGAATTAGTCTAGCTATTCAAAGAGGGAACGCTGCCAGTATCTTCGGAACGTTGCCTAAAGGGACCCCTTTTAATAATGTATTTTAGTCATCATATTATATTTTTTTAAGCTTTTTAATTTTAGGTTCTTAGTTGTACAATTAGGTTATGTAAATACTAGTAATAAATTTAAATTAATAGAAAATACATAGATGAATAAAAGAAGCTATGTGATTGTACCTTTTAAATAGCTATGTCTTTCCATCCGAAATACTATGTATATACTAAATATTATTATTTTAAGTAGTGCCCTCTCTCTCTCCCCTTTTTTTCGTTTTGATGCCACTGAAAACCAGCAAAACTAGCGGTGATAAGATGAACATGAGGTCAGGTCAGTTAGCCCATCGTGACTCATTCACCAAGAATTTATAACGATTGTTAGAATTCACATCATTATTGTAGAAACAATCCGATATTTTAAAAATATATTAAAAGAAGGTAGTTTGGGTTTAGTTCTAATGTAGTACCCAATGTAAGGATTATTACGAATGTTGTAAATAGCGCCATCTAGTATTTATAGACCAACCTACTACACTGACTTTGGTCTATAAATACGGAGGTCGGTAGTTGAATAATCCTCTTTGGTTGGGTGAGCCGCGGCATTCAGTCGACCAGTGCAGAGCGTGCCGGTTGTGTTTTGGATACTAAAGTGAATTGTATTACAATGGGTTTATTCCGGTCTTAGTTGGGCCTGGGGGGAAGCTGCAAGTAGTGAAGGTGAGTCTTAATGCATTCTAAAAGGGCCTTTTAAACCTACACCTGTGTCACAAGTCACGGGCGCTACTTGGGGTTTCCCTTGCGATAGCCGACTTCAAAGCCTCAGTCGTCCATCATAATTAGTGCTTCTTAAACGATGGTTTCCAGAGTAAAACTGCGTGGAGGTCAACCTGACATGATGTATTGCTAGCAATAGGGTCATAACAACAATTCCTTTCCCCCCATGGATATCTGTTATTAATAGGGACTTAAAAAACTGCAATAACACCCAAGACGACCCAGGACAGACCGTACTGGAAAGATTGACGTCTGGTCAATCTTTCCAGTACGGTCTTTCCTGGCCAGGCAATAGAAAGAAAAGAAGAGTTACTATGTTATTATTTTTCAGGAATCTATACCATAACTCAGACTGTCGATCTGTTTATAATATGGGGGAACATTCCACTGATGACCGCTACTATGTTCCTGCTTGGCACGAGCTGTGCGCATGCAACCAAGTTTTTTAACTTATTTATAAGAGAGAATATGATAAAGACAATCGTTTACAGCTCTGATGAAGTACTACGCAGCGTTGAAGACAAAGACGGTAAAGCAATCATTAAAAGGTAAGTTTTAACGACTCGGGTTTATTATGGATTGTATATTTTATATTAATAAGTTTAATTCGAAGATAAAGATTACCAAACCGTTTATTAAAAGGTAAGAGATGCTTTCTCCTTTGATGCTCCTAATATAGGTAAAGAAGAAGTATAATATCTCTCCTTTATAACATTCTTTTTAACCCCGCCACTCCTGATTACCTTAAAAATTGCTTCCTATTTCTCAGTGAGAGTAGTTGTCATTCCTTGCGCAGCGTAAACAATCTCTGTCTTAGATTTCCCAATCACTCCACTTCATTCTATTCAAAATCATTTTCTGTCCAGGCTGTTAGTTTGTGGAACTCGCTTCCCGCTCCTATTCAGCGCGCTCAATCTCTTGCTAGCTTTAAAGCATCAGTAAAAACTCATTTCCTTTCCCTTTAGTTCTACTTTTCCCTTTTCTTATAGTCCCTTTCTTTCCTTCAAACTTTTCATGGATATGTGTATTATTAAGTTTATGTAGGTATGTACATATGTATGTCATGTATTATTTATACCCATCTTAGTTGTGTTGTCATTTGTACCACCTACTCTTTTTCTTATATTTTCACTGTCTACCTAAAGGCTGCCTGTAAGAGATTGCTTAGCGATAAGGTCGCCTTTTGTACTCGTCATTGTTATACATATTTTTATAGTAATTAATATTTACTGTAACTGGTGCAAAATGGTGTAAAAATAAAAAAAAATAAATAAATATAATTAATATAATAAGGTGTGCTTACATTATACTAACTGTGCCCGTGATTTCGTTTGCGTGGCAACATTTTTCACTGATGTTTCGCTTCTATCGGTCGTAATGTTATATAGCTTAAAGTCTTCCTCGACAAATGGATTATCCAACACAAAAATATTTTTTCAATTCGAATCAGTAGTTCCTGAGATTAGCGCGTTCATACAAATATATATCAGAATAACACATAGGCCACAAATTTACGGGTACAACTAGTTGTTGGTAATTTTCATATTGTTCTATAAAAGCTACAATCGTCAGACTAGGATGCAATTATTGAGTTACTACTTGACGCTTGACGTTGGTGACCATACTTGGGTTTATTTTTACGTATGATTATGAAATGATGCACCCGCCTGCTCTAACGGTTTACGCTGGCGGGGCACCAGTGGAGGATGACAAGATGAGCATGAGGTCAGGTCAGTTGACCCATCGTGACAAATTCACCAGAAATTTATCACGATGTGTTCCAGGGGGAACCGCGTGGAGGTCAACCTGACTGGGTACATTGCTAGTGTTAGATATATCAACTCTATGTACTAGTAAAAGTATGTATTATAATAAAATAACAACAATATAACATTAATTTAGCTATGTCTCTAACACAATTTACTTTAGCAATTAAAATACAACCAGCACATCTTGTGCACATAGACCGAATGTCGCGGCTTACAAAAACCCTTCCTATTATACAGAGAAGGTATGAGTGGGGGTTATATGCTACTAGTTTAACGATACCGAGTAACAATGAAACTACCTTCTTTTAATATAAAATATCAGATTTTTCGACAATATCGATGTGAATCCTAACACTAGCAATCAATCCCCTTCCCCCATCATACTTGGATTGACAATGAGCGCTGAACATGGCAGTCTAGTACAATTTAGTTTTGAGATGGCCTCAGTCTAAAGTCGTATCCGTCAGGCGGGAGTTAACCTTCAGCCGCTCCATAAGTCCTTCCGCGGGTTTGGAGTGCCATCTGCACTCGCCCCCTATCGTCCGGTGAAGCTGTAAAGGCCAGCTGCGGCCAACAGCATTAGAGCAGTCCGAAAAAAAAATCGCGGGTACAGCAGGTAATTGATAATTTGAAATTGCTCTGTTAAAGCTGCAATCGTCAGACCAGGATTCAGTTATTGGTCTACTACAGTTTGACGATGGTCACCATACTTGGGTTGACAATGAGCGCTGAACATGGCAGTCTACCCTTACGGTCGTGGTATGTATGAACCGTAATATATTTCACTATATTAAACACTTGGGGCAGTAAAGTCCTCGAGTGGCGACCACGGACCGGAAGACGCAGCGTGGGAAGACCTCCAGCAAGGTGGACGACGATCTGGTCAAGATCGCTGGAAGGCATTGGATGCGAGCAGCGCAGGACCGATCGTCGTGGAAATCTTTGGGGGAGGCCTATGTCCAGCAGTGGACGTCTTCAGGGCTGCGATGATGATGATGATGATATTAAACACTAATTGCAAACATACATACACACAAATAAATAAAATTAAGCTGTCTGTTTGTAATTTCAAAATTCACAACTTTTCACTAAATGCATATGAAAATATACACGGTACTTATTTAAAAAAAAATTGTATGTAAGTCTGTTTGTTCTTGCATGTATCTGAAACAGCTGCATCAATTTTGACGGGACTTTCAGTCATAGATAGCTAATGTAATAAGGAGCAACTTGGGTTACTTTATTTTTAGTTTTATACAACGATGGTGACAAACAAGCATAGGACTTATCTGTGACGGTAAACAGCGAGAATTGTACCCGCGACGTAGTAAAGCATTATGCTACGACTTGATCACTGAGGCCGTCAAGTTTAGTTAATTTTACGAAAATTTCTTCTTACTATATAATCTACCATGCAGTCGACTTTACTTTCATACTTGAACTTAGGGTTGAACAAAATCATAAATTATTCTCTATCAACAGGTATCCATATGACGTAACAAAGTCACCAGCTTACGAGTTGACCTTCGCGCTTCAAGTGTACACACTGTGTGTGGCAGCCCTACTCAACATCTCCAAGGATACTATGGCGACCACCTTGATAGCTCAGTGCCACTGTCGCTTGAAACTCATCGGACTGTCGCTGAAGACGTTATGCCACGACTTACATTTAGATAAAACGGTTAGTTTTTATATATTATTTATCGCGCGCATTAATGTATTTATATATACATTATTTCTGGAGAAAATCAGGATAAGCAGCGCCAACAAAATCCTTCTGAGAGAGATTCTGCCGCCATTGTCGCTAGCACACCGACTGCGTCAGTACAGCGGCGTGTGGCAAAAACAGCACTGAATATGACCCTATGTGTGTTGCCATTGGTAATCGCGACGATGATGGCTTCCTCGTGGTACAAAAGAAGAGGCGCATAAAGAGGGTCAATAGGAAACATTGTGGCACTGCACGCACTGAGTCCTTCCTGCTGCGTGCTGCTACACCGAATGCGGGATTGTACCTATCCCGACTATATTACGCCATTAAGGAGCAGGACATTATTACTGGTGCAATGACCTGTAACACTTCGACCTGTATAGATCTATTGTGCTCGCCCTTTTTCAAAGTTCGCTACCTAGACCCGTACGGGACAAGAATTGAAGGATATTCTTGGAAGCGATGATTTTTATCTCCACAGGATATAGTGTATACTTTCCAAAGGAGATATTTTGTTTATGCATAAAAGGGCTACAGCCACATAGGATGTGCAGTGGCGTTTTCTCTTCTTCGTGGCAAAATCTGCAGATTAATGTTAAGCTAACGCCTAATTTCGCCATGAGCTTATTCAGCCTGCAGTGTAAAAACCAAGTGTAACCTGACATTGATTTAATGTGTATAGTCAGCCTTGGTTTTTCTTTAATAAATAAATAAATAAATAACGCCTCATAAGTTGGCAGAAGTAGATCCTTGTTAGAAACTTCCCATAAAAATCTAAATATTATTATAAGTTTTCTAATTATTTTTACAGTATACCAGATGTGAAATAACTTCTTACAATTTACAAATTAAAACAGTTTGTAGTTTGAGTTTCGGTGTGTAGAATGGAATCGTTGAAGTCGGTTACGTCTCGTATTCAAAATAATTCGCATGTTTTTCTGTAGATGGTGAAATATCGTAAACAATCCGCGTCGTAGCACAGCTCGCAGTTCTACATAGTTCTCCTAGTGACCAATAGATGGCGTTATTAATAAAATTAACAGAATCTGTAATCTCACTGTAACTTAAATATTTAATTATTTATTTAATTGAATGTCCTTAGTTTTTAAATACAAATAGGAATAATCTAAATATAAGCACTTTTGAATACAGTCCTCGACTTACGTTATGCCGTAAGTACGAGGACTATCTGCAGTAATATTTTTTTTATTCTACCACTCTTTCGGAACGCACTCTCATCACAAGAAAAATGTACGAGAAAATTTTGTGTGTGTGTTCCATTTTTTATTAAATTTATAGAATTCAAAATTGAATTACAACAGTGATAGAATTTTTCGAAAGATTGCTGTGTTTCCAGAATTCATATTACTCTGTTTACACTTTTTTTTATATTAAGGGAAAGGAGCACTCGTCTGCGACTGCGGGGCACCGGTCGAGGATGTTAAGATGAGTATGAAGTCAAGTATCCATAAATTAACCATGATGGTTTACAGGGTCAACCGCGTGGAGTTCAATGATCTGGTTCTTACATTGCTCGTTAGTCCACATTATTAGCAACTAGCTATGCCAGCGACTTGGTCCGCCTGGGATAGACGTCCTCTATTTTATTTTACCCCCTAAGGGTAAAATCTTCACGAACTTTAAATATCTTAATTATTTATATTTAATCAATTTCCAAATAAACAAGTTTCAAGTGTCTATCTTTAAAAATGACGATACTTCCGTACAATTCTTCATCTACCCTTTCAACCCCTTACAACCCTTTTTTTCGCATTATAAAGTAGCCTATGTTCTTTCTCGGGGTCTAGACTACTTATGTTCCAAATTTCATTTCAATCGGTACAGTAGTTTCGGTGTGAAAGCGAGACAGATAGACAGAGTTACTTTCGAATTTATGATATTAGTAAGGAAGTAATGATTACCTACTGAGACGATACTTACCAGTAATGGAATCATCCACATTATAAACAATCGCTTTCCTTTATATTATTAGTAAATAACTGTTTAAAATTTTCATATATTTGTCGACAGGTCATGTTATCAGCAGGTCAGGAAGAATTGGTCCGAGCTCGTCTCCGCAACTGCGCGATAGAGCACCAGACTGTTTTGGAAACTGCCGTACTCTTACAGAATTGTTTCTCGGAGCCGACCTTCGCACAGTTCAACGTATCCCTCGTTATAATATGCGTGACAGCCTTCCAACTTGTGTCTGTATGTATATCATTCTTTTTTATTATATAATTGGCATGAGAAAGGAGGTGGTAAGTGGTAACCATCGCCTATACCTCCTTGAATAGATTATCATGTGGGAAAAGGGATTATAAGATAAGGGGGGGGGGGGGTGAAGGGGGTGCGGGGGGGGGGGGGGAAGGGATTGTCAGTAAGTAATGTGGATTAAAAAATATCTTTACTACAGATATAATTATTCTTCGTCTTCAAATTCATCTTCTAGTTATAATTCTACATACTGTGATATTATTCCCCTTAATGAGATTTTAAATGTTAATTTAGATAAAACAAATAAAAATTTTAATGTGGTGCATATTAATGCCCAAAGTATTCCGGCCCACTTTCCAGATTTTTTAACATCTTTCAATGTTGAGAATTTACACGCGATTTTGATATCAGAATCATGGCTAAAGCCGTGTCTCCCATCAGTGTCATACTCTTTACCCGGCTTTAATCTGATTCGTAATGATCGAATAAAGGGGGGTGGTGGAGGAGTTGCCATCTATCTTCATGCTCATTTATCCTATAATATTATCCTGTCCTCTGATATTTCCAATCCCTCCCTTGAACCAGAATTTCTTTTCATCAATGTTGATTTCTCACACTCTAAAACTCTTCTAGGTGTTTTCTATAGTCCCTCGTCCTCTATTGACTACTTCTCTTTTCTAGAAAACACTCTTGAAAGTCTAATCCCCTCCTTTAATCATACCATTATTATGGGTGATTTTAATACATGCCTCCTTAAAAATGACTACCGTTCAAACCGACTAAGGTGTCTTGCAAATTCATGTAATCTCAACATACTACCTCTACAGCCGACTCATTTCTTTCCTAACTGCAATCCTTCCCTTCTAGACCTTATGCTTGTCTCCTCTCGTGATCACGTGGCTAGACATGGTCAGTGTTCCGCTGAAGCTTTTTCCTACCATGACCTCATCTATATTTCCTATAAAATCCGTCCTCCTAAAGTTAGGCATAAATTCTTAATGCGGCGTAGTTTTGGTAACATTGATCAGGAAAGTTTGAGGAACGATGCAGCTGCAGTCGACTGGGTAGCAGTTCATAATACAAAATTGGTTGACGACCAAATTAAATTATTCAACTCTATTTTATTGGAACTATATGATCGGCATGCTCCCGTACGACCAGTACGAGTTAAGCATCTCCCTGCACCTTGGTTGACCGACGAGATCAAAACCCTTCAAATAAAAAAAAATAGAGCCAAAGCCAAATTTAGGTCAAACCCCGATAAATACCGAGAATATTACATTCGGGCAAGAAATCTCTGCAATAGAGCTTGTAGGAATGCTCAACATCGCCACATTCATAATTCTGTAGAGGATAGTGATCCGGCTAAGGTCTGGAGATTTCTTAGATCACTAGGAGTTGGAAAAACCCATAGTCCCGGACAGAATAACATAGACGTCGAAAGTCTTAACAAGCATTTCTGCTCTTCTGTTGTGTTTGACAACAACGATAAATTAAGCACACTAAATGTTCTTTCTACCTTCTCAACTCCTGACATATCTCCTTTTTCTTTCAGTCAATTTACCGATTGTGATGTTAAGAAGAATATACTTGCCATAACCACGAATGCCATGGGTAATGATAGTATTAGTCGTAATATGATCATTCCTAACCTTGACATTATCCTTCCTACTGTAACAATTATACTCAATAATTCTATTTCCTCTGCCATATTTCCTTCCACGTGGAAAGATGCACATATAATACCTCTCCCCAAAAATAAAAATCCTTTGACCTTTTCAGAATACCGACCCATCTCTATTCTACCATTCCTATCTAAGGTTTTAGAACGCCTTGTTCACAAACAGCTATATAATTTCCTTTCTGTGAACAATCTCCTTAATCCACTCCAGTCTGGTTTCCGTCCTGGTCATAGTACGACTACCGCTCTCATCAAGATCACCGATGATATTCGGCTTGGCATGGACAAATCGCAACTGACAGTGCTAACGCTATTAGATTTCAGTAATGCGTTCAATACTGTTGATTTCGACATTTTACTCAGTATACTTAGTTCTCTTAACATATCTTCAACGGTGATTGAATGGTTTCATACTTACCTGTATGGGCGCCGGCAGCGTATTCGTATCGAGGATATCTGTTCATCCTGGTGCACAACGACTGCGGGCGTACCTCAGGGTGGCGTTTTATCTCCTCTTCTCTTCGCATTGTTTATCAATTCTATCACACTTCATCTTCGTTCATCCTACCACCTCTATGCAGACGATTTACAAATTTATTCTCAAGGCACTTTGTCCAATATCAATGATACGATTCGTGATATTAATCTTGACCTTATCTATATCTCTGATTGGAGCAAAGCCTATGGCCTTATTATTAATCCAAAAAAAACACAATGTATCATAATGTAAGCCCATATTTTATGTCTAAATTAAATAAAACAAGTCTCCCGCCTATTACCTTCAATGGCCATGTCATTGAATTCAGTGCCCAGGTAAAAAACCTCGGTATTTATTTCGATGAAACATTATCATGGTCGCACCAAATTTCGCAATTAAGTCGTAAAATATTTGCGTCTCTCGGAAGCCTAAATAGATTGCGAAATTTCCTGCCAGTAGTTACCAAGACTGCGCTCGCACATTCGTTGTTACTCCCAATCCTAGATTATGCAGGTTCCTGCTATGTAAATCTTACTGAAGAACAATTGAATAAACTTGAGCGACTCCAAAACATTTGTATACGATTTATATTTGGTCTTCGTAAGTATGACCACATATCTCAATTTCGCAAACAACTCAAGTGGCTTCCCATTCGTCTTCGCAGGAACTACCATATTCTATCCCTCCTTTATACAATCCTCTCCCACCCTCATACTCCTCAATACTTAAAAAGGAACTTTCAGTTCCATTCTAAACACCCGGGTTCTGAATTACGCAGCACAAGAAGCCTCTGTCTTACCTTCCCACCTCATTCTTCTAAATATTACGCTGATTCTTTTACTGTACAAGCTATTCGTCTCTGGAACTCCTTACCACTTCCCATTCGATTAGCACAATCATATGCCATTTTTCAAAAATTATTAAAATCGCATTATCTCGCGTTCTCTCGTCCATTATTATGTAGTATATGTATGTATATTGTATGTATTGGTGTGTAAGTTTATTTATTTATGTTTATAAAATGTATGTCTATCTATAATTGTATAATAAATAGTTTAGTGCGCCTCCTACCTTCTCTCTTTACGTAAATACTCTCTGTTAGCACCGGGTTGTCTGTAAGAGATTGCTGATAGCGATAAGACCGCCTTTTGTAAAACATTTATTTTCATTGTTTTATATCTGTCCTATGTTTATGTATGCGCAATAAAGAGTTATTATTATTATTATTATATAAAGACATCCTATGCGCCACAAGTCTGGACATTTTAGTGAGCGTGACTACTCAAAACACCAGACCACGTCATAGCTACTCACAATTGCCATCTGATAGTTATAGTACTCACATTTTACATAAGAATGCATGCGGCAATCAATACAAAAACCGCTACGCTTTCATATTTGTAAAATAATTAAATCAAGAAAGCAATGAGATAATAGTTGTTATTATTTTTTACTTTCAGCAAACTGGAAACATAGTGAGATTGATGTCAATGGGGACCTACCTGGCGAACATGATGTTTCAGGTCTTCATCTATTGTTATCAGGGAAACCAGCTGTCACACGAAGTACAGTTACAATTTTAATCAAACAACAAATTCATTCATTATCAAATAATTTTCTAACATCCGTACGCCTAATTTTAATTTATATACATATTTTGATTTCTATTATACTAGCTACTCGGCCCGGCTTTGCGCGGGTGTACCTGTGTTATATATATAAACCTTCCTCTTGAATCACTATATATTAAAAAAAAACAGCTTCAAAATACGTTGCGTAGTTTAAAAGATTTAAGCATACATAGGGACAGACAGACAGCGACAGCGACTTTATTGTATACTATGTAATGATAACATACTTAAGTGTAAATCACTTTTAGTATTCTTTTTTTTTGTTTAACTTATTTTGCGCAATACATATAGACAATATTGCATGTAAATGTTCTTCACTAACACTTTTTCCTAAGATTGTCTGGAAGATATTACTATTAAAGATTCCAATAAGACAGCCTTATTTACCTATTTCTTTCTTCAATCTTTTGTTTATTAATGTTGGTACATTAAAGAATTATAACTGGACTCTCTCTGGACAATTAACACAGTGCCATCTAATCCCACGGTAAGAAAAGCTTGTGTTATAATTACTAGACACTGATATAAATATTTAACATTTTCTTAGGAAATACATACATAATATACATAGAAAACGCCCAGACCGACACAAACAGTAATACTCATGAATACAAATGTATGCGTTGTGCCGAATGCCGTTGGAATCGAACTAGCGACCATCGGAAGTAAAGCGGTGTGATAATCTAACTTTTTTTTAGACTACTCTAATGCTGCTGGCCGCAGCTGGCCTTTACAGCTTCGGATGACATGGAGCGGCTGAATGGGATAATGTAACTCGGAAATATATTTATTACAGAGTTCGGATATATCGAGCGCGGCGTACCTGTGTCCCTGGTACATGATGTCTCCGAAACTCCGGCGTGACCTTCTCATCGTGATGATTCGGTCTCGGCGCATTGCAAAGATCACGGCCGGAGGTTTCACGACACTCTCCTTAGACTCATTTATGGCGGTAATTATATAAATAAATAGCTGTGCCCGCGATTTCAAACGCGTGAAATTTATAGCCTATATGTTCTTCTGCTTCTAAAGCTAAGCAGTTAAACTTTTCTAGCCATATTTTGTTTTTTTTTTACTCTTGAGTTTCGTCTGCATCACACCCTTATTTCACCCTTTGTAATTTATTTTTTGTGATAAATGCACAAAAAGGTGATATTTGAGATCGAAGTTGGCAGTACAACAAAACGCCAATTTCGTATTCATTCATAATTTAAGAGCTGTGCTCTTGTCGGTGGAGCTCCCGCCAACTTCCACGATCTTTCATCAGTCCTTTTAGCTGTTGATACGACACGACTCCAACTTTTTCTTTAACTTGCTTGATATAGCTGTGTCTTGGTCTTCCCCTTCCTCTCTTTCCATCTATTTTTCCTTCAATAATGTTGGTAATTAGTTTGTCGTGTCGTATCAAGTGCCCCAACATTTTTCCCCGCCTATTCTCAATAATGTCTATGATCTGTCTCTTTTCTTTAATCCTCTCAAGCACTTCTTCATTCCTTATTTTATCTTTCCAGCTAATTCTTTCCATTCTTCTCCAAGACCACATTTCAAAGGCTTCCAGTTTGTCTCTTTCCTTTTGTGTCAATGTCCACGTCTCACAGGCATACAAGGCTATACTCCAGATGTAGGTCTTGATAAGTCGTTTCCGAGAGGACTTTGATATTATTATATTGTTTTTATCATTAAATACTCTTTTCGCTATAGCTATTCTAATAGTAATGTCCTTAGTACATCTGGAGTCACTGGTAATCCAACTACCTAAATATTTAAATGTGTCTACATTTTCAAATTGTATTTTTTTTATTCTTGTAGTATTTCTGTTATGGGGTTTATGTTTTGCTACTGTCATTATTTTAGTTTTTTTGGTATTAATATTTAGTCCATGTTTTAAAAATTTTATTCATTATTTCCAAAAGTGTATGAAGCTGTGTGTAGTCTTCAGCTAGGTAGCAATTTCGTATGTAAGGTTTTTTTTTAATTTGTTCTTGCGATGATATGTGCATAGTCCATTAAATATATGTATATCCTTACTAATATTATAATTCTGAAAGTTTGTATGTGTGAATCAATGGATACTTATTACTGTTTACAATAATATTGGCTATTCTACAGAATAACACATAAACTTATAAATTTCATACGTGTGAAACCGCAGGCACAGATAGTCGTAAATACAGTTTGTCTTGTTGGTCGCTTAAATATCATCATCTGCTTTTTCCTTATCCCATTTATTTGTTGTCGGCGTAATATGTTTTTCTCTTCCATTCATCCCTGTTCGCAGTCATCTCGTTATTTACTTCCTTTCTTACCATATCATCTTTCACACAGTCCATCCATCTCTTTTTCGGCCTTCCTCTGCCCTTATAACCATCCACATTAGGGGGAAAGGGGATCGTTAATACTGTAGACTGATGATCTTATTGCTAGCAATGTACCATGTCAGATTGACCTCCACGCGGTTCCCCCTGGAAACCATCTAGATAAATCTTGGTGAATTTATCACGATGGGCTAACTGTCCTGACCTCATCCTCATCTTATAATCCTCCACTGGTGCCCCGCCAGGGTAAACCGTTAGCGCAGGTGCGCCATTCCATTATCACCCATAAAAAAAACATCCACATTCATATGTAACACTTTCCTTAAAATATTATCTTCATTACTACACATTACCTGTCCATACCACTATAGACAATTACTCTTCATCTATACTCATATAAACATTGGTCGCTTAAATAAATATCTAATAATAACAAAGCCATTACGTTTCTTTTACAGATTATAAAAGCTTCTTATTCATTGTTTACTCTATTAAAACAAGTAGACGAGAAGAATTAATTCTGAAGACTGCATGCCAGCATACAAAACAATTTATTATGAAAATATACAATAACTCAACAAAATCGGTGCAATTTTGTCCATGGAATACGGGAACTAATATCAACGCTACATACTGGTTATTTAGTTAAACATGTTAGCTTTAGAATTACACGTAACTGAATAACTAGTATTTTGTCTATCTGTGCTTCTGTAGGTCATTCGTTTGAACAATGATCTGCTATGTGTTGGATTTTTCAGCCAGTACAAGAGTTTAAAAAGAGGCAAATATTCTCACCGTTGCTTCTCAATTTATATATTCAAATATTTCATTATTACATCATAATTCTTATATTATTATGTTCATAAAAATATTGACTTATTTCCAAAAAACAGTAATATTCATAATACTAGATTTAAAGACAAACTTGCTGTCCCCAAGTATCGTTTAGAAAAAGTCAATAGGTCTTTTATGGGAATAGGTATAAAATTTTACAATAAGATACCAATGGATATATTGGAATTACCCTTAAATAAATTCAAAACATCTGTTAAATCATATTTACTGAGCAAGGCTTATTACTCACTAAACGATTACTTGAATGACGAGCGTGAATGGCAATAGTTGTTCATGCACGGGATTTTCATTTAATGTTAGACATAGACACATATATAAATATATTTTGTAAATAAACTGGCTTTAAAAAAAGTAATTCAATTGAGTTTCTTGCCAGTTCTTCTCAATTGGATCTACATACCGAACTGGACGGTAGGGGAAAAATTAAATTATAATGTAAAAAATTTGACGTTCATAAACAGCTAAAATATCCTATATGAATAAATGATTTTTGAATTGAAATTATAATGAATTTTCAGAACATCGAAAAAAATACCGTTATAATAGAGTAGAGCGTAACTTAAATATTTAGTGTTGCCCTTGACTGAGGAGAGACGCATTAATTATGGTATGATAAATAATAATAAATCTCGGGACAATTCACACAGTGCCAACTACTCACAAGCTAAGCAGAGCTTGTGTTATGGGTACTAGACAACTGATACAAATACTCAGATATTTCTTTGTAAATACATACATAATATACATATATAACGTAATAAAAGCTAAATATAAAATATTGGGTATTACAGAATATTTATATTTTTTAATATTTATGTATTCCATTTCTTATTTCAAGAACAGTACTTATGTTTGTAATAAATGTTTGCATCGTGCGAGGAATCGTACCCGCGGCCATTGGACGTAATAATGCTAAACCGCTATCCTTATAAGGTTATTTATACATTTATAGTGTTTTATAGTATATACTAGCTGTCGCGCGCAACTTCATCTGCATCACACTTACTTGACATTTATAATTATATTTCGCCCAATTTACATAATATCTTTTTAAATTATAGCCTATATGTTATTCTGATATATAAGCTATAAAACTGAAAAGTTTCTTCTAAATCCGTTCAGTAGATTTTGCGCGAAAGTGTAATCCATCCATACATCCATACTCACAAACTTTCGCGTTTATAATATTAGTAAGATATGTTCCTTGAATTTACTAACTTTAATTGTATGTGTACATAAACAAAATATTTCTAATCACGGCCTACAGATAATAAAGTAAACATTGAGTACATTTGACGTCTATGGTAATGGGTTAATAACACATGTTACTGTTTGTAATATGTTTATAACTTTTAAATGTTAGTTATATAAGTAATTTCATATTGACAGGGATTCTCGTACAGAAGTTGGCAACAGTTTCTGCAATTTAAATAATAAATTAATAGATGAACTTCTTAACATGGATTCACCGTGCAGGGTCCATCGTGTGGCAGAGAAACTCCGAGCAGTTCTTGAGACTTGTGAGACCCGGGTGCAGGCTTAAGGGACTTCTTTGCCATACGTCAACACTCACCTTCACTGCTCGTGTTTATCTCCCTGCCTAGAGAAATCTACACAAATAACTGCCCACGTAAGAGGCAAAATGCCGATAATAGAGCCCAACTTACATTTACATTTATTAAACCAAATTAAAATATCTCTATTCATATAGGTTTACTGAAAATAAAGAAAGAAAATAGTTTATTTGGTAGATAACAATATTGCAATCACAGAGATAGCTTAAGCGTGTGTGTGTAGCACGTGATATAGTCTTATTAAATTTCATTTTAAGTGGTAAAAAAATGATAATTTTGTGCGGAGGTAATAAATGTTAAATAATAATGTGTAAGGAATAAATGTTTTTTACCACTGTTTGTAATTACAATTTAAAGGTTTGGGTTCTGACTTTAGATTGGTCAAACATTTAAGCAAAAGGTTGTCATCCAACCATCCATTCGTGGAGAAAACATGAAAATAAGGGTAGAAAATATCAATTTGTCACTTGCTGTGGCACTCACTGCATTGAGGCTGGTGGGTTTTTGGGCACCGGACAATTTGAAGGGAACCAAAAAATTCATTTATGATTGTTATGCAGTTTTATCCTTCCTATTTCTACAAGGTAAGATAATAAAGATTCAGAACAATTCATACAGCGCCATTTAGTCTCAAACTAATTACGTCGCGGGTTCGAATCCTCTCATGCTAAAAAATATTATATTCATAAGTATGACTGTTCGTATTGGTTGGAGTGTTTTCTATGTATATATTTTTTGCCATGGATGATAATAGAATGGTGCACCCATGGCGGGGAAGATTCAGGTCAGTAGCGCGGAAATCAACCTAACATTGCTACAAATCGGATCATCAGTCCACATTACTAACCTTTTCCCTAGTCCCTACCATTTCTAGGAATACTATATAAATACATTTATTTAAAACAAATGTATTTAAGTATTTACATAGTCGTCTAGTACACATAACACAAGCTCTGCTTAACTTAGAACTAGATGGCGCTGTATAAATTATTCTGGGGTTATTATTAAATTATTTAAGAGCTCCCGAATATCCTGTTTATATAATGTATACAATAAATTGCCAAACTGAAGAAGAAACGCCACTACACATCCTATGTGGTCGTAACCCACTCATACATAAACGAAATATCTCCTTTGGAAAGTTTACACTCCTAAGAATCTTTCCAAAGGAGATATTTCGTTTATGCTCCTAAGAATTTCCTTCAATTCTTGTCCCTGGAAAAGGGCGAGCACAATAGATCTATGTAGGTCGCAGTGCTACAGATGCTATCACGGACATCACGTCATCACGGACGCATGTTGTCAATCCAGAAGAATAAGAGATGCCATCAAGTAAATCCACTGCCATATATCCAAAACACATTTTACAAAGCAAGCTGCTTGAGAGCAATCCAAGCAAATGAGTTTATATAAAGTTTACATTAACAAAATCGCTCTTATGTTCACAGGCCTGTACCTCATCACGCAAATGGCTGATTTAGTAATAATATGGGGTGATATACCATTAATGACTGCGACGTCATACATTCTATTCACGAACATAGCACAAGCTACGAAATTTATAAATCTAGCGACAAAAAGCCGAACGATAAGGGAAATCGTTGATGATTGTGATCAAGTATTGGGAAGCGTTGAGACAGAAGAAGCTAAAATGATCGTTAAAAGGTAGTTAATTAAAGTTTCAATTACCTTTTTTTAAAAGATGTCGATAGGTCGTTTATGAGGGTGACAGTAGCACTTTTCACCAATTTCTGCCTGTTAACAAATTCTTCGAGTTTAAAAGGTATGGTTTGAATGTGATTTTTCAAGAAGGGTATATTAAGGCTTCTTAAGGGTCGGCAACGCGCAAGTGACACCCCTAGTGTTTCAGGCGTGCATAGGCTACAATAACCGTTTACCATCAACTAGGCTGTATGCTTCATTGCTACCGTAGTTGTATTAAAAAATAGATGTCATTCTTTTGTGTAACTTTTTTTGTCCAAGGTGCGACAAGGAGACCAGAATTCAGCTGGTGTCATTCTTCAGCCTGACCCTGTTCACCATTACAGGGTTTGCTGCCGGTGCCGAGCACGGCCATTTACCGCTTCGGGCTTGGTAATTAATTTTTCTAATAAGCCTGAACAATTTACTTTGCGCCAACTAGTCCCGATGCTAAGCAGTTCAATTTATCTAGCCATCTTTATTTTTTTTGTTGAATTTGATACTTGTTATTTATTACTAGCTGAAATGCGCTACTTCATCTGAATCACAGTTACTTGACATTTATAATTATATTTCGCCCAATTTTCATAATATTTTTTTAAAATTATAGTCTTTGTTTCAAATAATTTATTCTGATACGGAAGCTGTATTAGTATAAAGTTTCATTAAAATCTCAATAAGAACCTCAACGTTCAGAACTTTTTGCGGGAGAGAATTACAAACGTTCGTTCGTCCATTCATACTCATAAACTTTCGCGTTTATAATATTAGATTTTGAAAAGAATAAGACATGAGTTTCAGTTCTTCTCAGCTCGAAAGCACTCCAAACTGACAGTAGATTTGACATATCACAACAGTCTGTAATAGATCTACATGAATAAAGATATTTAGATTTGATTTTGATTCATTTTAGTATAATATTCTCAGGTATCCCTACGATACGGGTAAATCGCCAATGTACGAGATAACATTCGTACACCAGGTGTACGCATTATTCGTGGCAGCCTTCCTGAATGTGGCAAAGGATACAATGGTGACAACCCTGATAGCACAATGTCACTGTCGACTCAAACTGATTAGCTTATCACTGAGATCTTTGGGCAAAGATTTGGACATTGAGAATTTGGTGAGTGAGCTGCGTGCCATTTTGTATTACTGTGGCACAAACATGTAAGTTTACTCATATTGTATTGTATTGGTCCAAATATTATGATATTTTACTTGTAATTAAACGTATATGTGTGTCATCATCATCATCATCATCATCATCATCATCATCACCATCAGCTCACTGCAGTCCACCGCTAGACATAGGCCTCTCCCAAGGCACGCCACTGGGCACAATCTTCAGCCCTACTCTTCCAGTTACTACCCGTAACCCTATGTATTAGTCTAAATATTCTGTTATACTACTTGTAATTAAACGTATATTTGTGTCATTATCATCATCATCATCAGCTCACTGCAGTCCACTGCTGGACATAGGCTTCTCCCAAGGCACGCCACTGGGCACGATCTTCAGCCCTACTCTTCCAGTTACTAACCGCAACCCTAGTATTATCTAAATATTCTGTTACACTACTTGTAATTAAACGTATATGTGTGTGTCATCATCATCAGCTCACTGCAGTCCACTGCTGGACATAGGCTTCACCCAAGGCACGCCACTGGGCATGATCTTCAGCCCTTCTCTTCCAGTTACTACCCGCAGCCCTACGTATGTCGTCGCTCTGTATATTTTAGCAGATACAGTTCTTATTTATTTTTAAACTTTCCCGTTTAAGTGTATTATATTATTAACTAGGTTTTGCTCGCGCCTTCGCTCGCATTAATATATCCCCTTAGAGGTGGAATTTACCACCAAGGTGATAAAATAGGGGTAGAAATCTGTATGAAACTTTGTCAATTTTAAACCGATCGGGCTGAGACTTTGCATGCATAAAGCTACTATGACGTAGGCATCCTAATGAAGGATTTTGATAAATTCCACCCCTAAGGGGATAAATTAACGCGAGCGAAGCCGCGGGCAAAAGCTAGTCTACCATAAAATTATTCGTGTTAAAACACGTTTAAGTGTATTAATTAAAATTCTTATCTATCTATCTACTCATCAATTAAATCTTAATTTTATTACAGCATACTCTAAGTCCAAAATTGGAGAAAAAATTAAAGGCTCAACTTCATAAATGTGCGACGCAGCATCAGAGAGCTCTGCACGTAGCTCAGCAGCTACAGCAGTGCTTCTCAGCGCCGACCTTCGCTCAATTCAACGTATCTCGTATAATCATATGCGTCAGCGCCTTTCAAATTGTCGCCGTATGTATGCATTCTGTATTAATACACCGAAATTAGATCCACTTTACGATAAACTGTGTTGAAAAAATATTATTAAGTAGTTGTTGCCGCGACTTCGTCCACGTGGAATTTAACTTTGTTTTTTTAAAATAAAAGTAGCCTAAGTCACTCATTATTACATCAGCTACCTGCCAAGAAAAGTCCTGTCAAAATCGGTCCAGCCATTTCAGAGATTAGCCGGAACAAACAGACAGACAGACAGACAAAAATTGTAAAAAATGTAATTTTGGTGTATGTACCGTATTTATATTCATATGCATGTAGTAAAAAATGGTTATTTCAATATTACAAACAGACACCCCAAATTTATTTATATGTATAGATATGGTCATCGAAGACGTAGGTACATCGTAATGCTAAATACATTGAGGTACAAAGTACGGGCCAATTTCAATATTAAATTAATTTGGTGGAAACGGGTAGCGTGTTCTTCATCTCTATTATAAAGCATTACATATTTAAGATTTTGTATGAATACAAACTACATAAATAAATATAATAGCTACTTGAGTAACATATGAATTCATTGCTCTATTTGCAACTTTCAGCAAACTAAGCATATCGTGCGATTTGTTTCCATGGGAACTTATTTGGTGAACATGTGCTTTCAAGTGTTTTTATACTGTTACAATGGAAACCAACTTTCGGAGGAGGTTAGTGAATATTTTCTCTGTTATATAACACTAGCTGTGCCTGCGACTTTGTCCACGAGGAATTACCTTAATCAAATAAAAAAAAATATCTTACTTACCCAACAAAATCCAAAGAAAAAAGTTTGTTCATTCTTACTTTAAAAATAAAGTACTTTCGTACAACCTTTCATCTCCCCTTTCAACCCCTTACAATCCTTTTTGTTTATTTATATTTAGTCAACAACCCAAAAAGTATGTTTGAATCTTCTAGCTTTAAAAGGACGATCCGTACAAGCTTTCATCTCACTTGTCAACCCTTTAAAACACTTTTTTCGCAATCAAAAGTAGCCTATGTCCTTTATTAGGGTATAGACTATCTGTGTACCAAATTACACTTAAATCGGTTCAGTAGTTTTGGCGTGAAAATCAAATGTAAGTCTCAACATTGTTAATGCAGAGTTCCAATATATCAGTTGCTGTGTACTTGTCTCCCTGGTACAAGATGTCACCTTCACTGATATATTGGAGCTGTCTGCGTGTGTTAGATAAGTTTCAACATTGTTAATGCAGAGCTCCAATATATCAGTGGCTACGTACTTGTGTCCCTGGTACAAGTTGTCACCATCACTGATATATTGGAGCTGTGTGTGTATGTTACATAAGTTTCAACATTGTTAATGCAGAGCTCCAATATATCAGTGACTGCGTACTTGTGTCTCTGGTACAAGATATCACCATAACTGATATATTGGAGCTGTGTGTGTGTGTTACATAAGTCTCATATTGTTAACGCAGAGTTCCAATATATCAGTGGCTGCGTACTTATATCCCTGGTACAAGATGTCACCATCACTGATATATTGGAGTTATGTGTGTGTTACATAAGTTTCATATTGTTAACGCAGAGCTCCAATATATCAGTGGCTGCGTACTTGTGTCCCTGGTACAAGATATCTCCATCAACATCACTGATATATTGGATTTGTGTGTGTGTGTTACATAAGTCTCAACATTGGTAATGCAGAGCTCCAATATATCAGTGGCTGCGTACTTGTGTCCCTGGTACAAGATATCTCCATCAACATCACTGATATATTGGATTTGTGTGTGTGTGTTACATAAGTCTCAACATTGGTAATGCAGAGCTCCAATATATCAGTGGCTGCGTACTTGTGTCCCTGGTACAAGATGTCTCCATCACTGAGGCGCGATGTGACCATCATCATGGTTCGCTGCAGGCGAGTAGCACGCATAACTGCTGGAGGATTTACCACACTTTCTGTTGCTTCATTTACAACAGTGAGTAGAGGTGATCCACATTACTATGTGATTTTAGAGTATAATTAATCCTATACATTATAATAATAAGAAAATTCCTTTAAACTGATTAGGACGATTTTCATTAGACAGAATACATAAATTTCTTATGTACTTGACTTAGGGTAGTAAAAAGACTAAAAATAATAAATCTCTAGATAATTCGCACAACGTCATCTAGTTCCATGCTCAGTTGAGCTTATGTTATGGATACTAAACAACTGATATGAATACTTAGATATTTTTATTTGTAAATACATACATAATATTCATAGAAATCATCCAAAGCGATACAAACAATCATATCCATGAATGCAAATGTTTGCATCTTGCGAGGATTCGAAACCGCGACCTTCGGAGATAAAGCGGTGTGCTAATCCGCTGGTGTGCTAATCAGCCGTTAAAAGTAAACATTAAAGAGTATTCATTTCATTGCTTTCTTTGTTCACAGATCGTAAAAGCGTCTTATTCTTTATTCACGTTACTGAAGCAAGTGAATGATGACAATTGAAATAATATAATATATCATTATCTACTGGATACCGAATGCTTCTATACTTCAAAATAGTTTTTTCGACCTTCATTACCTGCCTTTACACGTACGCTCTTTTACGCACGAATCAGCTTTCACGCAGTAAAGAATGTGCATGTAAATGTAGACAAAGTGAATGACGATCGTGCATGGCAATAGTTGTTCATGCACGGGATTTTCATTTAATGTTAGACATAGACATAAATTGTAAATAAACTGGCCTTTTAAAAAAAAATATTCAATTGAGTTTCTTGCCAGTTCTTCTCAATTGGATCTATATACTGAACTGGACGGTAGGCAAAAATTATAATGTAAAAAATTTGACGTTCCTAAAATTTTCTACATGAATTTGATTTTTGAAATTGAATTTTAATTTGAGAACGATTGCGCGCGCCGACTGTGAGCGCATTCCCGCGTCTTTCAATCTTGCGTGCTTCAGCGCCATTTTGTAATAATAATTGTCATTGCAAAATGGCGGACATCGTACTATGGAGCAAAGACATAATAATAGACTTAGTTAATTTTAAACTTTCGTGTTTAATATACATTATTTAAATTATTAACCGAGTCTTAACACGAATAATTTTATGGTAAATAAAGGTATTTACCTCTCTCGACGTTTCGACTAGGTTGCACTAGCCGTGGTCACGAGCTGACTTATTTGCCATAAAATTATTCGTGTTAATACCCGGTTAATAATTTAAATAATAATATTAGACTTATTGATAATTATTAAATCTTAAACTTGTCTTTGGAAAAAGTCTTATGAAGATATTCAGTGGATTATATATAGCAGCAAATATAATTTACTCTAGTTTTGATCAGAGTTGCACGTTACATAGGTCTGTTACTTAGCAACAGGAATATTTATTTTAAATGTGATAGATTAGACTTTTTCTTCTAAAATCATGTACCTAATAAAGTCTGTGGTATAAATGTTAGCTTCAATACATAAAGAACACTCAGTTGACTAGTTTGTTACTTACATTTCAAATTTGGAACCATAGTGAGTCACGTGATGTTGGTGGCGTCACGAGTATGCTGCCACCAATAGTAGTAGATATAGAGAGGCCGGGAACAAGGAGGGAGCGGGCTGCTCTCTCTCTGTTCGCGACGACCGAGACGACCAGACGTGAATGTACAGCGACGCAATTTATGTGGAGTGTAATTTGAAAAAGGAATAAAATAAAATTACTGCTGCATCGACGTATCATTTCTGAAACTTACCAATACATAATATATGTACATAGAAAGCACCCAGACCATTACAAACAATCTAACTTATGAGTGCAAATGTTTGTACCGTACGAAGAATCGAACTGGCGACGAATCGATGGTCGCGGGTTCGATTCCTCGCACGAACCAGACGTGAATGTACAGCGACGCAATTTATGTGGAGTGTAATTTGAAAAAGGAATAAAATAAAAGTACTGCTGCATCGACATATCATTTCTGAAACTACCCAATATTAAAAACTTTTTTATTTAAATAAACATTATTTCTATTCTATAGAATTCAAAATTACTAGAAATACAGAACAATTAAAAATCTTTTTCTGACTGAAACTGATTGAAAATCTAGAAGGCATAACGTCCGTAATTACATGTTATTAATACCGTTTAATAGTTCAATATTATTTGTAACGTGTATCGAGATGTATGTTTATACATAATTATATGTTAGAGTTTCCACAGGTGACAATTTGACTAATAGCTTAATTGTTTCACGTGCTTGTAACTAGTGATGCAGAGTAGTCGATAGATTGTATCGATAAATCATTAATATTTATTGCTCTAACATTTATGTTTACAATATATAGATACTTACTTAACTATGAAAACTATCAATAACATTTATATTGTCAAAATATTTACAAAAAAAATAAATGTCTACATGTTATTAGTGTATATGTTATTCATAATTCTACTAATATTTTAAACGCGAAAGTCAGTGAGTATGGATGGATATTTGTTATTCTTTCACGCAAAAACTACTGAACGGATGTTGATGAAACTTTATAAATCAGAATAACACTTAGGCTAGAAATTACATGCGAGTAAAACCGCGGGCAGAGTTGGAACTAAATAATAAAGAAAATCATAATGTTAATAAGAACTTACTATATGTATGTTTCCCGGTGTCGATTGGATATATGAAAAGATTTCGACTACATTGTTGTCTTTTGCGATGTTTATTACGATTTAAATGTAATAAATAATAATCATGAACTTATAACACAGCGCCATCTAGTTCCAAAGTAAGGCAAGTATGTCCAGTCTACAGTACAAGCCACTGTAAGTACTCAAAGATATATTACATTTTATTGAAAAAACCTCAGATCTGTACAGAAAATTGAATTAAATGGACTCGACACAATCGACTATCGAGTCGATCCTTACGCATCACTATTGATAACATAAATACCTACAAAAGTAAATAGCAATCATGTGATGTAGATTGATAGAACGTGGATTGAAAACATTTTTATGTCATCACAAGATGTAGACAATCTAAACATTTTATATATACATATATACCTAATAGTTTATATGTACCTATGTATATTATGAACACTGGGACTGTATCTATACATATAATAAAATTGTAGAGGTTGAATGTCTGTACATAGAAAAAACCGAGTCAGGGGGATGTTAGAAGTGAAATAGAAATCATTTAGATTTTTTTCAAATTTATTATCTCTTATATGTTGGCTGTTTATACAGGCTAATTCCAGAAACTGTTTGATCGATTTAAATGAAATTTTGCATAGAGGTAGCTTACATCCCTGATCAACATCTTAGATACTTTTAATTACGAAAAATTAAAGAGTTCCAGTGGAATAGTTAAAAATCTATAGTACCTTATTTAGCTTAATACAAAACCTACTTATGTAAAGTCATTTGGACTTAAGGCAACGAGGGAGAACGACACGTTATTTATACATAAATAGATAAGAACGTAACTAAGAGTATTTATTTCTTATCCGCGGTTTCACCCACGTGAAATGTATAACTTATATGTTATTCTGATTTGAAGCTATATTACTGTAAAGTTTCATCAAAATCCGTTCAGTGGTTTTTACGTGAAAGAGTAACAAACATCCATCTATACTCACAACCTTTCGTGTTTATAATATTACTAGCTTTTACCCGCTCCTAGCGAAGCCGCTCGCTCGCATAACTTCATCACTGGCTGCTGGATAGCGTTGAAATAGAAAAAAGTTGATATTTTATTTTATTGTTTTTTATGAAAAATATTTGATTTTTAGATAAAAAGTATCTTGCGTTCATTCTAATACCTCCAAGAATATGTGTACAAAATTTCATGATTTTTGCGTGAAAGTAAGGATTAAGATTAAGATAAGATTGTCTTGACAAGACCTTTAGGAAGACGCTCAAAATACAAACCATATAATGGTAATTTAGGAATTACTATCAGTACAATATAAATAAAAACCTATGTATGTACACATGTTGCAAACCCCTGGATTATTCAAAATTAATAAAAATATAAAAGCTACTTTTTTCATCATTCAAAGCACAGAGAAGTTGGTAAAAAAAGAAGCAAGTATCCAGTAACGTAAAAGATATCATGGTTCTTGTAAAGAACACCAATTTGCCATTGAGATTGGCTCTGTCTCTTATGAAGTTGCTAGGATTCTGGTCACCACGTCATTTGCAGGGCACAAGAAGGTTTATACTGAAAGTTTATGTCATCATAATTTCAAATTTTTTAGTTGGTAAGTAATCATTGGTGAGAAATAATTACTAATATGAAATACTAATTAATAATTGGTAATAATGTGGATGGTTATAAAGGCAGAGGAAGGATGAACTAGAGATGGATGGACAGTTCAAATTCAAATAAAAAAATATGTTTATTCATGTAGGTATATATAATAGACACTTATCACAAGTCTAGTTATAATTAATCTACAGTGCATATACGAGATAGTGTAATAATTACTATTACTTAGAGAATAACTTATACATCCAGGAACAAATCTTAAGCCTAATCTTACATAACAAAGACAATCAACAAAACAAATAAAATAAACAATGAATTAAATTGTAGCAGACTGTGATTCATTGCATCCTGTTATATAATGCATTTTGGTGAATTCTAATGTAATAAAAATGAGTAACAAACATAATAATAATTAGTAATAAACATAATAATTTATTTATCTCATGATTATCATTTAATGATTGATATCTAGGATATACATAATGCAACACAACTTTTGGACAAAAGTTGTGTTTCATTACTGTGTGAAAGATGATATGGTAAGAAAGGGACTAAATAACGAGATGACTGCGAACGGGGATGAATGGTAAAGAAAAACATGTTACGGTGAGTGAAATGAAAGAGATAAGGAAGAAGCAGATGTTGAATTGGTAAGAAAATTACAAAATATGTAAGACGAACCTCTTACCATTCCATAGATTCACTATGCGGCTGCCGGGCCCATCGTGTGACAGAGAAGGAAACTCCGAGCATTTTTCCAAACATTCCCGGGTCTTGTAACCGGGTGTAGGTTCAAGGGGGCACTAGTGATAAAATAAATATACATTTTTTTATAGCACAAGGGTGAAACAAGCATGCGTCTGATATCTGTAAGTGATTACCAGCCGCCAACGAGCAACACCAGGGGAATTGCAAGTGCGTTGTCGGCCTTTGTTGTCCAAAAAGGAATAAGCTCTTTTCTTGAAGGTTTCAATATCGTATCGGTTCGGAAATACCATTGCTGGATGGAGTGTGTGGAATTCCACAATGTGGTTGTGCGTAGCCAAAAGTTTCTATGAAACTGCACTGTGGAGGATCGCCATTCATCCAGATGATCAGGATGGTATTTTAGTTTTTGACGGGTGGTATGGTGGTGAAACTCAGCAGCTGCGAATCCGAACAATTCCTCAGAACACTCCCCGTGATATATGCGGTAGAAAATGCACAGAGATGTTATATCTTGCTGTAGAGACAATGGGTCGAGACTATAACATTTCGTTTTATACAATTTTACGCACATACAGCAATTATAGCAAATTGATGTATTACATATAGCATTATATAAATGGTTTCTTGCATCTCAAAGAGTATAAAAAACGAGTATAATACATTTTGTCTCTTGCTTTTTCTCGCCTTTATTAATCGGAAGAAGCAGCGTGGGAACGCCTCCAGCACGGTGGACCGACGATGTGGTCAAGATAGCTAGAAGGCATTGGATGCGAGCAGCACAGCACCGATCGTCGTGGAGATCTTTGAGGAAGGCCTTTGTTCAGCAGTGGACCTCTTCCGGGCTAAGATGATGACGATTAATCTGTAGCGAAATTTATCTAAATTTTTAAATATTTACTGTCCAGGTTTCTACACCGTCACACAAACAATTGAATTGTTCCAAGTATGGGGAGATATATCTTTGATGACCAGCGCTGCATTTCTTCTCTTCACCAATATAGTTCTAGGGCTGAAACTTCTTAATGTGCTGTTAAGGAGAGATGATATACAGGCTATCGTGGATGAATCTGACATGGTGCTGAGAGCTGAAGACAGACATGAAGGGAGAATCATTGTTGATAGGTATAGTGTTTTTTAAATGGCAAACAATCTGACGGTTAGTATATAATAATAATAAAGCTGTACAAATCACACAGCGCCATCCCAAGCTAAGCTAAGCAGAACTTGTGTTGGGGTACTAAATAACTACTCATACTAATGAATACAATTGTTATTTGTTCTGGACAATTCAGACAACGCCATCTAGTCCCAAGCTATTACTTCTATAAAACACGCGAAGAACAGAAACAGGCTACTTCTTCCATCCTCCACGTTAGCACTACATTCAAGTGGTCCTCTGGTATCATCCATAAATATATTTATATATATTATATATATATACCACTTACCACTTTCTTTAAAAGAGGAAAAAATGATAAAATTTTTATAAGAAATTTTAAGACATTGTTGATTAAAATATGTTATTATACAATTTTAGAATAAAAAAATTAAATATTATACAAATTTAATAATTAAATATATACAATTTCAATTTATTAATTATCATTATTTTTTATTATTATTACTATTATATATTATATAAAAAATAACTCGTCCTCTCCTTGACTCTCTTCTCTTCCGCTTGCTGCCCAACAGGGTCCATAATTAACCAACTTTGAAATGTACCTGTCTTTCTATCTACTGTAAAATTATGGAATGCAATGCTTAAATAAATAAATAAAAGCTAAACAGAACTTGTGGGTATGAGACAACTGATATTAATACATTACTTACTTCTTTTGTGAATACATACGTAATATACATAGCAAACACTCAGACAAAAACAATCATACACATGAATACAAATACTTGTACCGTGTGTAGAATCCAATCCGCGACCATCGGAAGTAAGGCGATGTGCTAAATCGCTAAACCACTCGTCGTCACCCGTCGCGTCTTCGTTTGATACTTTGTGATTACTAAACTACTAAACAGCTAATATAGCTGTGCCCGCAGTTACATGAAATTAGTAGGCTATGTGGTATTCTGATGTATAAGCTATATAGCTTAGCATTCTTTACATAAATATTAATGTAAAGTTTCATCAAAATTTGTTCAGTAGATTTTGCCCGAAAGAGTAACAAAAGTCCATCTATCTATTTTCACAAACTTTTGGGTTTATAATATTAGTAAGATTGTATCAAGAAGTACACTGTCTTTAAAAACAGATGAGTTTGATGACAACACCAAATTTTTTTTGGATGATAATGGTAAATTTTTAGTTTATTTTAGACAGAAACCCTGAAAATATCATTATATGTATACTCAGAGATGTATTTTTCTTAAAATACTATACTGATAATCTGAATGATTGACGGTCCTCCACCGTGCGTTTTATCAGACTCTTTTTACTACGTTTAAAGCGTAGTAAAAAGTTTCTGGAAAAACGCACTTGGAGGTGTCTCTAATTTTTATGCAATAAGTATACATTGTTGGGCTTTTTTTATGGATGATAATGGAATGGTGCACCCGCCTGCGCTAACGGTTTACCCAGGCGGGACACAATTGAGGAAGATAAAATGATCATGAGGCCAGGCCAGTTAGCCCATCGTGACAAATTCACCAAGAATTTATAATGATGGTTCCCAGGGGGAACCGCGTGGAGGTCAATCTGTCATAGTTACTAACAATACCCTTTCCCCCTTGGCAACACCTATTAAAAAGTTAATAAATATTTTGTGTTACTAGCATTAACCGCGAATCCACTCGGCTCCTGGTCTCCTTTCTGTTCTTGTCTGGTGTGACGGTGATTGGCTGGGGTGTAAGTGCGGAGAAACATCAGCTACCACTGCAGGCCTGGTTAGTATATAAGGACTATATATTTATTTAGTTCTGCTCGTTCTTCTTGTGATTAGGTAGCTTTAAAAATAATATTTATTCAAATAAACTCAATACAAGCACTTTTGTATAGTCATATATTTGATTCTACCACTCTTTAGGAACGCAGATCACAAGAAGAACGAGCAAGAAACTTGTGTACTCTTTTGAAAATATGTTTTTTTTATATAACTAATTACAAAATAACAAGTAAAAGCATGCGATAATCAACATAGAAACCGTTATGCACTCATTCTTAGTGCAATCAGATAATATTGTCAGCGCTATGAATTTTAAGTTTTTCTACAAAAACATAACTCTTCAATTTTATAATATATTTTTTGTTTTTATTATTTATCTTTGCTCGTTCTTCTTGTGATGAGACAGCTTTTCGAATAGAGATAGAAATAATCTTCATTCAAATAAACTCAATACAAACACTATTGAATAGTCACACTTGTTTATTTTACGACTCATTCAGAATGCAGACTCATAACAAGAAGAATGAGATAGAGAATGACTGAATGAGCGGTAGATTGAAAGAAAAAGGAAGCGGAAGATTCTAAAGAGCGGAAATGTAAGTTTACTTGAAAAAAAATCAATTCTAGTTGTTGGGTGTAATGATACGATGTTGTTGGTCAAGACGATGTTTATTACAGATGATAATAAACTGACAATATGTACATATATAGAACTAATGATCTTATATACTAAATAACAATAGGAAAATGTAAGGTGGGGTGACACAGTTTAGACACGGCAGTGTTTAGTAGACAACATTGAATTTGTCTTACTAGACATTATTCAAATTCAAATTCAAATTCAAAAATCATTTATTCATGTAGGACATTTTAGCCGCTTATGAACGTCAAATTTTTACATTATAATTTTTTTTTTCCCTACCGTCCAGTTCGGTATATAGATCCAATTGAGAAGAACTGGCAAGAAACTCAAATGAATTACTTTTTTTTTTAAAGCCAGTTTATTTACAATGTATATTTATACAGGTGTCTATGTCTAACATTAAATGAAAATTCAGTGCATGAACAACTATTGCCATGCACACTCGTCATTCAAGTAATCGTTTAGTGAGTAATAGACTTTGCTCAGTAAATATGATTTAACAGATGTTTTGAATTTATTTAAGGGTAATTCCAACATATCCTTTGGTATCTTATTGTAAATTTTTATACCTATTCCCATAAAAGACCTATTAACTTTTTCTAAACGATACTTGGGGACAGCAAGTTTGTCTTTAAATCTTGTATTAATATTATGAATATTGCTGTTTTTTGGAAATAAGTCAAGATTTTTATGAACATATAGGATATTTGAATATATAAATTGAGAAGCAACGGTGAGAATATTTGCCTCTTTGAATTTCTCTCTTAATGAGTCACGACTCTTCATACAGTAGATCGCTCGAACGGCACGTTTTTGTAATATGAATATATTTTTAATATCAGCCGCTTTTCCCCATAGTAATATTCCATAAGAGAGTAAACTATGAAAATAACTAAAATAGACTAATCTAGCAGTATCAGTATCAGTGTACTGTCTAACCTTACGCACGGCAAAAGCTGCTGAACTTAGTTTCGCTGCAAGGCTTTGAATTTGTGCACCCCATTGTGTTTTATTATCTAGTGTGATTCCTAGAAAGACAGTAGATTCTATAAATTCGAGAGATTCGTCATTTAATTTAATATTGCAATTAGTATTAAAACTTTTAGCAGAGAGAAATTAACACATTTTGTTTTTTTAGCGTTTAACATAAGATTGTTAGTTGTAAACCAGTGCAGGAGACGCCGCAAAGCACTATTTACATCGTCATAATTATTAGTCATTCTATTAACTTTAAAAATCAATGAAGTATCGTCTGCAAATAATACTATGCCGCATTTATCCTGCATGGCATATGGGAGATCATTAATGTAAACTAGGAATAAAAAAGGACCGAGAATAGATCCTTGAGGTACACCCATTTGCACAAGTGACCCGTCAGACGTTGCGTTGCTAACCTTCACTTTCTGTATTCTATCAGATAGATAAGATTTTATTAAATTTAAAGCATGGTCTTTGACGCCATAAAAAGTAAGTTTTTTTAGCAATGTATTATGATCAACGCAATCAAAAGCCTTAGAAAGGTCACAAAAAACACCTATCGCATCCATTTTAGTTTCCCATGCAGCAAATACGTGTCTAAGCAACTCTGCACCTGCGTCTGTAGTTGAACGACCTTTCGAAAAACCGAATTGACTATTGTGGATTAAATTATTTAAATTGAAATAACTGACAAGCTGCATAAGGATTATTTTTTCAAAAATTTTACTATTAAATGCAATTATTATTTTGATATATATAGGTAACTGTGTCCAACACTAGTCTATTATTTTTCCTGGATTTCATTTGTAAATTATAAAGAACTATTCTAAAGAACTTAAATGTAAGTTCACTTAATAAAGGTAAAGGATAAAGGAATAAAAGGATAAAGAATTCTCAATTGTATTCTATTATCTTTTCTGGATTTCATTTTTCTTTACATGTGATGAAATTGTAAAGTCCTGACGCGGAAACTGTTTTCTTAAGAGCTATTCATAAATTACGGTACAGTAATTTTTAACCGTTCCCGCCCGACGTACATACGACGTCACAACTGGTTATAAATTAACAGTTAAAATTTCGTATCTTAATACAAAAATCTAAATAAGACCTCACAATCCAATACAAGGTGTATTACTCAATTTTGTTAGGGCTGGAGGGTTTTTAGACTTCATTATTATTATAGTTGGATTAAAAAACAAGCTTACAGCAGCTCCGACAGCTGGAGGGTTAGTAAATTTCATTATTTTTATACTTGGATTGCAGAACCAGTATGTGGTCGTCTTGCTAGCCTTAGAGAACTGCGGGTTTTTATATGCGTTAAATTTTCCACAGGTACCCATATGACAAGTATAAATCGCCGGCCTACGAGCTCACATATGCTTATCAGGTTAGATTTATTTAAATTATGAACTGGAAATGTAGATAAAGGGGCACAGGGAATTGGTTATGTATACTATTCCCATTGCCAGCAATGTACTTTGGCAGATTGACCTGCATGCGGTTCCCCTAGAAACTATCGTGATAAATTTCTAGTGAATTTGCTACAACGGGCCGACTAACCTGAACTTACATATATTAATAAGTGTTATAAAATAGTTTGCAATAGCTGCCTTTACACGTACGTTCTTTCACGCAAAAGGATCTTTCTTGCGTGACGCAAACATGCCAACGCACATTATTAATTTAAATTGATTAGGGGTAAAATTAATAACAGCCAGGTGTTGAGTTCTGTGGAGTTCTGTATTCCTGACAAATATGTATGGTGCCGCCGTAGACCACAGCTGCTGGCTGCGCCGCGCGGGGCCACACACTTACTAGGCAAAGCACCGGTCACAAGAGCCCTCAGTACATTAAACTATGTAACGGAGCAAATAGATCTATTTTCTTGTTCTTTGAATGAGTTCACGAAGATCGCTTTATTTATTGTAAGCTACAATTAATTAAAAAAAATAAAGTTTACTGCACTATTGTATTAGGCTAAGACCTGTAAAAATAGATAAATAACAAAAAATCTTTATATGCACTTTAATATAGAAAAAGAGAACGAGAGAAAGGCGCGTGGTCTCTCTAATGGAACACTAGGCAATAATGATGTTAGGAACAAAATTGATGTCTCACCTATTTCAGTCGCATTGCAGTTTGCTTCCTAATCTGTGTTTCAGTTGTAGACTGCAGCACTTTTTTTGTATGGACGACAATGACATGGTACACCCGCCTGCGCTAACTGTGTACGCTGTCTGGTGTACCAGTGGAGGTTGATAAGATGAGTATGAGGTCAGATCAGTTAGCCCCTCGTGTAATTAATTGGGATATGGAACATGTAATGTTATTACCTTTAGAAAGTTTAAAAATAAGTATAAAATTTATTTTCTCTAGGTCGTTGCTGTCAATATTTCTGCGGCATTGAATGTTAGTCTGGATACATTGGTGACGTCTTCTATAGCCCAATGCCGTTGCAGATTGAGACTTCTGGGGCTGTCTTTGAAGACGCTGTGTCAGGACACAATCCTCACTGGACGGGTATGTTGTAATTTTTATATTTTAACTATTTTAACATAAATTTACAACGTTAAAACTATTTGAAAGTTGTTGGACTAGATATAATTTTTAATAAACTTTATTTAAGTTATATATATTTTTTAGTAGTATGAATAGTTCAAACTTATCAGATTTATACTTTGTTTCTTAGTACTGTATTTGATTTATTATTTTTTTTAAATGAATTAATATATATTTTACACTAGTAATCTTAATTAGCCCTATTTATATTGTTTTCTTAATCAGATGTCATTAAATTTGATACTAATACTGTAGACTAATATTGTATTATAAATATTTTTTCTCCAGTGGTCTTTGACATCAAAAGAAGAGAAGAATATCACACGTCGTCTGCACGACTGCATAGCTGAGCATCAGGCAGTTCTCAACACAGTAGTCAGAATACAGGAGACGTTTTCAGAACCATTGTTTGCTCAATTCACAGTTTCCATATTCATAATATGCGTCACAGCTTATCAATTAGTCTTTGTAAGTATTTGTGAAGTTTCTTTTACACCGCAAGACTTTTTTAAATGTTACAATAAAGGTAGGGTATCATTATCACCGGCTTCTTCCTTATCCCATTTATCTGAGCGTAATATATTTTTCTCTTGTACCCACACAGTTAGCAATAAAGATATATTCTATTCTATTCTATTCTTCCATTCATCCCTATTCTCAGTCATCTCGTTATTTACTCCCCTTTCTTACCATATCATATCTTTCACATATTCATATGTAACACCTTCCTTAAAATATTAACTTCATTCCTGCGCATTACATGCCTACACCATGACAGATGATTACTCTTCAACCTCTTCAACACCGGCGTCAATTTCACTTCCTTTAATGGTGGTGTGGCAAAAATAGAAAAGATAAAGAAGGAATACTTCTTTATATTTTCTATTTTTGCCACACCACACAACTTTCTCAAGTCGTCTTTCATCCATTAGGGCATATAGGCTCTATAAAAAAGAAGCACTAGAAGTAGTCTGAAGTCTGTATGTTTTTCCATGTATAAATAGGTATTATTTACAAAAAAATATATCTATGGGTTTATAACAGTTCTCTAGAACCCAAACTACAAGCTCTGCTTACCTTGGGAGTGGCGTGACATGGCGCTGTGTAAATTGTTCTGAGATATTATTATTATTATTATAATATGATTTTACAGGAGACAAAAGGTACATTACGGATTATTGCGATGCTGGCGTATCTGTTAGTGATGATGCTGCAAGTGTTCCTATTCTGTTACCAAGGGAACGAGCTCAGTGAGGAGGTACGTAATATTGTTTGTATCGGTCTATATCTTCTATTACGTATATGACCGGTGTAAAACAACTATACGACTATTTAGTAAAAAACAGTAATAATTTACGTGTACGAGTTATTGTAATTTTATTTTATATGTATACTAGCTTTTGCCCGCGGATTCGCTCGTGTTAATTTATCCCCTTAGGGGTGGAATTTATCATAATCCTTTCATAGAGGATGCCTACGTCGTAATAGCTTTATGCATGTAAAGTCTCAGCCCGATCGGTTTAAAATTGACAAAGTTTCATATAAACTTTCATCCCCTATTTTATCCCTTTGGGGGTAGAATTAATCAAAATCCTTTCTTAGCGGATGCCTACGTCATAACATCTACCTGCATGCCAAATTTCGGCCCGATCCGTCCAGTGGTTTGGGCTGTGCGTTGATAGATCACTATGTCAGTCACCTTTGAGTTATATATATTTAGATAGGTAAAAATAAATTATAGAAAATACTTGGAGTATGGAGATATATGTATATTAGAAATGGTTGTCAAGATATTGAAGTATAAACAGTCAAGGATGATATGAGTATGGGATCAGGTCAATTTGCCCATCATGATTAAACAACCAGGAATTAACCACGATTGTTTCCATGGGGTACCGCTTGGATGTCGAATTGCCAAGAATGTACCATGTCGACCAGGTCCCATTAATAACTGACGACCTCGGTGGTCTAGCGGTCTAGCTTTACGATCGATGGTCACGGGTTCGATTCCTCGCACGGCACAAACATTTGTATTCATGAATATGATTGTTTTTATCGGCCTGGGTATTTTCTATGTATAATATGTATGTATTTACGAAAAACAAACATCTATGTATTTGTATCAGTTATCTATCCCCCAGAGTTGTGTGAATTGTAGATAATATTAATATATTTTGAAATAAAAAACTTACCAGTACCAGTTCTTCTTAAATGATGTAGCTAACCGAACGGCACGGATAGTGATAAAAATATGATCTGCACAAAATAGATAGATAAGAATTTCTATTTGCAAGAGATCAAATGGACGTATTTTCTAAGTCTGGTTCTGGTCCTAAGATTTTGAATCAGGCCGTTAACTAGTTTGTTTCAAACAAATGAAATATTATCATCAACATCTGCTTCTTCCTTCTTCCCATTGATTTGTGGTCATCAAAGCGTCGTATACATTTTTTACAGTCCTGCAACAAGTGGGTTGTAGAAAATGAATTGGGGAGCATGTTTAGATGTTATTAGGAATGAAGTTAAACAAAATATTTATTTATTCCTTGGTTAAATTATTAAGGAATAAATAAATATTTGTTTAGTTTTATAATGAATTAAATAATGAATATTTATATTGTTTACAATTAATAATTTTATGGTAAATAAACGTATTTGCTTCAGTCATCATCTGCTTCTTCCTTCCTTCTTCTCATTTATTTGTGGTCGGCTTACCTCTTTGTGTATTTATCACAAAAATTAAATTGCAAAGGGTGAAATAAGGGACGAAAGTTTGTAAAAGCGGAATTGATAGAACAAGTAATCATTACATAGTATAAAACAAAGTCGCGGTCGCTGTCTATCCGTCTCTAACGCTCATTTTGAAGCGGTATTTTTTAATAGATAGAATGATTCAAAAGGAAAGTTTATACGTATAATACATGTACACCCGTGCGAAGCCGAGTAGCTAGTGTTTATTATAAATAAAATATTAATATTAGATTGCAAAGACTAGAGACAAATAATATTAATCTATTCTCAATTTGATAACAGATTTTAAAAAATAGTTTACCAGTGAAAGATCGTAAACTAATATGTTTTAGAGTACTAATGTAACAATAGCTGTATACACCTGCCCATGGTACGCGTGCTCGGCCACAGTGCGACGTTACCTCCTCATAGTGATGACCCGGTCGGTGCGAGTAGCCCGGGTGACAGCTGGTGGCATCACCACCCTGTCACTTGCCGCGTTTATGTCTGTGAGTATATATTTATATTTTTTTTTTAAATTGAGAATCTTTTGTTGTACTCAATGCTTTAGCGTTTGCGCCTGTGGTTTATAATTTATTATGATTTAGCAAGTTTTGATATATATCAGAATATAATTATTGAAATATATACAATTATTTATATAACAAAACATAAGCCAAAATTATAAAAATACGAAGACAATCAAAACAATATAAAACAGAAATAAAAGAACAAAACAAAACGACAATAGAGGTAAAACGAAACAAATAAAAGATTAAACAAAATAACAAAACGGAAAGCAAAATAAAGACGTTGGTGGTTTGGATGACGATGGTATGGATATGATGATGGTATGAGAATGTTGATGATGGAGGTATGGGAATGTTGGTGATGATGATTATGTCTGATTAAAATGTTTGAGATTGTGTATTTATTTATAATTGCCCATGTATATACATAAATTTACATATAATAAATCAACAATACACATGGACTCTGTTTAAATGGTAATAGGTATAAAAATTTACAATAAAATACCAAAGGACATGTTGGAATTACCCTTAAATAAGTTCAAAACATCTGTCAAATCATATTTTCTGAGCAAAGCCTATTACTCACTAAACGATTACTTGAATGACGAGTGTGCATGGCAATAGTTGTTCATGCACTGAATTTTCATTTAATGTTAGACATAGACATCTATATAAAAATACATTGTAAATAAACTGGCTTTAAAAAAAAAAAGTAATTCAATTGAGTTTCTTGCCAGTTCTTCTCAATTGGATCTATATACCGAACTGGACGGTAGCGAAAAAAAATAAAATTAGAATGTAAAAATTTGACGTTCATAAGCGGCTAAAATGTCCTACATGAATAAATGATTTTTGAATTTGAATAAAGCGTATGGCAATTTCGCAGATGACTCATTCCCGAAATGAAATTTAAAATTTAAATCTGTTGTAGTCTCCACTTAGCTGCTATAGTACGTCTGTTAAAACTGTTAAACTATTTATATTTCTTATAACATATTCTATTATTCTAATAGAAATAGTTATACACCCCAATGCTAACAATCCTCTTCCTACATTGATACGACTTTAGTCTGAGGGCACCGTACTGCACGAACCTCGGCTCAGGCCGTCGTAAATTCGATCGCCGTTGGAATTGGACGGGGGATCCAAATACGGTTACAAGATGGTTACCGTAGTATAGATTACAATATTTAATTTAATTTATTTTAAACTAGCTGTTCTAGCGACTTAGTCCGCGTGGAATTTAATTATATTTTTATAAAATAAAAGAATTTTTCTAAAATAAAAGTAGTCTAAGTTACGCCTTATTACATCAGCTACCTGCCAGAAAAAGTCCCGTCAAAATCGGTTCAGCCATTTCAGAGATTAGCTGGTACAAACAGACAGACAGACAAAAATTGTAAAAAATGTTATTTCGGTGTATGTACCGTATTTATATTCATATGCATGTAGTAAAAAACGGTTATTTCAATATTACAAAAGACACTCCAATTTTATTTATATGTATAGATTACTAAAATTACTTAATTAATTTAAATTACTAAAATTATTTAAAACTATTCTCAATTACAGATCATCAAAGCATCGTATACATTTTTTACAGTCCTGCAACAAGTAGGTGGTAGAAAATGAATTGGGGAGCGGATTTGGATGTTATTAGGAATGAAGTTAAATAAAATATTTATTTGTTCCTTGGTTACGTTATTAAGGAATAAATAAATATTTGTTTAGTTTTATAATGAATTAAATAACGAATATTTATATTGTTTACCACTAATCTTTTTATGGTAAATATTTACCTCTCTCGCGCGTTTCGACTAGATTGTACTACCTGTGGTCACGAGGTCAACTATGATAGTCAACCTAGTCGAAACCATAAATTTACCATAAAATTATTCATGTTAAAACCTGGTTAAGAATATAAATGAAGAATTAAACTCGAAAGTTTAAAATTAACTAAGTTTATTTAAGTTTAATAATTTATATTTTGTTGTAGTCGTAATAATAATCTAAAATCAATGATAATTTCTTTAGTGTCTTTATTAATAATAATAATAACAATGACTTTGAACAATTAGAATAAAAAATACACCGTGGTAAATGATGTTAATGACAATTTTATAAATATAAATATATATTTAATATTGTGTAAAATTCATAGATATCAGTAATTTTGTATTTGTTTGTTTACCTAGAAATTAAATAATAAGTTTTTATATCGTTGTTTTCTTCACCGGAGAGTCATATAGGTCAATCTACCTACATTGAATACGAGTATAATATATATAAATAAATGTAATATAATAAAAATAATATATATATACTCAATGGTTTTTTTATACTTTTTAATTTAATTTATAAGAAAGAAAGAAAAGTTATGTATTTGGCGCATACAAAACATTCATACAACATATTAAAAAAATATATAATTATTTAAAAAAACACAGCTGCAACCAAATTGGTTTCCACTCAGCTTTGTTTGTCTAGGTTGTAATGCCCAAATGCTGATTTTCAGTGGAGCGTTTTATTAATTGATTAAATATTATATAATTTAATAAAATACATAAATATTAAATTTAATTATAATATTTACATAATTTGAAAATAGAAAATATATTTAATAATATATTTTAGTCATCATATTATATATATATTTTTTAAACTTTTTAATTTTAAGTTCTTAGTTCTTAGTTGTACAATTAGGTTATATAAATACTAGTAATATATTTTAAAATATATATTTGTATTTAACATATATATCAGCAAATAAAATAATTAATACTATGTACCGTATATAAAATAGAAATATATTTTTGACAATAACTTCTTTTTATTTATAAAGATGCGACATGTACATATCGCTGGGCGCGTCCTACACGCCGGAAATGTGTGAACACGTCATGTATGACTCATGTTCGAGAATCTGTATTACACAACTCATATCATTTAACATCATGATGTATGTATGAGAGTGATAATGTTCCGAAATTGATGTAGAAGATAAAGCCATGTAAAATACAACAAATAGATTATCTTTTCTGTTTTATTTTTTATATAATATTAGTATAATAATAATAATAATTAGTATGACCCGTAAATCTATAAACCGTTGAAATTCAAGAATATAAAATGTATGAATAAAAAAAATAATAGTAATAATCTAGGACAATTCACACAACGCCATCTAGTGCTAAGGTAAGTAAAGCTTGTGTTATGAGTACTACGTAAATATAGAAAATATACAGAACAATACAAGCGATCATCCTTATGATCAAATGTTTATACCGTACAAGGAATCAAAGCTGCGACCATCGGCAGTAAGGCGGTGTGCTAAATGGCTAGACCATCAAATCAAACTGTATACATATATATACGGACAATCCAATACATCACTATACCCCTCTCCGATCGATCCCCCATCCATCCCCCTCCGATCGATCCCCCGTCCATCCCCCTCCGATCGATCCCCCGTCATTGGACGTCATTTGAATTGTCAAACGGGGATCAAAATTACGACGGCCTGAGCCGAGGTTGAACTCCTAGCGGTGCCCTCAGACTAAATTCGTATCCGTCAGGCGGGAGATGGCCTTCAGCCGCTCCATAAGTCCTTCCGCGGGTTTGAAGTGCCGTCTACAATCGCCCTCTATCGTCCGGTGAAGCTGTAAAGGCCAGCTGCGGCCAACAACATTAGAGTAGTAAAAAAACATCTCTATGACTGTCCTTACTAAAATATATAGACATACATGCTTCTAAATTAACATAATGCATGCAAATTACTATACGCGGGGATAAACCGTGTTTTTACACACAATAGACGTTACACGAGCAATATATAAATAGTCTGAGTTCTCTGTTATATGCCTAACACTAGTAACTCGCACCGACTTTGCTCCAAACTTTGTTAGTTTCAATTATAAGTATGAACATTATTAGGATTCTATTGTTGTAGACTTCTATGCGTGTATGTGTCAAATATATGGTACTGTATGTAGTGGTTTTGTATTAATTTAGTGTATTTTTATGTATAATATACAAAAAAAATATTAGCATTTTGCATTTCTCTCTATAAAATACTAGCTACTCGCCCCGGCTTCGCACGGGTGTGCATACATTATACATATAAACCTTCCTCTAGAATCACTCTATTTATTTTAAAAACCCGTTTCAAAATCCGTTGCGTAGTTTTAAAGATTTAAGCATATATAGGGACAGACAGCGACAGCGACTTTGTTTTATACTATGTAATGATGATAAGTGTGCGAAATTTTATACTTCGTCCGCCCAATATTCCTAAAAAGGGCAACAAAGTTTTTAAGGGCAACAAGTTATATGTAATTTAACATACTATATAGCATATACCGATCTATAATAATCTACCACTCAAACGGTGAATTAAAATTATTTAAGTATTTTGTTATTTATCGTTTTTGAATATATCTATATACATAAAAATGAATTGCTATTCGTTAGTCTCGCGAAAACTGGATAACTGCTGAATCGATTTGCCTAATTTGAGTATTAAAATATTCGTGGAAGTCCAGGGATGTTTTAAACTGTGATAAAACATGAAGAAATTGCATGTAAAATAGTAAAAACAACAATTTTATTTTCCCATACAAACTGCTGATACCTTTGACAGGGTGCGTTCAGAAATTTATTGTGTAACTAAACTTCAAAAAACCTTTGACATATTTAATTTTGTGGCGGAGCGAATATTATTTAAAAAAATATTATTTATTTGACCCTAATAAATTAGTGCTAGTAGCTGGTTTGTATTCACACGTTTCGACTTGTAATTGTGAACTTACAAGGATTATTTAAATAGAATAGAAATCATTTATTCAAATAAACTTACATTGAAGCACTTTTGAATAGTCATTACATTTTTTTTCTCTAATCTACCGCTCGTTCGGAAAGCTGTCTCATCACAAGAAGAACGAGCAAGAAACGTGCGTGTTGCTCTTTTAAATAATTTATATTTTTTTACTTTACATTTTTAAGTTTAAGTGTGTGAATACAAATCACCAATTAGCACTAATTCAATTAAATAATCAAAAAGAAAAAATATTGAATACATAACCAACTGGTTAAACAATTAATAAGAGGAATATCATCATAGTGATTAGAGCAGACCAGTCCCTACAAGCAGCACCCGTTCACGAGTATGACGGATGAGCCAGCCATCACTGCGCTCGACCATATTTTAAAATAGAAAAACAATGACCCGGCCCACCACCCCGCCACAAGTCTGGACATTTTAGTGAGCATGACTCAAAAAACCTTTGAAAACACTAGACCACGTCAAAGCTGCTCACAATTGCCATCTGATAGTTAAAGAGCAACACACAAGTTTCTTGCTCGTACTTCTTGTGATGCTTTCCGAATGAGCGGTAGATTAAAAAAAAAATGTAATGGCTATTCAAAAGTGCTTAAATTAAGTTTATTTGAATAAATGATTTTCTATTCTATTCTATTTGAAGTAAATAATATTGTAGAAATGTTCATTAAAACTATTTTCCGGGTTGGCACGCGCGACATCTACTGTACATTAATTAATGCTTATTATAGCTAATTAGTTAGTCAATTAGAAGAAGAATGGATTCATTATATTGCAACGTGTAATATACTAGCAATACAACTTCTACTGCATCACACTTACATGACATATATTATTATAATTCGCCCAATTTACATAATATCTTTTGAAATTATAGCCTATGTGTTACTCTGATGTATAAGCTATGTTACTGTAAAGTTTCATCAAAATCCGTTCCGTAGTTTAGTCCGTGAAAGAGTAACAAACATTCATCCATACTCACAAATTTTCGCATTTATAATATTAGTAAGATGAACAAACACACAAACCTTGATATTTATATATTACATTTTAATGCATGATAATCACACAACCAACTTTTTATGTATGTGTGTCACACAAAATGTTGACGACGCCTATTTGGTACCAGTTGTAAGCAAATTCCCTAGAACGGTTAGTATATTCGGAGATTAAGAAGGATGGATTCAATATATTGCAACATATAATATATGAATAAAAAGACAAATCTTAATATTTTTATATTACATTTTAAAATTATGATAATCACACAACCAACTTTTTATGTATGTGTGTCATACAAAATGTTGACGACGCCTATTTGGTTCCAATTGTAAGCAAACTCCAAGCACGGTTAGTATATTCGGAGAATTAATAAGTTACTTACAAGAAGCATGGGTTCAATATATTGCAACGCATAAAATATGAACAAACAAACAAACTGATATTTATATATTATAATTTAATGTATGATAATCACACAACCAACTTTTTGTGTATGTGTGTCACACAAAATGTTGACGATGCCTATTTGGTTCAATTGTAAGCAAATTCCGTAGCACGGTTAGTACATTCGGAGGTGTTCTTATATAGACCCACATAACATCATTCGCTGCTATTGTAAAATAAATTATAATAACTATAACAAAAAACTGTATTATCTCCAAAAATATATTTTTAGACTATCGACTTTAAGATGAAACCTCTAAAGTGGATTTTACAAAAAATCTTATAATTGTTTTAATACATTTTTTTACTAACAGTGTGAATCAACAAGTGTAATATAATAACAATAACATAAAATGCTAACATTCGTTGTTATTGCTGTAACCTCTTAATGGAACTCGATTATACAGGTTGTATTGTAATATTATTAAACTAGCTTTTGCTCGCGGCTTCGTTTGCGTTAATTTATATCCCATCAGTTAATTTATCAAAATCCTTTCTTAGCCTATGTCATAGTAGCTTTATGCATGCAAAGTCTCAGCCCGATCGGTTTAAAATTGACGAAGTTTCATTCAACTTCACTTTCATCCCCTTGGGGATAGAATTAACCAAAATCTTTTCTTAGCTTACCTACGTCATAACATCTACCTGTATGCCAAATTTCAGCCCGATACATCCAGTGATTTGGGCTGTGTGTTGATAGATCACTATGTCAGTCACATTTGAGTTATATATATTTATATATTCTTGTACAAATAAATACTCACCTACTACATTCCTGTACTAGTTTCGATAAATTATTCAAACGGTTATATTAAATCATACTGTATGTGAGCAAATTATTTTCTAACTTTCTAATTAAAATGACAGCTAGTACTATTATAATACAGCCATTAGAAAAACGGGATTTATACCGTAGTAATATTGTTTATTATTTCCTGTTATTTCCAGTCGACCCGTGACTACAACGCTTATGACAGCGTCGAAATATCGGGAGCTCATAAATATGATTACTTCGATAAATATCCCGCGTTTGTATAATGTGTGCAATTGTAAATAGTAAAAAATGTATAAAATACATTATTGTCTCGGGAAAAATCCCGCGTTTATACAATGTGTGCAATTGTGACTCGTGAAAAATGTATAAAATCACTATTATCTCGGGAAATATACCGCGTTTATATAATGTGTGCAATTGTAAATAGTAAAAAATGTATAAAATACACTATTATCTCGGGAAATATCCCGCGTTTATACAATGTGTGCAATTCTCGTGAAAAATGTATAAAATACTATAGGAATAATTAACAATATTGAGTAAATAATATAACTTTGGTAAATAACCTGCGATTACATAATGTGTGCAATTGTAAATCGTAAAAAAATTATAAAATACTGCAGGAATTAATAAACAATATTTAGAGCTCCTAAATAATATTACTTCGTTAAATATTCCGCGATTATAATATGTGTGTAATTGTAAATCGTGAAAAATGTATAAAATACTGCAGGAATAATAAACAATATTGATCGCTCATGAATAATATTGCTTCGGTAAAAATCGCGCGTTTAAATAATGGGTGCAATTGTAAATTTTGAAAAATGTGTAAGAATAATAATTGTTACAATTGTTTTTTTAATAAATAGTGTTGTGAAATAATGTAAAAACATAGTACGCGAATGTACTTAATATCGAGAACGGATATAGTGTTAATCTGATAAACATTATTATATATGTGAATGAAAACTTGAATCTTGCCATATTATCATACGGACAGACAAATGTTTGCGCATCTGGTTCTTGTGTTTACATCTGTTTGCTGCGTGCTCGGCGACAGATCGTGTTATTGGAACGCAGAATGTCCATATCAGTTTTATTCATCAAAAACCCCATACGACACCGTCCGTGGAGATATAAGAGATTATCCTAACCTACCAAGTAAGTAATTCTTATATTTTATACTGACGGCCTCGGTGGTTTAGTGGTGTAGCATATCGCTTTACATTCGATGGTCACGGGTTCGATTTCTCGCAGGGTTAATTATTTGAATATTTGAATTTTATTATGTATATATGTGACGGCCTCGGTGGTTTAGCGGTTAGCGGTCGCTTTATTTTTGATGGTCGTGTGTTCTATGCCTTGCACGGTCGAAACATTTATATTCATGAATATGATTGTTTGTCTCGATCTGGGTATTTTGTATGTATTTACAGAAAAATATATCGATATATTTATATGAGTGATCTAGTACTCGTAACACATATTCTGATTAGCTTGGGATTAAATGGCACGGTGTGAAATGTATTCAATTTTGGGTTGTATGGCAACTAATATTGAGACACGAGAATCATTACACAGTATAAAACAAAGTCGCTGTCGCTGTCTGTCCCTATTTATGCTTAAATCTTTAAAACTGTGCAACGAATTTTGAAGCGGGTTTTTTTAATAATAGATAGAGTGACTCAAGAGGAAGGTTTCGACCATTACAAGATATAAATTTTATGATGATTATAATCGACAAGATTCGAGTTTGATCTTTGTTATAATATTGAGTTAGTATTTGTAATAGGTCAAGGTATTGTTAAACGATAACCCATATATATATATATATGTTATCACACTATGCTAATTGCTAACAAAATATCCAGTCGCGTGTATGTGTAACATGTAATTTGCATATATATTGCTAATATTCACTAATTTAAAGTTATCTCTATCAGTGTCAATAACCCTTATCTTTCATTTGTTTTATAAACTAATGACCCCTCCCCCCGGCTCCCTCCCCTCAGCCGTGTTCTTATAACTGCGTTTTGTTTAGAGAAATATAACCAATTTTTAGTCAAATAAACTTAATCCCCTCCGATCGATCCCCAGTCCAATTCAAACGGGGATTGAAATTACGACGGCCTGAGCCGAGGTTCGAACCCCTAGTGGTGCCCTCAGACTAAAGTCGTATCCGTCAGGCAGGAGTTGGCCTTCAGTCGCTCCATAAGTCCTTCCGCGGGTTTGGAGTGCCCTCTGCACTCGCCCCTAACGTCCGGTGAAGCTGTAAAGGCCAGCTGCGGCCAATAGCATTAGAGTAGTCCGAAAAAAAAAAACTTAATATAAGCACATATTGTTGTAAATGGCTAATCAGATATGGTATTTTATAGTCCAAATTTGTATTTGAATTTATAGTTCTTTAATATTTCGTTCTGTTGTCAATAGTCTTTCAGAATATATTTTCTCCGTATACGTACCTAGTATTTTTCGTTTTACCTGTATACAAATAAAATAAAACTACAACGCATATGTTTTTGATTCTACCACTCATTCGGAACACACACAAAGGTTGCGCAAGAAACTTGAATGTTGCTCTTTTAAATAGACACATTAACAAGGATTAGGCATGCGACAATGTTTATAGAAACCGCAACGCACGCAAACATTGTCAGCGTCATGAATTTTAATTTAGATTTTTTCTACAAAAATATATATTTCTAAATAAATATAGGAATTTATATGCTTATAATAAAGTCTGGTATCTCTCCTCTCTCTCTTTATTAGTATAGGTAACTCTGTACAATTCACATCATCATCATCATTTTCATCATTCATTTTTAAATTGCGGCTTCAAATCCGCAAAAAATAGAACGATTAGACAGTGCGCAAAATTGCCACACCAACGAGTTAGTTGATAAACGATATGATATATTGTAATCAGTTATCAATGATTGATATTTTAGATGAAAAATATATGTTTACAACTTTAGAAGTGATAGAATTGTTATTTTCTAAAACGTTGGACATTAACATTACCAGTAAACTGAGATAAAAGCGTTCTATCTTAATCTATAAGATCTGTCTGTACTATATCTGTTTTGGAATGATATGCTAAGAAAAGAAGTAACGAGATTCGTGGATAACGTGACTCACCTGATGGTAAGTGATAACCGCCGCCAAGCACCCGCAACACCAAGGGAATTACAAGTGTGTTGCCAGTAGCGTTGCCAGACTCCCATATTTCCCGTAACGTCCCGTATTTTCAGCTTAGTTTAAAATGTCCCGGCGGGACTGACTATCTCGTATTCTAACCGTGCTCCATTTTTTATTATTAAATCGATCAGTCTAGGCTAGACAAAAATACTCGTGCACGCAATGTTTGTACCCCTAATTTAATAAAAAGAGAGTTAATGACCATTTCTAATTAGTATTGTTTTTTTTAAATATATTAAAACCAATAAAAATATGTTAAGGCTTACTTAATCCTCAGAATAATATATAAAAAAATAACTATACAATTTAGTTTTTTATTTCTCCCGGGTAAAAAACTAAATTCCCATATTTTTTGCTTATTCAAGCATTTGCCGCTTATAGGCTGAAAAAAATTCTGGGAACTCTATAGTTGCCGGCCTTTTAATTAGGAATAAGCTCTTTTCTTGAAGGCATCAATATAGTAGAGACGGGGAATTTGAATTTGGAAATTGTCTGCTAACTGGAAACTGACTGCTAGCAATGTGCCATGTCAGGTCGACCTCCACGCGGTTCCCCTGACAAATTCACCAGGAATTTAAACCATCGTGTTAAATTCCTGGTGAATTTGTCACGATGGGCTAACTGATCTGACCTCATGCTCATCTTATCATCCTCCACTGGTGCCCCGCCAGCGTAGACCGTTGGCGCCGGCGGGTGCACGATTCCATTATCATCCACAAAAAAAAATATATAGTAGAGACAGGTATGAATGGAAGAATGCATAAGAATGCATAAACAATTCTTTTTTTAAATAAGTTAAGAGTTGTGATAGAATGTAAGCATGTCCTCGTAATAAAGGCACTGGTACTCGTAAGTACAACGTATGCTTTTTTAGTATCTAAGAATGCTACACCTCCTCGTCGTCCTCCAGCGGATGGTCTTATGAAGATTTTTCTACACGATAAAAAAAGTATCCATAACGCCAAGCTCTAGTTAGCTTGGGACTAAATGATGCTGGCTAAATTGTCCAGAGTAATAAAGGCTCATATAAGGAATAGGATATTGTCGATTATATATGAACGAAAAGTAACCTGACATCGAAGGTGACGCAGCTGGAGTCGAGCCACAACGCGAGTTTCAAGGCGTTTGTGGCCCGGGTCCCCACCGACATACTGCCCACCTTTATGAGGAAGGACTACTGGCCGAAAAGTTTGGTGTGTGGAGCACCGACTAGGTGTGGAGCACCGAGTAGCGCGCGGTCAGACGTGACGTCACCACTAGAGTTTGCGAGGGCATATCTGAGAGAGCCTCACCGACGCGCAGTTCGGTGCTCCACAGGTGTATCGGCTCTACCGTGGAAGATTGCTGTCGTCAGTACCGTGACTATACAGATAATTTCAATATCGTAATTATATAATATTATTTCACATGTATGTTAGTCTATAAGCTATTTATAATATGGGCCTAGTAGCCTAAAATATATAAAAAAAATAATATTGTTCCTTCAGATTGTGAGGCCGTCAGTGTGTGGGCGTTGAACAGACATGGCAACAGGAATCCTGGAGATGGAGTCGTTGACAATATGAAGGCGATTGTGAGACTAAAGGATGAGATTATAGCCAGCTACGAAGTGGGAACTAGTCAGTTATGCGCCCAGGTAATTAAACTAAACGTTTTGCGGACTTTTGATGTTACATAGGGTTGCCATCTCTAAAATTTGGAAACCCGGACAAGCCGCGTGAAAATCCCGAATTTTAGAAGCCATAATTCGGACATATCAACTGTTTTTTTTTAAACATAGTAAGTGCAATAAAAAACAGTTTGAAATGTCATAAATCACCTTTTTATTTATTTAATAAGACATACAATAACTAATATTTTATAACACTAATATTATTAACCTAAACTAAAAACCTTAAAATATAGAATATAATATTTTGTATTTATTTTTAGACCTTAAAAATAGTATAGTGTAGTCACTTTTTATCATCATTTTAAATGTACCTAACAAAACAAAATCTTGTTACAGTTTGTTACAAATTGTTTTAACAATCAGTTCGATTTTTTTTGTTATATAAATAAAACACAAATTATTAATATACTTTAATATTATACCTAAAAAATTACATTACCCAGGATGCTCCCTAGATGCCCTCTAAACTAGGCCAAATCTGGGGAAACCAGGACGGATGACAACCCTAATGTTAATACAGAAAGTTATCAATTTTTATACGACTTCATACAAAATACTATAAGAACGCTATAGATGTAATTAATAGTTGATTTATATTTGTAGAATGTAATTGTTTGGCTGAAAGGAGATTTCCAGGGCCGTAAAATACTTAATAAAAAAAAAACAGAATGTACATTCCTATGCACTGTTTTAATTGTTGTTCATGGTTGTATAATATTGTACACAATATATAAACATATAAACAAAATTATCATGTTAAATATCCATATACATACAGTCGTCTTGTCTGTTTGTATTACCTGTTCATCCATAACATCTGAGATACCTTTCGATGAAATGTAAATTGACATATTTTTTTTATGTCTCCCATATTCGAACTATTTTTGGGACCTACATTGGAATAGTAAACTAGACTACGATCTCAACTAATGTGAACAAGTAAAATCCATAGAGATCATAATCCATCCATCAGAATCAATCTTTATTCCTGTAGATCTATTACAGACTCTTATGATATGTCAATACTACAATTCGGAATGCTTTCTAAAAATTAAGACTAAATAAATATCTTCAGGACATTGAAGATCTCCGTCGTTGGTCCTGGAACGAAACTATCGAGGAATCGCCAGCATATCTGACTGGTACAGGATATGAAGAGCTGTATGATATTGGGAAAAGACTCCGGGAGAAGTACCCTCAACTACTGTCAGGGTCCAGTGATAGTTACTACTTCAGAACTACGAAGGAGCAGAGAACGATCACCAGCTCCATTGCTTATGTGCACGGCTTGACTGATAACACCAATTTGAATCTCTCCATTGATGGACCCTGGGATAGGGATGATCTTATCAGAGTAAGTATTCTTTTTATCTATATTAATATTATAAACCACTGCCTTCCATCCGATAGTCGCGGGTTCGTTTCCTCGTAGGGTATAAACATTTGTATTGGGGGGAAGGGGATTGTTAGTAATGTGGACTCAGGACCCTATTACTACCATGTCAGGTTGACCTCCACGCGGTTCCCCCTGGAACCATCGTGATAACTTCCTGGTGAATTTGTCACGATGGGCTAACTGATCTGACCTCATGTTCATCTTATCATCCTCCACTGGTGCCCCGCCAGCGTAAACCGTTAGCGCAGGCGGGTGCACCATTCCATTATCATCTATAAAAACAAAAACATTTGTATTCATTATGATTGCTTGTATCGGTCTTGGCGTTTTCTATGTATATTACGTATGGACTTAAAAATCTATTTATCATTTATATCAATAGTCTAGTACCCATAATACAAGCTTTGCTTATCTTGGGACCATATGACTCTGTGTGATAATTAATGTTGTGTGTAATATGGGAGATATTAGTATGAAAGAGCAAAGAAGCAAAGTTTTAAAGTGGTTAATTCCCCGGACATACTGAACCGATTTAGAAAATTCTTTTACCAATAGGACCCACGTTATTTTTTACTATCATTGGCTATGTAACATCACGCTACCACCAATAGGAGCGGAGTTATTAAACATGTTGCAAAAAGGGGAAAATTTGACGCCGACGAAATTGCATAGGTCAGTTAGTTAACCCGTCAATCAATCAATGCCCCGTCCAATTCAGACGAGGATAGAAATTACAGTGGCCTGAGCCGAGGTTCGAATTCCCAGCGGTGTCTGAGACTAAAGTCGTGTCAGTCAGGCGGGAGTTGGACTTAAACCTCTCCATAAGACCTTCCGAAGGTTTGGAGTGTCACTTGCACTCGCGCCTATAGTTCTATGAAGCTGTGAAGGCCAGTTGCGGTCAACAGCATTTAGAATAGTCCGAAAAAATGGTAGTTATCAATATTTTCATATGAAATCACAAATGTAATCTCCGAGGCAGAAATACGTAACTACGCAGTTGACTTTTTCTTTATAAGATGAATGAATGACAACTCATATGGCCCATCCGATGGTAACTGGTAACCATCGCTAATATACATGAACAATACCAATATATTAGGTCCTTATGTCAATATCCCTCTAGCATTGACAGCCTGAGTGATTTAGAGGTTTAGTATATCGCTTTATTTCCCATGGTCGCGGTTACAAATCCTCGCGTAGCAGAAATTTTTATCTATCTAGAGTATGATTGCTTGCATCGGTCTGGGTGTTTTCTATGTGTAATATGTATTTATTTACAAAAAAAAATGTATCCATGTATTTATAACAGTTGTCTAGTACCCATAACACAAACTCTGCTTAGCTTGGGACTAGATGGCGCTGTGTGAATTTTCCGGAGATATTATTATTATTATTATCGGTCTGGATGTTTTCTATGTATATTATTTTTATATTTCAGCCATATGAGAACTGTGAGAAGTATCAAGTGGAGACCAAAGAAGGTCCAGAATTAGAGAATCAGTTAGCGGCTTACTATAAAACAGAAGAATTTACAACAGTAAGTACTCTCTTTCCTTGATAATGTAAATCTAATTAAAACAACATTTATTTAAAAGAGCAACACACAAGTTTCTTGCACATTCTTCTTGTGATGAGTCTGCCTTCCGAATGAGCGGTAGAATAAAAAGATGTGACTATTCAAAAGTGCTTATATTAAGTTTATTTGTATAAAAATTATTTATATTTCTAATATAACTATCACTTTCATAAGTATGATTGTTTGTATCGGTGTTTTCTATGTATATTATGTATGACTTTACAAAAAAGAATCTAAAGTATTTATATCATCTGTCTAGTACCCATAACAAGTTCTGCTTACCGTGGGACTAGATGGCGCTGTGTTAATTGTCCAGGGTTATTTTTTTATTATATTACAACAGGTTCAGAATAACGTCCAACAACGTCTTGGCATTAACACGAAGTTGTCATCAGATGATATATACACCTTGTATGAGATTTGTCGATTCTACCGTTCCTGGACACCAACGCTGCAATCTCCTTGGTGTTCAGTGTTCACCGATGATGACTTACTTGTCTTGGAGTATGAGGACGATGTGTGGCATTACTACAGAAATGGCTACGGATCTTGGGTAAATATGAGATATTTTTCAACTTATATGTTCAAATAGTTTTTAGTAATAAGTATAGTATAAGTACAGCAGCTAACAGAATATCTGCGCTGCAGATTTATCTATAATGTTGAGTAAAAAGGATGTAACATTAAAACACCGAGTTATTTTCGCAAAGTGAGAGCACGTACTTATTTTATACTAGCTGTTCCCGCGACTTCGTCCGCGTGGAATTTGACTTTATTGTTCTAAAATAAAACAATTTTTCTAAAATAAAAGTAGCCTAAGTTACTCCTTATTACTTTAGCTACCTACCAAAAGAAGTTCCGTCAAAATCGGTCCAGTCATTTCAAAGATTAGCCGGAACAAACAGACCGACAGATAGACAGACAAAAATAGTAAAAAATGTTATTTTGGTGTATATACCGTGTTTATATTCATATGCATGTACTAAAAGACGGTTATTTCAATATTACAAACAGACACTCCAATTTTATTTATATGTATATGTAGATGTGACACCGAGGTCACCGCGATCATCAGAGTCCAACTACAATATTGTTTAGAAAACTGGTAGTTTTATATTAATTAGAAGATTGTGGGCACCCTCATATGTATCTAAATATATACATATATATAACTCAAAACGGTGACTGACAAAGTGATCTATCAACGCACAGTCCAAACCACTGGACGGATCGGGCTGAAATTTGGCATGCAGGTAGATGTTATAACATAGGCATCCGCTAAGAAAGGATTTTGATAAATTCCACCCCTAAGGGGATAAACTAACGCGAGCGAAGCCGCGGACAAAAGCTAGTTTATTTAATATGACAAAGAACAGAAACGTATCGTGTATATTTATGTATATATACGTACGTATAATAATGAAATTAACTATATAAAAAAAGTATACGACATTTTGAGAACGTAATGCGTGGCCTACAGCTGAGTTAGCTGCCTATTCACCTTTGCGGCACATACAGTCAGCTATATTTATTTTATTAATACATGTTTACTCATGTAGGTTATGTGTCTGTAATTGGTGAATAAAGAATTTTTAATTTAGGCAGATTGATATTTTAGAACTTACATACAATATAGTGGAACTAACTACGATACGAATTGCAATCTGTACGTATATTTTGATATATTTCAATAGGTTAATGAGAGATTGGGCGGTCCAGTAATAAAGGATTTGTATGACAACTTCGAAGCAGTGGTACAAGGTGGAGGCAAGAAGATCATCTCTTACTTCACCCACGACACCATGCTCCAAATGGCATTCAGCGCACTGGGCCTTTACAAAGATGACTTCGTCATACAAGGAGCAAGAAGAGTGCCTGACAGAAAGTGGAAGACCAGTTTTATTGCCTCTTTTTCTGTCAACCTCATAGCTGTTTTGAACAGGTAAATAATAATCCCAGAACATTTCACACAGCGTCATCTAGACCCAGTTAGTACAAATACATAGATTTTTTTTTCGTAAATACATACATAATATACATAAAAAACACCCAGACATGTTTGTACCATGCGAGGAATTGAACCCGCGACCATCGGAAGTAAGGCGGTGTGCTAAACTGCTGGACCACCGAGGCCGTCAAATTTTTAGTGTTTTTTTTACTACTAGGGTTGCAAATAAGTATACGGCCCACCTGATGGTAAATAGTTACCGTAGCCTATGGACGCTTGAAACACCAGGGATATCACGTGCGCGTTGCCGACACTTAAGAAACCTTAATATACCCTTCTTGAAAAACCGCATGCTGTAATCTCGTGAGATAACCTCGGCAGGTAGTTCATTCCACAATTTAAGTGTACGCGAGAGGAAGCTCCTCTGAAAATATACTGTCCAAGACCACTTAGGTCCTAGCGTGTAGCTTTTAGTAGGAAAATGCTTACGTGTAATTGTAATAGAAATAGAAATAGAAATAATCTTTATTCAAATAAACTCATTACAAGCACTTTTCATTCTTGATAGTGTTATTTTGTTTGATTCTACTACTCATTCGGAATGCAGATTCATCACAAGAAGAACGAGCAAGAAACTTGTGTGTTGCTCTTTTTAATAGATGTATTTTTATATAAATAATTACAGTATAACAAGCATGTGTATTAAGTTATGTACTACATATGTAAGACATCCAGTTTTGTAGACCCAATAAATAAAAATAAAAAAGAGGCATGCGATAATCAACATAGAAATCTCTACGCACTCATTATTAGTGTAATCAGATAATATTGTCAGTGCTATGGATTTAAAGTTTTTCTATAAAAACATTATTATCGTTAACGAATTCGTCAATTTTATAGTAAACTTTTTTTGTAAAGGAACTGTTTTATTTGACATTTAAATCTTTTTTCTGGCAGATTTATAACAGACTCTGGTATTTTATTGTAAAACCTTACGCAGTTGCCATAAAAGGAATTACTAACTTTAGCCAAACCACATTTAGGTAAAATCAGTTTGTTATTGTTACGTAAGCTTTTATTAGTGCAATCACTAACTCTTTTGAAACTGTCTATATTCCTTCTGGCATAGATGATATTTTCATAAATGTATTGAGAAGCAACGGTGAGGATATTTGATTCCTTAAAACACTCTCGCAATGACTCCCTGGAACCCATACCATAAATGGAGCATAATGAAGGAGATTGTAATATAATAATATGAATTACTCAGAACAATTCCCACAACGCCATCTAGTCTGAAGTTATTCATAGTTTGTAACATTTGATGACATTAATATGAGTATCATCCGATAGTCGCCGATTCGATTCCTCGTACGGTACAAACATTTGTATTCATGCGTGTGAATGTTTATATCAGTCCGTTTATTTTCTATGTATAATACGACGAGCGTACATGGCAATAGTTGTTCATGCACGGGATTTTCATTTAATGTTAGACATAGACACCTATATAAATATACATTGTAAATAAACTGGCTTTTAAAAGAAACAGTAATACAATTGAGTTTCTTGCCAGTTCTTCTCAATTGGATCATCTACGTTCATAGGCGGCTAAAATGTTCTACATGAATAAATGATTTTTAAATTTGAATTTGAATATATATAAAAAAATATACAAGTTTTTATACTTATCTGCAACACAAGATCTGCTTAACTTGGTACAAGAATGCGCTGTGAGAATTGGTCTGGATTATTATTATTCTCAGATTATTATTTTTCTCTCATTGTCACTTAATAGTAGGTAGGTACAAGACACTACATTGCACCGCCGAGTTTTAGCGCGTCATTATGTTCATTATGTTCCTTATGTACCTTTTATACCATTTGCAATATTTATGTGTATTATTATTATTATAGTATTTATATTTAAGTACAATAAATTGTGACAATTATACGTTATGTGACCGTCACACTGTGTAATATTGTTCACATGTCCTTCAATGTTATACATTGTATTATATTTTGATAACAAGCTGTTACCCATGGGTATCAAAATATAATACAACATATAGACATAGTCATGCCTGGAATCATAATATTAATACCTGAAGCAAAATTTTTGTACCTCTTTTTACGAAAATTGCGGGAACGTAGGATTAGGTTTTCTCGAGAGACTACAGCGTGGGGTTTTTCAAGTAGGGTATATTAAGGTTTCTTAAAGGTCGGCAAAGCGCATGTGACACCCCTGGTGTTTCAGGCGTCCATAGGCTACGGTAACCGTTTACCATCAGATGGGCTGTATGCTTGTTTGTCACAAAAGTGGTGTAAAAAAAAAATTAGAAAACTTCGCACTATTAGTTTCTTTAGAGAAAGAGTGCAGAATGCTAATATATTTTTTAATTATGCATAAAAATAACATTAATTGAATTAAAAAAAACAGTACACTACCATGTATTGAACACACGCATAGGTATATATTCTTTTCTTTATTTGTTATTGCTGGTACAAAAATGTTTTTTGTATTTTTTATGTGCTCGAATTTCGATAGTTTCTTTACAATGTATATTTATATAGGTGTCTGAATCTAACATTAAAAGAAAAAACCTGTGCATGAACAACTATTGCCATGCACGCTCGTCATTCAAGTAATCGTTTAGTGGCTTTGTATTGGATTATCATTATTATTAATTTTCAAATCCTAATATTCTTGCAGGTGCAATGAAGCTGAGGGCCAGTCATACCGTGTACAGTTTTTCATTAATGAAAAAGAGACAGAACTTTGTCCCTTCGAAGGTTGCAAATGGGATGAATTTCAGAGCAAATTCTCAAAGTACACCTCCAGTTTGGAATTCTGCAGTCCAGATTACGTCAACCCAGTACAGCCTTTAACTGACGATGCAGGAATTCATCGTTTAGGTACAATAACAATGTTAACATCACTATTAATTATTTATCTGTGGATATGAATATGTATGATATAAAATTGTAAAATATAGATATAAAATATTAATAATTAAAAGTAACGATTAGTATCATTTTTCCCGATCAAATGGCTAGTGCCATAAATAATCTTTATTCAAGAGTGAAGGGGATTGTTAGTATATAACTTAACTTATCTTTATTGTTAAAAATTTTTTTTTTTTTACAAATACAAATACTTAAGAAGTCCCTGAATTCTAAGGTAGGTATAGAAAATACCTGTGTTTCAGAAGTCAGTCTCCTCTTCCATATTGAGGTGTACTTTAAGTGAGTTTGTTATGATATATTACAATTTACGTAGGTTGGTGTAATCATAGGAGAGTGTGTGTGTTAGTAATGTGGACTCATTACCCCATTAATAGCAATACCATGTCAGGTTGACCTCCACGCGCTTCCCCCAGGAAGCCAACGTGATAAATTCCTGGTGAATTTGTCACGATAGGCTAACTGACCTGATCTCATTTTCATCCTATCAACCTCCAGAAATATTACAAGCGTATGCATATTGTGATCACCGAATCACTTCTAGACAGCTCTAGAAATGCAGAAGCTTCTTGGTAGCTTCGTAGACTCTATGTTCTACCTGGTCCGAGGTTTTAAAATTTATTACGTTATTAAGTGTTGCATTCTCCAAGACTCCAAGTTGCACGCCATAACTGCTATAATAATAATCTCAGGACAATTCACACAGCGCCATCTAGACCCAAGTTAAGCTAGCTAAAACTTGTGTTATGGGTACTAGATATCTGATACATATATATATTTATATATATTTTTTTGTAAATACATACATATTATATAATATATAGAAAACACACAGACCGATACAATCATACTCATGAATACAAATGTTTGTGCCGTGCGAGGAATCGAACCCGCGACCATTGATCGTAAACCGGTGTGCTAGACCGCTAGACCACCGAGGTCGTCAAATATATGCTACATATTAATTATATGCGCATGCAATGCGTAGGTGTAATGTGAATGGTTAATAAGACCATCCACAAGGAAGGGAAGGCCAAAAAAGAGATGGATGGACTGTGTACAAGATGATATAGCAAGAAAGGAAGTGTATAAACAGATGATTTCAAGCAGGGATGTATATATGAGAAAAACATTACGTCGACCATAAGGAAGAAGTAGATGATGTATTAATTAAGTAAAATAAAAAATACACATCAGTTCTTATTATTTTAATTCAATATTTTAAATAAAATCCATAACTACACAACGCCGCAAAAGTCCAAACTGCTATCGAGGAATGGTTTGAATTTGTCTTCAAACTCTCTCCAGCTGCACATCTGACTTTCGCAGAGTTGAATCTCTATTTCATTTATGAGAAACTGTACTCTGTAGGTAGAGTCCACTGTTGCTTCTAAATCTGGGTTGCATCTGTTAAAATAATATGAATAATATAGTCTTTATTCTACGGTAACCGGTTACCCCTCAGATGGAACGTGTAGCGAATTCTTTGATAGGTTTTTATGCCATTTTAAAATTTTATAATAATATTCTTTGACATATTCCTTTTGTTACTTTCTATTATATGTCGCTGTCATACTAGTCGCATTTTATTTTATCTCCATATTTTCATCATTAAAACCCTCAGCACCTCTCACTCATCAGACACATTTGATACCTCCGCTTCATTTTGGTCCTTCTACCTATAGCGCACCTATTTTTTATAGTTCATTTTTCGTAGTTATAGGAAAATACGGAGTTTAAATAAAATAACTGATACAAATACATAGATATTTTTTTTTTGTAAATACATACATATTATACATAGAAAACACCCAGACCGATACAAACAATCATACTCATGAATACAAATGTTTGTGCCGTGCGAGGAATCGAACCCGCGGCCATCGGTCGTAAAGCGGTGTGCTAGACCACTAGACCACCGAGGTCGTAATAGAAAGTAACAAAAATAATATGTCAAAGAATATTATTATAAAATTTAAAAATGGTATAAAACCTATCAAGGAGTTAGCTACAAAACGTATAACCATACGTTTAAACCAACCGGTTTCTACCATCGTAGTGTAAAAAGAAAATATATGGAAAAATCTTGAAAAGGATATTTAAGTTGAATTTCTTTTACAATAGGATAGATAAGTACGTGGTCATACTTTACGAGCAGCTTTATATAATCAGGACCCTGAAGAAAGAATGAACTACTGCACCTGTGAAGAATAGCCATGAAGTTAGCTGCAAACGGCGTGTGCAAACTGGTCCTCCATTTCCTGTCCAATATTCTTTTGAAGCCAGTTAATTGTGGATAATCCTGGAACAGTCCTAGGGCACTGTACACCATATCCATAAGACTGTCGTGAGAGAAGTACGCTGTGAAACTAGTATCGTTGGTTTTGAGGGCATTTTGGAAACTATCATATAAATCTTTTAAAACCAATTCGCCTAGTTTTGCATTGATCAGATTACCGTAGCCGTTTCTGTAAATAATATGGTAATATTATTAGAGTTTTTAAAAATATAGGCTAAAATAGCCGATAATAACGATATATGCTATAATGGGCCACCTAGAGGAGTTCATAACCATCATTGTCAATTTTAATGTTAGACATAGGCACCTATATAAATACCTATAAATTGTAAATAAACTGACTTTAAAAAAAAGTAATTCAATTGAGTTTCTTGCCAGTTCTTCTCAATTGGATGTATATACCGAACTGGACGGTAGGGAAAGAAAAAATAAAATTATAATGTAAAAACTTGATATTCTTAAGCGGCTAAAATATCTTACATGAATAAATAATTAATATTAATTTGAATTTACTAGAAATTATCCACGATGGTTACCAGCGAGGACCGCGTCGAGGTCGACCTGACTTAGTACATCGCTAACATTGATTTTATTACTTTTTTTATTAAGCATTTTATGTTAAAAAAACTAGTACTTTTTTAAAGGATGCTAATAGAATGGTGCATCCGCCTGCGCTAAGAGTTTATGCGGGGAACCAATAGAGGATGACAAGATAAGCATGAGGTCAGGTCAGTTAGCCCATATTAGACATATTCACCAGGAATTTATCACGATGGTTTCCAGAGAGAGTCTCACGGAAGTTAACCCTACTGCTAGCGATATACCATACATTATAGCAATAGGGTCAACAGTCCATATTACTTACAATTCCCTTTCCCCTTACTCTGTATTAAAGAGACCTGTAGCACTGCGAGCTACTCGCCCTTTTTTCGCCACCTAGGCCTTCAGGGACAAGAATAGTATGATATTCTTAGGAGCGATGGTTTTTATCTCCTCACAATAGAGTATCTACTTTCCAAAGGAGATATTTCGTTTAAGCATGAGTGACCTACAACCACATGGGATGTGTGTGGCAGTGGCATTTTGTCTTCCATTTAGCAAAATGTGCAAATATTTGTTAAGCACAGATCTAAGTTTCCATCTGATCCTCGTTACTAAGGAAGCAGTTATAGGCTAGTTATCTTATTGTGTGGGTAATCAGCTTGTTTGTCTGTATAGTTCTAGATACATAAAAATATGGTAATCAAAGTTACCTATAATAATGCTGCAAGTCTTTCGAGTACTCAACCAATGCTAGGTCTTGGTTAGTGAACAAAGCGCACCATGCCGATTTTTTGGAGTCTGAATATGCTCTGTAGTATCTACACAGATCGTAAATGCCTATAATGTTGGTGGCTGACAGCTCAGTCAGATCGGCACGTGCTTTCATGTCAGTCTGCATCTAAAAATGTTTTTTTATATATCATAAATATAAATAATAATAATAAACATAGACAATTTACACAGTGTCATCTAGTCACAAGCTAAAAAAGGTAAAATCTTATTAAAAAGATCTTTAACTTTTATTATCTATTTATACGAAAGGCATAGTTTAAAGTGAAGAAAGAAAATAAAGACCAAAATGTTGTTAAAGACCTTACTTTTTTAAATTCGTTGCTCTCGTAATATTGGTTCATTTCCGCCTGGGTTCGATTTCCTTCCCACACTTCTTGTATGTGCTTTGGACAATACTTATAAGGCTGGAAAAAGTAAAGTACGAAAATTATTCAATGCCGGTCTTATTAATTACTAGCTACACACCCCGACTTCCCACGAGTGTACATGTATTATAGATATAAATCTTCCTATTGAATCACTCTATCTATTAAAAAAAACCGCTACAAAATCCGTTGCGTAGTTTTAAAGATTTAAGCATTCATAGGGACGGACAGACAGCGACAGCGACTTTGTTTTACACTATATAATGATGCTGTAAGTTGTAAGTTGCTTGACGACTGAAAGTGAGTGTGTCCACGCTATAAAAGTACGAACATATTTTTTCAGGTACGTGTAATTATAAAATAAAATTGTTTAAAGATAATTCGACTAGTGTGAAACGTTGATATTAATTGCATTATTGTATGGACAAAAATATTTTCAAAAGTTGTACACGTTACTGCAGTAACACGTTTTAAACGGACCCATCTCCGTGGAGAATAGAATTGTTAGTAATATGGATTAATAACCGTTGCTAGCAATGTACTGTATCAGATTGACCCGGTACCCTCTGGAAACCATCGTGATAAATTACTGGTGAATTTGCCACGATGGAACTGACCTAACATCATGCTCATCTTATCGTCCTCCATTGGTGCTCCGCCAACATAAACTGTCAGCGCAGGCGGGTGCATCATTATATTAGCATCCACCAAAAAACCCTAGTTTCTTTAACATAATAAACTTAATAAAAAATAAGATAAAATAATTTCTTTATTATCCATTTTAGAAAAATATAGAGGTGTAAAAGACATGCAGCCAACCAGATAGTAACTAATATGATTTCTAGTGAAGCTGACACCTTTAGTAACAGAGACAATGCTCCTAAATCCTAGTAATCCTATACTCACCATCAAAATTACATCTTTTTCTAAAGGAGTAGTAACGTTAAAACTCAAATTTCGCTTGAGACCATCAACAAACGCCTTAGCACTGTCAATAGTTCTCCGTTCATTTGTCGGCCTGATCTGATACTGCTTTACATGTTCAAGAAGTTGCGTGAACTTCTCACGAATCCTGCTTCCGAGTTGCTTCAGCTCGATGTAGCCTCTATAGTTTAGGTTGTGAGGTTCATTTATTGTGCCGTTCCATTTCCAATTCTTGAGATTGCTGATGTCCTGCAATTAATAGAAATGTTTATTAATTATGGATATTCTGTTGGTGTTCACTGACCTTTTATTGCATAGGGGACAAATCAGTTAGCCGTAATTATTTACTATCAAGAGAGCCTCAATCTATGAGCACCCGCAACACAATAATTGCAAGTGCGTTGCCGGCCTTTTAAGAAGAAATAAACTCTTTTCTTGATGGTTTCAATATCTTATCGGTTCAATAATACCATTGCTGGTATTTGCGTTACTAATGTCCTAAAATCTATCTGAAGCCGTGAAATCTAAGAAATGTTTTAGGGAAGAGGGTATTACAGATTTTTGATGGCTTTCATTGAGGGAAATTGTTATAGCATGTGTGAATGTTATTCTTAACAATTAGCTAACCTCGATGAAAAACAAAATCTAGGACAAAAGTAAAGATTATGTTCCTCTTACGCTCTTTACCTTTAATGCACTTAAGTCTACAGAGAGATCAAAAGAAATATTACAAAATTTGTAAACAACTCCGCCAGTTCTACAAATAAATGTTTGCTCTAGCTACTGGTGTATGAATTTAACAGAAATAGAAATAGAAATAATCTTTATTCAAATAAACTCATTACAAGCGCTTTTGAATAGTCATATTTTGATTCTACCACTCATTCGGAATGCAGATGCATCACAAGAAGAATGAGCAAGAAACTTGTGTGTTGCTTTTTTAATAAATGTTTTTTTATATAAATAATTACAGAATAACAAGTAAGAGGCATGCGATAATCAATATAGAAATCACTACGCACTCATTATTAATGTAATCAGATAATATTGTCAGTGCTATAGATTTAAAGTTTTTCTATAAAAACATTATTATCGTTAACGAATTCTTCAATTTTATAAGTAAGCTTTTTTGCAAAGGAACTGTTTTATTTGCCATTTAAATCTTTTTCTGGCAGATTTATAACAGTAGTAGTGTATAATAATATATGTAGTGGTAGAATAAAAATATCCGATTATTCAAAAGTGCTTATATTAAGTTTATTTCAATCAAGATTATTTCCATTTCTATTCCTATGCTGGTCACTATATTAACCTTAAAACGTGTGATATTTCTAAATCTGTGATAATATAAACATAGGATTTTACCCATTTTTAAAGAATTACTAAGTTTCTTCTCAGTTTGATCTATTATAAGTTCCTAAAAAATTTAATCCGTCATAAAGCCAATTTAATATCAATAGGCCTATACGAATAAAGAATTTTTTATACCAGTTCTTCAAGATAAGTAACTTGCTTATGAATCATAATATTACTTAGGCATTGCAGTTCAAGATTATAACTTATTTAATTAAAAACTGAACAAAATAGAAAGAAATGTTTTATCATGTAATAAACTTACTCTGTTCTATTCTAATTCAAAAACTAAACTCTTGCAATCCAGAAGTATTGTTGCAATTCAAGAGCAAGTTGCAATTCCAAACATTTTTATTAATATCGAAAAAGCCAAAAACTCACTCTTACCTCAGCACACATTTGTCCACGTCCCTCAGCATGATTCTTTACTATTTCATCTTTCAATTTTGCGGTTTCCATCATCTGGTCGATGTCAAATGAGCTTGGATTGCGAGTTCCATGTCTGCCGAGCAACCAAACGCTGGATGGCACACATCCTGATAAAGACAGAAATAGAAATGTTTTTGGTGACAGCGACGGCCGACGGTCTTGGTGGTCTAGTGGTTTAGCACACCGCCTTACTTCCAATGGTCGCTGGTTCGATTTCTCGCACGATACAAACATTTGTATTCATGAATATGATAGTTTGTATCGGTCTGGGTGTTTTCTATGTATATTATGTTTGTTTAAAAAAAATGAATCTAATTATATATATCAGTTGTCTAGTACCCATAAAACAAAGTCTGCTTACTTATGGACTAGATGGCGCTGTGTGAATTCTCCTGAGATATCATTATTATACAGTAAGAGTAAAAATCCTTTTGATTATGATTATGTTTTTATTTCTGGGAGAGTCACATTTATACAATCTCCTTTGGTTAAGAAAACGAAGGTAGTAATGGTGGGAGCTGGGAGCCCCATTATAAACAAAAATGTATCATGAAAAGTCAACCTCCACGCACTGTCCCATGGAAACCATCGTTATAAATTTTTGGTGAACATGTCAAGGTGGCTCACCTGACTTCAAGCTCGTCCTATTATGTATATATTCCAGCGTATACCGTTAGCGTAGGCAGGCGCATTCCATAATCATCGGTTAATAAAAGCTCCTTAGGTATTCACACTAAATACTTCATAGTTTTTATTAGACAACTAGCTGTACCCGCGACTTCGTCCGCGTGGAATTTAACTTTATTTTTCTAAAATAAAAGAAGCCTAAGTTACTCTTTATTATATCAGCTACCTGCCAAAAAAAGTCCCATCAAAAACGATACAGCCATTTCAGAGATTAGCCGGAACAAACAGACAGACAAAAATTGTAAAAAAATGTTATCTTGATGCATGTGGTAAAAAATGGTTATTTATTGTATAACGGTTGTTTAGTGGAGTGTCTGTTTGTAATATATTACTCCAATTTTATTTACATGTATAGATAATATTTAGATACCTACTTGTTTCTAATGCTTACGTAATATATAAACTTCGGGGAATGCCCCCAATTATAAATAAATAGATTTTAAATTTACATATGTTGTTGAAACTATTATAAAACCGATGCACCTAAATATATTATGCTTCTTATGTAATAGACCAGTGTTTCCCAACGCAGGGCCCACGTACCACAGGGGGCAATTTGATTGTTAAGGGGCCAATTCGAAAATGTAATCTTTATTAAAATTGTATGATTTGTAAATTTAAATTTTTCATTACATCTTTTGAACATTTATTTTGTATTTTTCATGAACAATTTCTTAGTGATTTCTTTCTAAAACCTATTATTTAAGTTTCATAAGTTAACAATTAAATTTTTAATGATATAAATTATTTTATTTATTTATTTATTTTTATTTATTTAACTTCAATGCACACAATATACAAAATATAGTAAAGTACATTTGGCGGACTTAACACCATGCGGCATTTTCTAACAATTCAGAGAATTTTAATAAATGATAAATAAAAAGTATAAACAGAATAAAATATATATCTAAGGAATACAAATTATGTATCTTAAACAAATGAAGGGAGAGAATTTTAGCAAGGCTAAAGTGGGGCATGGCACTAAAAAGGTTGGGAAACACTGTAGTAGACTATTTTTAAATTCACTACGTGCTAAATTAAGAGGATAAAATTAATCACTTTAGATGAATCATACATAACACAAACTCTTTCGTATACAGCCAGTTACTTTCGATAAACATTTCGCACTAAAAGCATAATATTATATACAAATTTATAGCTCTCGTTACATTATATTATATTAAGAAACTAACTTTGCTCGCGACTTCGTTCGTGTGGAATTAAACTTTATTTTTCTAAAATAAAAGTAGCGTAAGTTACTCCTTATTACATCAGCTACCTGCCAAAAGGCCCCCTTTCAAAATCGGTCCATCCATTTCATAGATTAGCAGGAACAAACAGACAGACAGACAAAAATTGTAAAAAATGTACACAAAATGTTATATGCTCCTTATTTATATTCATATGCATGTAGTAAACAACGGTTATTTCAATACTATAAACAGACACTCCAATTTTATTTATATGTATAGATGTAAATATTAATCATATATAACGTGACCAGACGTCTCGTTTAAACGGGACTGTCCCTTTTTATAATTACGAGTCCCGGTGTCCCCAAAATGAACTCTGGGACACAAAATTGTCCCGTTTTCGGAAAATCCGCGAAAATTTGTGTAGTCGAGCCGACCGGTTGTGATGTTGATTATTGTTGATAATTAAGGTGAAAATAAATTAAACATTTGAAGAGCATCAGTCTTACTTAAAAATTCACTATCTATGTTAAAGCAAATTTGTTCATCCATAATACTTAACTTTTAAGCTAACATTTTCTAAATAACATAATATATTATAATATAACATATAATCTCAGGACAATTCACACAGCGCCATCTAGACCCAAGTTAAGCTAGCTAAAGCTTGTGTTATGGTTATTAGATAACTGATACATATACATAGATATTTTTTTTTTGTAAATAAACACACATATTATACATAGAAAATACCCAGACCGATACAAACAATCATACTTGTGAATACAAATGTTTGTGCCGTGCGAGGAATCGAACCCGCGACCATCGGTCGTAAAGCGGTGTACTAGACCGCTAGACCACCGAGGTCGTCAAATAACATGAACAAAAGAAATCACCGGAAAATGACAAAATACTATTCTTGTCAATATATACTATTTAATCTCGCGACTTCATAAAACAAACATTAAATATTAAGTGATACTTACACATATTACGTTAGTACACGAAACGATTAAGCGGTTTCCTAGAGAACAGAAACAAACAGACAAAAAATCTGACAGTATTTGCTTTGTGTTGGATTACGTTGATAACGTCCTTCAATAATAGTTTTTTCTCATAATATATTCTCCATGTACAGACAACAATTACTTATATTTATATGATGTGTGTAAGAAAATGTATATAACACTATATGAATAAATATATAATCCTGGACAATTAACACAGCGCCATCTAGACCCATGGTGAACAGTGCTTGTGAACATGGGTACCAGACAACTGATATAAAAACTCGTTTTTTTTTTAATACACATAGAAAACACCTAGACTGATATAAACAATCATACACATGAATACAACAAATGTTTGCACCGTGGACTCGAACCCAAGACCATGACCATTGGAAGTAAAGCGGTGAGCTAAACCGCTAGACCACCGAGGCCATCGAACTATATGACTATATGTATACACTTGAAGATACTGTTCTTTGATGATGTGAAAACAAAATTATAATAAATACAATACAATAGTACCTTTATAAATGGTTGACGTCTTCTGAAAACAATGAATCTTTTCAGCTATATTAATGAATAAGGAAACATACTGTTATTTAATTACGCAATATTACTTTTATTTATACCTATTTATACAATGTTGGTTATTATTGTAAACAAGTTTAATGTACGTAACTTCATTTTTAAATGTAGCTACCAGTTAGCAGCGACTTTAACTTTTTTTTTATTACAATTAATAATAATTCTTAAATAAAAAGTAGCTTAAGTTACTCCTTATGTCATTAGCTATCGGTGAATGAAAGTCCCGTCAAAATCGGTCCAGCCGAAATTTTATACTCCTCCATCCGCGAAATTTTCGTAAAAAAAAGCGACTTTTATTTTTTTTTTATTAAAATTAATAATAATTCTTAAATAAAAAGTAGCTTAAGTTACTCCTTATGTCATTAGCTATCGGTGAGTGAAAGTCCCGTCAATATCGGTCCAGCCGAAATTTTATACTCCTCCGTCCGCGAAATTTTCGTAAAAAAAAGGTACAAAGTTTTTGCTTCACGTATTAATGTAATGATTATATTATTGTTTATTTTTTCAATGAAAATTTAACCACTCACCCTTTATATCTGCAACATCTCTGATATCACCCCGGACATCGTCGTAGAGGGTTTTCCCGCCAAAATATACATAAGGACACGTGTTCCAATGACACTCTCTACCGTACACTACAAATATTAACATATGCAGTACAAACAGACGAAGCGTCATTCTCGTAACGCCGGCACCGTGAAACTGAATGAGCGGAGAGGTTATAACGGTCATTTTAGTCCGTTCATAATCAAATCAAATCAAAATATCTTTATTCATGCAGGTCTATTACAGATTCACCCTGAAACTGAATGACAGAGAAGGTTATAAGGGTCATTTTAGTCCTTTCATAATCAAATCAAATCAAAATATCTTTATTCGTGTAGGTCTATTGCAGACTCACCGTGAAACTTATAAGGCTCATTTTAGTCCTTTCATAATCAAATCAAATCAAAATATCTTTTTTCGTGCAGGTCTATTGCAGACTCACCGTGAAACTTATAAGGGTCATTTTAGTTCTTTCATAATCAAATCAAAATATCTTTATTCAAGTAGATCTCATTGATATGTCAATTCTACAGTGGGTTCGGAGTCCTTTGGAGTTGAGAAGAACTGACAAGAAACTCAGCTCTTATTCTTTTCAAATGAGCTTGTACATGTTTACAATAAAACAGATAATTATTATATTCATATTTTAGAGAATAGAGTCATCAGCATATATTTGAAATTTTGTCAAATGTGAAATAAATAGTCTAATCAATGATCGTAACCCGAACAGGCCAGTCCCCACAAGCAGCATCCGTTCATGATTATGACGGATGAGCCAGCCATCGCTGCATAAAATGAAGAAGTACTAAGTAAGTACACAGGATGAAAGTAAAGTGACAAATTCCTAGTAAATTAGTCACAATGCGCTAACTGATCTGACCTCATACTCATTTTAATCATCCTCCACTGGTGCCCCGCCAGCGTAAACCGTTAGCACTGGCGGGTGTGCCATTCCATTACAATACATAAAAATATTATATGTATGTATATTTGTCACCTTTTCATGTATGAACGGGGGAATGGAGTGTATTGAAATTTCACATGTAGCTAGATTGTTCCACTAGGACGAATATGTATACCTTTTATATTATGCTTATTTATAATAATTATATTTTATTAATATAAAAAGGTGAATAGTTTGTTTGTTTCATAGAATGCTCTATTTGCATATTGTGGATCGTAAGTTCATTTACATACATCACATCCGTCATACTCGTGAACTACTGCTAGTACGGACTGATCTGCTCTAGTTACTACGACAGATTTACTCTTATTTAGTTACTCAACCAGTTGGTTATGTATTTATTATTTTGAGTCTAATGAATTAGTGCTAATTGGTAGTTTGTATGCACACATTTCTACTTATAAATGTAATGTTGCAACAAGTATATAAAAGAGCAATAGGCAAGTTTCTTGCTTATTCGTCTTGTAATGAGACAATTTTTGGACTGAGCGGTAGATTCAAAAGTAACTATGACTATTCAAGTGCTTAAGTTTATTTAAATAAATAACTTTTGCCCGCGGTTAAGCTCACGGTAATTTATCCCCTTAGGGGTGAAATTTATCAAAATCCTTTCTTAGGGGATGCCTACGTCATAGTAGCTTTATGCATGCAAAGTCTCAGCCCGATCGGTTTAAAATTGACAAAGTTTCATACAAACTCTCATCCCCTATTTTATCCCCTTTGGGGTAGAATTAATCAAAATCCTTTCTTAGCGGATGCCTACGTCATAACATCTACCTGCATGCCAAATTTCAGCCTGATCCGTCCAGTGGTTTGGACTGTGCGTTGATAGATCACTATGACAGTCAGTCACCTTTGAGTTATATATATTTAGATTTTCTACTCTACTCTAGTGACGTGGATTCTGTGTGTCTTTTATTAAACTTCTCATAAACTTGTAATTCGATATTATAGCAAAAGTTATTTATGCTTATTATAAAGAATGCTGCTCTCTTAGAATATTTTAATTACTAATAAATCATCAAGCCCTAGAAAATCGTGAGTAATTTTAAAAAATAAATGTTTCAACATTATTTTCCAATTCTGTTTTGAAATGAATTACTTAATTTCTAAATTATCATAATGATAAATATATTAATTTACCTTTAGCTAATTTAATTTTCATTCAATCTAAAAGATTTTTTTTTCTTTTTCGTTATTGTTATTTCATCTTTTAAATGCAATATTTTTGGGGTACATAAAAGGTGATAAAATAAAAACCATGAATATTTTAGTATTTTATGACAACGATATCGCTTTATTAGATGTTAAAGGAGAGAATGCGAGGGAGGCGTGCGTCGGCGCCGGTTGGGGGGGTGGGGGGCGTGTCTCTTCGGAGCTAGCGGCCGCCGTGCGCGCCTCTCTCGCGCTCTCTCGCACTCTCGATACGCACAATGTTTCACGGTAATAAATAATATAAATAAATATCAACAAGTTATAAAATAGCCTTTCGTAAAAAGATTAGATCACTAAGTGTATATTTTTTTGGTTGTTTAAAAAATGATTTTTACAGTTTCTCGTTTCACGCTTTCGTAACACATTCAACGTTATGTATAAAAAACTAGGTTACATTTCAACGAAAAATCTGTACAGTCCGTTTTTATTTGTGGAACGTTTAGAAATCGTTTTCGGGCGCCAGGTCGAACCTAGGTGGGAAGGTGCCGAAGGCGTCAGACAGCGCGGGGCGCGAGCGCTGGGGCTGAAACACAAACATCACAGTTATCATCTCCGTGAAGCTGCAACGGCATAATCGATCTCATGCAGGATACGTGCCAGGTATAGAATGCATGTAGGAACTAATCTCTATATCGGAGTCGACTAAAACAAAGAAGCACTGCTCTATGTGCTCTGGGGGACGTGCAACCAAGAGTTGCCCACTTACATAATACTCCAGTGATGACTTATGGACGCCCTTTAATGGACGCCTGAACGGAAGAAATACGAAGAAGTTTAGTAAGTAGCTAAGAAGAAATACGTGATAAAGAGAGACAATAATATATTGTTCAACTCACCGCCGGACTGACTCCTCTCGCTGCGGATCCCGCGCGTCCTTTGCCACGGAATTTGCTGATGGCTTGTTCGGCCAGGTCTGCCCTTTCTTCGGCCTCTTCCAACTCCTGCTGCGCCTTGCGGAACTTAGCCAAGTTGAGGGCGGCGATCTCTTCCGCCTCCTCGATCTGCCTCTTGTAGGTCTTGATCTTCTGTTGGAGTTTGTCGACGAGGTCCTGCATGCGTTCGTGGTTCTTGCGGTCCTCCTCGGCCTGGAAGGTCAATTCCTTGATGCGCCTCTCGGCCTTACGCAGGTTCTTCTGTGCGTCGGCGTGTCTTCGCTGTTCTCCATCGAGCTCATTCTCGAGTTCCCTAACTCTTTGTTCGAGTTTCTGGATGGCCTTCTTTCCTCCCTTAAGGGCGTTAGCTTCAGCCTCGTCCAATCTGACCTGCAGTTCCTTGATCTGTTGTTCAAGGGCCTTGCGCAGTTTCTCCTGAGTCTGGGCGTGTTCTTGTTCAGCGCGGAGTTCATCGGCAAGACGGGCAGCATCAACCATAGCCTTCTTGGCCTTCTCCTCAGAGTTCTTGGCCTCGTTGAGAAGCTCATCCAAGTCGGAATGCAGGGTCTGCAATTCGGACTCGAGTTTCCTCTTGGCGGCAGAGAGGGAAGCGTTTTGGGCGGACAGTTCATTAAGCTGTTCATGGGCATCACCAAGTTCCTGTTCGGCTTGGCGACGAGCACGGTCAGCCTGTTCCAGGAGTGTACGAGACTCTTCGAGCTCATTCTGGAGGGCATTGGCACGGCGTTCCGAGATGCCAAGCTGTTCACGGGCATCGTCGCGGGCGCGCTGTTCTTCCTCGAGGGCGGTTTGCAAGTCCTTGATTTGTCCTTGGTAACGCTTGATGTTCTTCTGGGCCTCGGCATTAGCTTTGTTGGCATGGTCGAGAGCAATCTCAAGCTCGTTGATGTCAGCTTCGAGCTTCTTCTTCATGCGTAGAGCCTCAGCCTTGCCCTTAGCCTCGGCTTCGAGGGAAGCTTGCATGGAGTCGAGAGCACGCTGGTGGTTTTTGCGTGTGTTCTCGAATTCCTCCTCCTTCTCCTGAATACGCCTGTCGATCTCCTGTCTGACCTGAGACAATTCGAGTTGTGCGCGGAGGACTTTGTTTTCCTCCTGTTCGAGGGCAGACTCGGCCTCCTCAAGAGCGGCCTGGAGTTCGTCTTTTTCGGCTTCAAGTCGCTTCCTAGCCTTCTCAATTTCGTGGATGTTGCGGCCACCTTCACCGATCTGGTCAAGGAGATCCTTGACTTCATCAGCAAGGTTCTTGTTCTCACGACGGACGGCCTCGAGTTGTTCCTGACCTTCTTCATAGGCACCCTTGAGACGGAACAATTCAGTGGAATAGTTACGGCATTCCTTCTGGCTGGCGTCAAGCTCGGCAGCAAGATCATCAACCTTGAGTTTCCATTCTCCAATGATCTTGTCGAATGCCTTCTGTTTCTTCTCGGCAGCGTTAGCAATGGCTGTGGCGCGGTCAACCTCGAGTTGCAGATCCTCGACCTCAGTGGCAAGGCGCTGCTTGGTCTTTTCGAGGGCCACGACCTTCTGGTTGAGAGACTCAATGGTCTCCTCGGCTTCGGCGAGGCGAGCCTGGAGTTTGCGTTTGGCTTCCTCGAGTTCCTCCGAGCGGGCAACACCTTCGGATTCGTACTTGGAGCGCCACAGTTGAGCTTCAGCATTGGCCTTGGACAACTGGCGTTGCAGATCAGCCTTGCCTTCAGCCTCCTCCTCGACCTGTTCCCTGATGTTGTCCAGGTCGTGTTCCAGGTTGCGGAACTTGCCAAGCAGAGTTGCGCGTTCCTGTAGGTAATAAAGTAATATTGATTAATTACCTCAATTATAGTAGTCCTATATAATACTGTAGATTTTTATTTCCAACAATTTTAATAAGTTTATCTTAGACACGCAATTCGATTATATACTTTCTTAATTATGCTACGTATTAACGTTCCTTTAGCTGCAAACTAATTTGATGATTTTTTTAAGGAAATATAGAGTCATTATGAAATATAGGGAGAGAATGTCAGAAACATTGACAATGTTAATCTCTTTAGAAATCAACTTGTATGTAAATAATGTTATACATTGTATTACTAACCCTGGCTTCCTCGTCGGCGAGCCTCTTGGTGTCTTCCAGTTGAGTGGTGAGCGACACCTTGATCTTGGAAAGCTGAGAAACTTGAGACTCGGCCTCCTCCAATTGGCGGAGAAGGTCAGAGTTCTCGATGGACAGCTTCTTCTTGGCGGCATCCAGGTCATTGAGCGTGCGGTTCGCCTCATCAGACCTGCTCTGGACCTCGTTAAGCTGGTGTTGCAGTTGCTTGACGATCTTCTCCTGGGCAGCCTGTTATAAATATATATATTAGCACAACATATCTTAATGGTCGGTATACCTTTATGTACCAGGAATGGCAAATAAGTTGACAGCCCATCCAATGGAAAGTGGCAACCGTCGATACGAACATAAATTGCAATTCATCACATTCATGGTACCCGTCTTGAATTGCCATTCCTGAGAACTTATTTATGATTTCAATTGACTGTACGTATGCGTTGTTATTATTAAAATAATTTAATATTTTAATAATCATTATTATTAATTGTAAATAAAGAATTATATTATTGATTATGAAATAAATAAATGCACACAATTTATTTTATTAAGTAGCATAGATAGTATTACTATTTTGTTTTCAGCATGCGTTAGGTTATTTTTTACTTTTGGATAACAGTAATAAATTGTTAGAAGGCACTCATGTGATCAGAGAGTAATAAATAGTCATTAAATTGGATAACTTTCACTGAAAGGCGTAGTCGAAATTACAAAATTCGAAAAATATGATTGTCATCTGACATCATTAGATACATCTACCGATGACTAAATATTTTTGACTTTTTATACGATATTCTTCGTATAAAAATTAAAAAATATTGACATCATTTGCTAGATGTTTACATGTAGAACATTCATTACTTTTTTAATAAAATCGATGGATATTGAATTCCTATATCCATTTCGTTACACTCTGTAGGAAAGAAATATTTTAGACTTCATGCTATACGAATGGAAACATAAGATTGTTTAGTAAATATTATTTGAATATTATGGTAACATGAGTTATGTATTGAATGTTGTGTTTTAATTTTGATCGTCCACTATTTGCGAAAGCGAAGCTGATGTCCTGCCATATTGCTGATGCCAACACATATTTTTTTATCCATTTGTACCTTTTCGTTGGACAAGTGGTCGAGACCGGCACGAAGGTCATTGACTTCGCTAAAGTATTGAGAGCGCTCTTTCTCAGCCCTGAATAGATAGAATACGACAAAAACAATTTAGTAAACTGCCAAAACCGGTACCAACAACTGAGGGATCACTGACGCTCTGCTGATGATCAAGATTATTTGGAGGACACAATTCTGTTACTATGTTGTATACAGGTTCGTGTTTATGTGTTTGACCAGATAGTAGAAAATATAGATTCCATGCAGGGTTCACCCCAGGCGGTACACATGCCTCTAAGGTGACATGTTACCTTCTCCCTTGCAACTTGATCGATTGCCGCACGCGTGTTGTTAAGCTCGCTGTAGCAAGATGCACGATCATGTTCAGCCCTGAATTTGCATTTAATTGAAGTTCAATAATCAATTTCATTCAATTTTATATACCTTTAAAATCACTCAAAATAATACATATTGGGGTATAAATTGGGGAAACGTTTTGGAGCATTGCATATTTTATAATTATATTTAAATAAGAAATATACATACTTGGCCTTGAGTTTGTTGAGTTGGTCGAGTTGTTCACCCATCTCGGAGACAGCATCGTTGTGCTTCTTGCGGAGATTGGCAAGGGTGGACTCGTGTTGGATGTTGGCCTCCTCGAGGTCACGGCGGAGTTTGCTGAGCTCAGCCTCACGCTTCTTGTTGAGCTCGATCTGGGCAGAGGTAGCGCCACCGGCCTCTTCAAGGCGCTCACCGAGCTCCTCGAGTTCACGGGCGAGGTCGGCACGCTGCTTCTCAGCCTTAGCGCGCGCTTGACGTTCAGATTCAACTTCTTCCTCGAGCTCTTCAATGCGTCCCTGGAGCTCCTTGATCTGTTTCTGGAGCTTGCTGACGAGGGATTGCTCATCCTCAAGCTTGGCAGTGAGGGAGGAGATTTCCTTGTCCTTGCGTTGGATGGTCTGCTCGAGTTCCTTCTTGTTGCGCTCAAGATCAGCAACGGCCTCTTGGGTAAGCTTGAGGTCGCCCTCAACCTTCCTCCTTTGCTTCTCAACATCACCACGGAGTTTCTTCTCGCGCTCCAAAGAGTCTTCCAGCTCGTCCAGGGTCTGTTCGAGCTTCTGCTTAACCTTGTTGAGGTGGTTGACCTTGTCCTCAGCAGCTTGGAGCTCTTCAGATGTCTTTTGGGTGGATTCACCCTGGAGTTTCTTTTCCTTGTTCAGCTTGTTGATGAGCTCATCCTGGTGGGCAATCTCATCATTCAAGTTGCGGATCTGGTGATCCTTGGTCGCCTTGTCTTGCTCGGACTTCTGTACGCTAAGTTCGAGGTCTTCAATGTCCTTCTTCAGGCCAGACACCTCTTGCTCCAATTTCTTCTTAGATTGGAAGAGTTGGTTGCGGGCATCCTCTTCCTGAGTGAGACGGTCTTGAGTATCCTGTAGGAATGTAAGAAATATTTATAATCAAATGAATATCAAAATACTATTAGGATGCTATACTGAGTATTATATCATATTAACTACCAATTAAGATCACACTACTGGGGATAGGTGTAACGTCTGAATAATATGATTTAGTTACTATTATACGCTGATCAGGCTTAGTTATCTAGAGCTCTTCTGTTGCATCGAATTCCTCTATTAATTACCATTCATTTTTGGGAAATACAGTACTTAAAATTTATTATATTTTTACTACATCATTACGCTGATTATATGTATATATTATGTATACTCCAGTATGTCTGTTCCGCGTTTATCGTCACCTAATATCAACTAATGGTATGCAATAAATCGTGCAACCTGCAGACGTGCAATTATTTTTAACTCCTCAAACTATTCGTAACATATAAACAAACTCGTGTTTATTTAAAGAAACAACTCGACCAATACTCACGTTGGAGTAATTTGCAACACTGTATCTATTTCCTTCTTTTAATTTGGAACTAGTTCAATGTAAATAAAAACATTTACATTATCAAATAAAATACGGGAACTACCATTAGTAATATTAAACGCGTTAATTATATCGTATCGAATACTTAAAATTTTATTATTTATTTCAATCGCATTCTCGATATATAATATATGCTACTTGATGTCTAGATACCATCAATTTTCACTGCAGTTCGGTAACTAAACTATTCCTCTGCCTACACTGGGTAGGCAGAGGAATATTATATTAATTAAATTTAGCATTTTTTATACCTATTTTTAACTATTAAGAATAATAACAGCTTGTCATTTCTATATTGCAATCAATAATGATTTATGCTATTTCATATTTAAGTAAATTTATAAATAGTAATAATAATCCAGGGTAGGTGAATTTTTTTTTAAATTTACATAGAAAATATCCAGGCCGATACAAATAATCATACGGGCATTGATAAAACTATTAGGAACTATTATAGATATAGATCAGTTTATAATTTTTTTTTGTCTGCCTGTCATAAGTTATCCTACATATATGTAACATAATATTCGTCAACATCCCAAATGTCACTTATTGAATATATTAATTAATTTAGAAAGTTTCATTTTCTCTTTAATAATTAGACTGACCAAGAACAGAATTTGCGGTTTATATACTAATCACTTCAGTAATGCATAAGATGCAATTAAAAAGTAATACAGAATTGTCATACATTAAATGGATTACAGTAAGTGGTGCATTAGCTTACCCTAAGTTGAGATTCGATGTCCGATTTCTGCGCCTGGAGTTTGGCGGCGCGTTCCTGGAACTCAGACAGGGAGCCCTTCTCTCCCTCGAGGCTGGACAGCAGGGTTGTCTTCTCCTCAAGAAGCTTGGCGTTGAGGGCCTCAAGCTCTTTACGGAGCTTCTCTTCCTTCTCAAAAGCCTCCTGCGCTTTTTGTGCTTTCTCTTCCAATTTCTGCAAAATGTCACCACTTTTGTTCATTGTCCCAACCCACTCGGTCACATGTAATACTTCCGTCATAATTAATTTGTCAAATCATTAAACTGTCAAATTATTAGTTAAATCACTGAGGAATACAAGAGTCGGTTCGTTCGTGAGTGCAGGAAGGGTGCGCGCGCCGCCGACCGATCCGCTACTGAGCACCGCTGGAGTTTTCCAGTGGCGATATGATCGCCCCCGCATTAATATTGTGCAAGGGAAAAGCGCGCGGGTAGCGGCTAAAGAGGGGAGGAATCCAGAAATGGCCGTGGCAGGTGCTGCGGTGTCACGTAACCGGCAGGTGGGTGCGGTCGATCTATTTGCGTTCAAGTGAATCACGCGTCCTATATTAAATTATATTGGGCCATAGCTGTTAATCATTTTAATCAGGCACGATGAAAGATACTTACCGCGATCTCATCCTCGACGCGAGTGACGTTGAGGAGGGGCTTGACCTTCTGCCACATTTTCCACCAGGGCCAGGTGCGGAGCTGCAGGTATTTGCGCAAGTTGCGTTGGACAACTTGGAGAGCGAGCCTGTGCAAATTAGGTTCAATTTAAATTTTGAAAGCATCTCTGCTTAATTGTTTACTAATCCGACTTATATCGTAAAGTTCGCATTTGAAGAATTTGAAAAAAAGCTTTGTAGATCAATTCAAATTCCTGAGTGTCTCGCCGGCTATAGAACCACCAATAGTAAACAAAATTTATCCATAATTGTTTTCACTACATCATCCTAAGGCAATATTCTATTTCTCTAAATATGGTAATGTGTATGTCACAGTAGTACTGACCTCTGTTCTTGCAGCTTCTTGTACTCCTTTCGGGACAAGTAACCACGAATATAGGCCTGGAGCCATGACACGATCTTGGACAACCTGTCGTCACGCAACTCTTCCATCTGACCCAGGACACCAGCGCGGAAGAATACCTGCTCGTACATAGTTAAGAGTTAAGGGAACGCTGACTTAGGCCGAAGGTAATTATAATAATACGTAATATAAATATATATATAGATAAATTAAATGATCATATATATACATATATTTTTACTTGATATAAACATACATATGACGATAAAAACGAGAATGCAAAATACTTACCCTTACTCAGAAAAACTAAAAACCTACTTATAAACCATTTCAACTATTAGAATGTTCTGTCACTTTCTAGAAAGCGTTAGCTTAAAAGAAGGGGACAAAACTAATTCAATGGTTAAAATAGGTTTATTAGACGTTTAGAGATTCTTTGAATAAGGGGGTTAAATTATTACATCTAATATTAGTAAATACTTACAGGAAAATAATATTATACTTATTACATAATTGACAAGAAAAAATGCAGCTCGTGTGTAGTAAAGCCAGATAAGATCATGCAGATACAGATATAATAGCAATTAGTAATGTGATGTGTCGGATGTTGTTGCTACCTTGGTCTTTCCAAGTCTGAAAGACTCCGAATCCAAGCCGGTTTGTTCGAGAATTTTCTCAGTAGCTTTCTCTGGTGATATTGGCTCTTTGATCAGGTTCGGGCACAGAATTTTGTATCTGCGTTAGGGAGCACACAAAATAAAATAACTACTGTTTGTTGGGTGTGTAGGGGAAGCGCGTACAGTTGAAAAACAAAAAGGAGCCTGTGGGTAGATTGGGCTCTATATTAAGCAGCTTAAACATATTCTTCTGCCCAATTATGTCCACCAGTCTCAATAGGTGGTATCATAATTGGACAAAGCATTGAAGCCTCGCAATTCGCCTGTGGGTCATATCACACGGCTAACTACAGAAACGGGTTCAGGACATGCCTTGGTGTGACCGAGACGGTATGACTCGACATCCAAACCAGTGGCATCCAGGATGACTTGGGCGATTTTCTTAGGGTCACTTTCCTTTTCCACAGCTTGAGGGGCCAGGATCTTGTAGCTACATTATCAAATATTGGCACACAATGAGGGAAAGTCAATGAAATCGGATCATTCATCGGATCCGAATGTCACAAGGAAGAAAGAAGGTCGGTACTCGAGAAATTTCTAACACATCTTTATGTTTTAATAAATTATTATTATCAGACCATGTCGGACTAGGAGTTAGAAATTCCTCAATCACATGTTTATATTCGTATATTTTTGTACATACTTCTTGTATGTCATATTGAATATCTATAGGTGCAAACCAAAAATTATAACATATGGAAGAGAAACCTGTAAACAGTGAGCATACAGTATTGGTAGGGTATAAACAAACTCTATTCTTTAGAGTTTACGTGATTCCTTAGGAAATATAATACATGCTGACGCTATTCCTAAATGGTATCTATTTTCAAAATCCTTGCCTTAGTATGACCAATACGATAGCTTTCAGGGTCAAGATTAACTGCTTCCAAACACTTCCTAGCTGCTTCTTTGGGGTCTTTTTCAGCAGTCATAATGGCTGGTGCAAGAATCATGTAACTGTCCATTAAATAATACTGTTGATTATTCATATTCGCAAGTACAATTGTAGATCAAGATAAAATTTTAAATAAAATTGTTCAATCTTAATATTACTTAATATGACTTGAAGAAATCTTAGAAAAATCTAATCTTAATCACCACTCAACATCTCAAAGTGTGAATCAGAATAGAATCACACTCGTCATAATAATTTTAGAAAATGTTACTCATAGTAATGCACGACTGGAAGGCTATTTGACGTCAAAGGAGTCAGCTGCAGCACCAAAAATAAAAACGCTCCACATATTCCAGTTGTAAAAGAATTTTGTTTAGACTTAGCAACCGAATTTATAGCGGTTTCAAAACAAATTTAATATCTTGATCCAAAAACATAGTAAATAATTTTATTCGATGACTATTTCATAAATATTCGCGTCAAATTGATTCGTTTATACGAAAATAGTTTAAAAGTTGAAAGAATATTTAGAAGCGTTGAAATCTTACCGGAGCTTAAAGTCAGGGTAGACCATCCTGTTGGGGAAACCTTTACGGCAAATACGGATGCCTTCAAGCACACCGTTACAGGTCAGCTGGTGCATTACAAGGTGAGAATCAATGAGACCTGGTGGACAAAGTTCGTTATCACTCTACATATAGTGTCAATAGGGTACGATACTTTTCTAATATGTAATATAAAACTGTATCGTCATATTCATGAAAACATTAAAACATCTAATATTTTTATTTTATATATTGAACTATTTTGTCCTCATTCTTTGAACAATTTTGTTCATTTTATAGACTGTGGCAAAACACTTCAATAGTTACAATGCGTTAAATTTTGCGAAAAAATAGAAATAACATTTATAGGATAAGAAGTAGTAATAAGAAGAATAAAAAGACTAAAAAGAAGGTAAGAGATGATTATTTGCTTGTTTTATTTTTTTTATAGTATATTTATATAGAATTTCTTATAATCTATATATATTTTTTGTAGAGACATATAATGTTGTTTGTTTCTTAAAATTTATGAATGATTGTTGAAAATATTCTAAATATATGTAAACTTACCAGGCTGTTTCAACTCGTTGGGGATGATACAACGCACGAAGTGAGGCTGGGTAGACCTCAGCGTTGTCATCAGGTTGTTAAGTTGTTCCTGTAGTATGAAGAAATGTTAGTAACATTATATAGAACCGCTAGATAAACATCGACAAATTATATTAGTTATCCTTATTTCCCTTCTGTAGGAATAAAAGGAATATGATGAAGTTTGCTCAATAAAAAATATTTCAACAACATTATGTCATTAGATAAATTCACACACAATATTAATATTACAACATGTTTTATATAACAAGTAATTACTATATTGACAGATCTACGTCTATAAAAACAATTATTAAACATAGAAACACACAGACAAAAAGAAGCTTAATATTAACAGCAGCGACAGTAGGAAGTAGCGTTTAAACCGTAAACGGTCTCAGTTGATTCTTTTTACATAAATTGCATGCGATTACAGAAAGTATCCCATATCTGGACTACTCTGCAGCTGTGCTATAGATTACGTTGACACATTTAGTAATCTGTGCGCGACAAAATCTGTGGTGGTGCGTTATACACATTATTAAAAGTAGAAGTTACTATTTATGTTCAAGATAATGATAACCTTAAAAAATGTATTCAAAAATGATAATCAACTACACTCAACAGTAAAATCGTGGTATAGCTACATCCAAGTAGGATTATACGACGATTAGATGATTAAGAACAGAAAACAACTCATATATATAATAACAATTAAATAACCTTGTAAGCCGAGGAGACAGTAGCGAAACCACCACCCTTCTTACCGCGACCGCCTATGGACGTACACGTATAAGCATTGATTAGTACAAGGACAATCGCAATATTGTCTATGGGACATCTACAGTTACTCTAGAATATACCTGGGAGCGTAACGCCGACATGAGCTGTGCTGTAAAACACACTGACACGGACGGACACGGATGATTAATGTAAAAGCAGTAGAAGTTGCCACAGTGGAATATACAGATGGTATAATTTAAAGTGAAACAGAATTAATGAAAAGTAACACCATCTATATAAATATACTGGTGTCAGCTTCAAGCGTTTGACAGACGAAGACAGAAAGCGACGTGGTTGTCATAGAAGCAAAATAAGGGCACGGTCAACATGTTTACCCTGTAGAGCGATGATACAGTCTGGAAGGCAGAACCCTTGGCACGTTTGCCACCAGCGCCTATTTTATTCAAAACAGTTATGTCAGAAAGTTAGTTAAATATGATCCAATAATATTATGATGTTATGAGATTCTTATGTTTATGAACCAAGAACATTGAAGTATGATTTGAACTTGGCTATAGTTCCACGATGAAAGTTTGATGATGTGTCAATTTAGATGTAGTGAATTGTCCCACGTACCATCCGTATACGGTGCTCTAGTTTTGCTCTAGTATGTTCACAGATGTATACTACAGCTCATACCTGTGCGCTCGGCTTCATTCTTTCAAGTATTGCTAATAAACCTTCATTATTACATTTTTAAATATAATAGTAAGAGTACTTAAATCTTATATCTGAGTTAAAGAGAAATGGAACGTACCCTTGCCACCGCCGCCACCAGCATCACCAGACTGACCGGGATGGTCAGCAAAGATCTCAATCAACAGTTTGTTCTGTCCCTTCTTGAACTGGTCTACGACGGTGTCGTTAAGGGGATCCTTGTTCTTCTCAAGCCAGCCAGTGATGTTGTAGCCGACCTATTTCACAAATATCACAATTTTCGTCAAAGTCTATTTTATGTAAGTGGTAAATTGTTTGTTTACGTAAGTGGTGACTATCTGTAGATTAATCTTTTACTTAATCTTCACGTGAGGAAGTATTATGGCTAAAGTTATTAAACTGTAAAATAACCATTGCTTTTCAGACACGACTAAAAAAGCAGTATTACTTTAATTACCTAACGCAATAAAGATGATGATGTTACTGGAAATTATTGATACTTACGTTACCGGCGTAGTGACCAATGGCGAAGTGAGCGGCTTGGCAGCCGGGCTTGGGGGGTTTGGGCTTCAGGTATGGTGGAGATTTACCCAAGTGGTTGTTGTTCAACTTCTCAACGAATGTCTGATCGGTGGCTTTCGGGAACATAGACTCTTCCTCAAGGATGGAGAGAATACCCATAGGCTGAAATCGAACTGAAGCGGTTAGGACACGAAAAGGTTAATGCTGTCCTGGAAAAAATGCTGCTGTTTTGCTGGCGCGATCATATTTGAATAAAATGATATCAATATGAATAAAGCAATGACAAGAACTTCGAAATTCTACTGTTTACTGATACAAAGATTTACGAGAAGTTGTTCCAGTGTCAAATCTTCTTTCTTCTCCTATATGAATCATTATTTAATATTTCAATTACATTACAAAATACACTATTGTACAATATTTACAAGTACAATAATTATTGTTAAGCGTTATATATAGAAGCATGACATGCATTGTTTATTTATATGTGTTTGTGTGTGTATTGTAGCTTAATGTGACAAGTTATTGGCCTTTGTAATATTAGGAAGCCTATAGCTTGCATAGCTGCGCTTTTTTCTTTTATATAATTATGTGTATTATATTCTAGTTGTTTAAATGTAAGAAATATATTTTCTATATTAATTTCTCCATTTAAACATGTATAATACACAAATAATTGAGCATAGAGCTTAAGCGAATTGGTTATTACGTCTACGCTTATGTAATTTTGTGCAGTCCTAACAGCGCAGTGTACTATCATATATACTTCATTATCAGCTCAAGGGATTTCATAATTTACAAGAGGATAATGCAAATAGCTTGATTTGTTTGTACGAAAGTTTGCGTGTGAAAGCGCTATTTTTACTTTTACTACGCAATTACCGGGAGCAGGGGTACACAGCCAGTACTTTTTACTTTTGCATTTGCAGGCGATGCCGTTCAGCCTGAAGCTTCTTCTATCGCGACCCTATACTTCATTTTACAATAATATACCTTTTCTATCAAATTTATTGTCGGTTGAAGATCCATACCAAAATCTATAAAGGTCCATTGGATCCCTTCCCTTTCGTACTCCTCTTGTTCTAGTACGAACATGAAATGGTTAAAGTATTGTTGCAATTTTTCGTTCGTAAAGTTTACACAGAGCTGATTAAACCCGTTCACCTGGACCGTGGAAACATGAAAAAATAATGTCTAAGATTTTTAACATCTATCATATAAGAGTATCTGTAGTGGGTGTTGATGTCTTTATGTGAAACAATAAACAAAGACACACAGTTGGAGTTACAGAATCACAACGAGCAGATAGCATTGATAGAGTGATTCGAGTAAAGTCTGTAACAGTGTTCAGATATCATACATATCTGAATATTGGAGATTATTTAAATTTTAAATACAAAATATCAGACATTATTCGAATACTCTAATGGCGAGATGCAAGCGTTCATTGTTGCTTTGTCGCCATATACCTTTTCAATAAGGTCAATGCAATTTTGAAGATCCATGCCAAAGTCAATGAAAGTCCATTCGATGCCCTCGCGGTGGTATTCTTCTTGCTCCAAGACGAACATATGATGGTTAAAGAACTGCTGTAGTTTCTCGTTGGTGAAGTTAATGCAGAGTTGTTCAAAACCGTTGTACTGCAGGTGAATGTGAAATGTTAAGCGAAGGAAAAGACTGGTTACGGATCTCATTCCGCAATTCAGTTACCCTAGTATGACGTAAAGATATTAAGGCTATCCTGTCTCTACTCGGACAGCCCATGAAGATACTAAGGCTACACCTGTCTCTACTCGGAGCCTGTGATAACGTTACAACTATTATTCCCGTCTTGACAGCCCCAGCGTCGACGGGTATCATATTTAACCCATTCGACTATTACCTTCTCAATAAGATCGATACAAGCGAGCAAGTCCATTCCAAAATCGATAAAAGCCCAGTTGATGCCCTCTTTCTTGTACTCTTCTTGCTCCAGTACAAACATGTGGTGGTTAAAGAACTGCTGCAGCTTCTCATTGGTGAAGTTAATGCAGAGTTGCTCGAAACCGTTGTACTTTTTAAAGAATAGGAAACCCAATAAATGGACAGGTTAACACAATTAGGATATACTAAACTAGACTATCCGTCATTAGTGAGCGCGGCACGACATGAAAAGCTAAAATCGATGGCACTATAGATGACTAATAGTCCAACCGAGGGTCACACACACTCGGTGTACCTTCTCAATAAGATCTATGCAGGCCAGTAAGTCCATTCCAAAGTCAATGAACTCCCAGTGAATGCCTTCTCTAGTGTACTCTTCTTGTTCCAACACAAACATATGGTGATTGAAGAATTGCTGTAGTTTCTCGTTGGTGAAGTTAATGCAAAGTTGCTCAAAGCCATTGTACTAAGAAATAAATTATCATTAACATCATACATATTAAAAAATGTTGTTCATTATTCCCCCTTCTTATTTGTCTTAAAACTAACATGGTAATATCTAGTCAAGCATAAACGCCAATTTATGCTATTAAGATATTTCAAAACAAAAGAACTATATGTTCTTAAACTGAAATATGAAATATTTTATTGTAAGTTACGTCTGTACTGTTAAGTCTTATTTGAATCCAAGATTCAACATTTTTTTCGGTTTGAATGTACACCAAATTAATGTTGAAATTATATTCCATGTCAATATGTAAGGTCAGTCATCTTCTTTAATTCGAACTGTGAACTGATCTATATCCCGAATACTTACGTCGAAGATCTCAAAACCGGCGATATCCAGTACACCGATGAAGTGCTGCCTCTTCTGCTTGGTGTCTAGGGTCTCGTTACACTTCTTGACGAGCCATTTGAAGAGACGATCGAACACACCCTTGCAAAGGGCACCAACGGAGTTGAACACCTGGTCCTTGTTACGACCCTGGGTGACGAACTCGTTGCCGACCTTGATGCGGGGCTTCAACAAGTTCTTGTACAAGTCTTGGCAGTCGACGCCCAAGAGTTTAGCAACCCTTTCACCTTCCTGTAATAGAGATATACATAATACATTAGACAACTTATATGTATTTACTTACTTGCCTCAATTTTCGTTTTTTTTCTTTATTACTAGATATAATGAAGATTCATTAACGGAATTAAGGAAAGGTTTTTTTTAATTAGAGATTTTTAATGAGAGTAACTTTTTAAAGTCATTGGCGATTTGTTTAACTATGATTCTTGTAGATATGATGATACTTGCCTCAGTTCCGTCAGCTTCAGCCTGCTCCTCGCGACCCCTCTGCTTGAACTTCATGCCACCCATGTGCATGACAGCGGCAGTGATCTTGTATACGTTGTCCTTTTCTTCTTGTGTGAAGCCCAGAATGTCGAAGGCTTGCTATAATATCAAAAACGTGTTAGTATTTCGTCTAAAAATTATAAATTTGCTGGCATTGTTTCCACAAATCACACTTTGGTTTAGAAATTACATAAAAGCTTTACATTTTTTATATTAGTCTAAATGGCCAACAGACCAACAATTAAGAATATACTTTACATACATATTAATTACTTTAATTACTGTAAAAAATATCTGCATTAGAACACGTGTAATTACTTACATAGATGTTAGTTGTTGAAGGAAAGCATTAGCACACTGGCCGGGTACAGGAAAATGATATTTTCCAGAAGGGTTGCACAAAATGACTTATATCAAAATTCACTTACTTCTACATTGTAACAATTCAAACATAAGGGACTATCCTAAAGGACACTGCTTATCTATTTGAAAAGGTTCCAGACAGATTTATTTTCACTAAATTCCATTATAGTCAATTTTAATGGTCTTAGTAGCATTATATCTGCATTTTTATTGAAAAAAAAATACAGAATTTAACTACTCTTTAATAACTCTAACCTATGGGATCATCATAAAGGAATAATTATACTTTTATATATTTCAAAAGGTTTTAAAAACTATGTCTCTAAAAACCATTACAGTCAATATTAATGGTCAGAATTCATCTACTGTGTGCGTTACATAGCCCACTTGTAGGAGGTAATTCCAAGTCAGACACTTCGATTTTCTTTCTTTTTGCACTTACATCAGTCAAGGTACATTCTTCGCCGTCATCCATGTTGGGGATTGTAATCTTACCCTGGGAGACGTTGTGGTAATCGTAAATGTCGTTGGACAATAAGCAAATATCTGTTGATTAAATCACCGGTATTAACAAGATAACATTACCACCAGATCCTATTGCCCTGTAAAAACCCTATCTGTCTGTGTTGTGTAAGTATACATATTAGTTTTTGGGGTGCTTGTGCTGGATCGGGATCTGGGCCGATTGCTTATATCCGTGGTAAAACTTGTGCATAAAGCCCTTTTGAACACTTGCAGGGAGCGAGCATGTCATGTATAGGCCAGATCTCAAATTTCAGCATCAACGTGTCCAATCACCGTATATCTGAATCAACGCACGCTCCATGCTCAGTTCGTGACTTACAACCGTCAGTTCGAACTCTGCTGCGTCGTTGACTCCAGGTATACGTGTCGTCCCTTGACTTAAGAGGGGATAGTCCGACACCCGGTTGCTTAGCATCGTCATCTCTGTAAACATCAATCCAAGATCTGACTTACACATGCGCGGACTGAGTTTCAGCTCAGCCTTAAGCGAAGCAGGAAGCGATAGATATAGCTACATTAAGAACATTGACAACACCAGATGGGCCAGTAGTCATAATCTGGACTCACATCAGTGATTTGCATTTCCTCGCCGTCATTGACGCCGGGAATAACAGTCTTGCCTTGCGAGACGATGTTGTAGTCCATGATGTTGTTGGACAAAATGCAGACGTCTAAAAACGTCATCAATTACAGTCATGTTTGATAATTGATGAAAGACATGGAAAACCAAACTGCACCAAACAAGCCAACGTCCTTGTGGTTTTTGGGAAAAAGAGTACTAGAACTAATACGTAATTTCGTGCATACTCAATGGCAGTATATCTCAATTACTGTCCGGTTTCATGCGGAGCAGTAATTGGGGTAAAAAATAGCGGTAATATGCCGACAGGTCTCCTGGTCTCAGTAGGCAGAACTTACGTCGGTCAAAACACATTCCTCGCCATCATCTACGTTGGGGATGGTAGTTTTTCCTTGTGCTACGATGTAATAGTCATTTATGTTGTTTGACAGCATACAGATCTCTAAATATTGAAACTCATGTTAATTCACATACTATTTTGTTTTTGAGAAGTGTAGACGAAATTTTAATATGGATGCGATGATTCTACAGGAACACCAAAATATTTGCACCTAAAAGTATTGGAATTCTGATGATTCTTTTACAATTATTGTCAATTAAATTGTAAACGATGATCATGATATATAAGGTAGTAATGTGAGTATGTATGTAGAGTGTAAATGTATGTATGTTTTTAGAACAATCTAAAATATTTCTTAACAGTTGACAGTTTTAAAAAAATATGTTTTTAATTTTAAAACGAACAGATTTTTTTTAGCAAACAACGTTTGTTTTATTATAAAATCGTTTTCATTAATAACCACCAAAAAATATAATAAATAATATTAATACCACTTTGGAGTTTGCTTCGAAAATTAGAAATAATCATTAATATTATAAGATAAAGTTTTCGTAATTCAAATATTTGAATAAACGAAAATATATCATTGTAAGAATTTTAAAACAATATATTCCTTATGTAAAAGTGTGTGTATATATCACGTATACGTACCCTTAAGTCCGGCAACAGAACCAGACATCATCTGGTAGAAAATGTGGTAAGAACGCTCAAGGGCTTGTTGGGAGATTACACGAGCCTTCTCGAGCAGGTCTGGTGACAATAGCTTGTTTTAGAAACAAAATTCAATAACAAACTCTCCCTATTAAAAAAACATGTAACATATAAACATATCTTATAAGTCTAACAAAATGTTCATTAGATTTATTAGACAAGTTTATAAGTTAGATGTTTTAGCTATTGTATTGATTATTCCATTACTTTTAATAAATTTTCTTAATTTTAAAACGGTAAAACAAAAGATTAAAATTTCCAATAATTATAATTCATTTGTAGAGGGTTATAGTTAAAAAAATAATGAACTTAGAGGATTAATTAGCCTCAGTAAGATAACAAATAAGTGACGAAGATATGTTGTTATTGTATTCGAAGCGCCTTAAATTTGCTCCCAATATTTCAACTTAACAACTTTTAAAAGCCACAAGTAATGAATTATCAGATCAAATTCTCAATTAAATAGGAAAGAATAGATTACCTCAATTGTGATCTTTATAAAGGAAATTTTAGAGTTGATTTTCAAAGTACTTACAGGTCTCAATATCGGCACCAGCCAGTTTGCCAGAGGGACCGAAGTGGATACGGATGAATTTACCCTGGGGAAGAGCGGAACAGCTTTTACTTATACTTCATCACAAATAATAGCTAAAAGGTAAGGATAGAGGCAGAAGAGTGACATTGTCAATCGAGGGATACTTTGTTCCAAATTGTAAGTACTTTTATCTGACAAGTCTGCAGCTAAGCCGTTTGCTTCGTAAGCTATGATCCGGTTTGGATGTTGAGATGTGGTAGTGATATAACAAAGTTCTTAAAGGTCTGTCTTTTATAAATATTCCCATTCTAATGTATTTGCGTAATCTAATAAACAAAATAATCAAATTCACATTATTTTGGAATACTTAAAAAATTGATCCTTAATTAAAGAACAATAAGAGTTGTATTCTTTATCTTCTCTTGTGCTTTGATAAAATCGCATATTTGACACCTTTCTGAGCCAAGTGACTGAGTTTATATTGTGACTGATCTAAACTAATATTATAAAGTAGTAATGTGTTCTACTTTATGTTTATAAGTAATATATAAACTCAACGAAATGAAAACGAAATTTAAACGAATTAAATCTCTTTCATCTATAATATTTAAGGCTGTATTAACAGCGATATAAAATGGACTTTATTTATTTAGGAACAAAATAGAAATTACTACAATAATTCCACTATATGAAACCAAAATACCTAATAGAAAATAATTGAAATATAATAAAAGCATACTTACGAATCGGGAGGAGTTGTCGTTACGCACGGTCTTGGCGTTACCGAACGCTTCAAGTACAGGGTTAGTTTGGACGACCTGATCTTCCAGGGAGCCCTTCTTCTCCTGGCTGGCATCCTTCTTCTGCGAGGCACCCACGGTGGCGAAGTACGCAATTACCTTCTTCGTGTTCTCAGTCTTACCAGCACCAGACTCACCGCTGAGCAGAGCAGAAAATAATATCATATAGAAATCATCGTCAGCCTCACTTAATGGTAAAGAAGTTATAGAAAATTTAAAGAAAGTTAATTGCAACATTGCTTTTTAATATTATTTCTGGGGTGCACTTTTGTCATTGCTTCCAAAATTGCCGTTAAAATGGGTGTGTTATGGGTACCAGATAACTGATAGATATACTTAGATACATATGTTTGTTTTGTAAATACTAATATAATATACATATAAAACAACCAGACAATAGAAACAATCATACTTATGAATACAAATGTTTATACTGTGCAAGGAATCGAACCCGCAACCATTGGAAACAAAGCGGCGTGCTAAACCGCTACAGCACCGAGACCGATAATCATGGTAATATAATCTTTTATAATGAATAATTTGTATGTTCAGAAACTAAAAGTTTCTGAATAAGTTTCAATTTGTATTTCGATGCAGGTGACAATTTTTATTTAGTATTCATAAAGATTGCTAAGTCAAGAGACGATACTATGTCCTCAGAAAAGCAATGCTTGTATAATCTTGATTCTATGTATGCTATTGCAAAAAGTTTAAGAAGTATATAGAAGTGTTTGAACTTACGTAATCAACATAGATTGATTCTCGTGGTTGGTCAACATGTTTACATAGGCACCGTCGGAAATGGCGAAGATGTGGGGTGGCACTTCCGAACGACGCTTGCCACGGTACAGCCTGGCGCATCGTGTCGTGTACACGGGGAACCTCTTGTAAGGATTGATGGCGACGCAGAAGAGACCCGAGTACGTCTGTTGTAGCGAAACGAGTGATTACTTCCACTAGTCATATCGACAGATGCGATGGAGAATGGAGAAAGTGAAAGAGTTGCAAAAATGAAATATCATATCGATGTAATGGAGAATGGTGAAAGTGAAATAAAAATTGTAGAACAAAATGAAATAGAATTGAAGGTGATGAATAACGAAGAAACAGAATTGAAGATAGAATTGACGGCGATGGACAATGATGATGATCTCTTAACACAACTAAAAAACACACAAATACAGAGATAGTATTGTATCGATACTTTATATCTCTGAAAATGAATATTGTATAAAAGTATTCTCTGCAAAATATCTACGAATGTAATAATTACACAATCAGTAAAGCAAATTTAAGTTACTAATTACAGAGACTTCTTTTACACAGTATAAAAGAACGAAAATATAGTCTTATATTAAATACGTAGAAGTTGGGTACTGTAGCGGTACCTTTTACTTCCACAAGAAACCAAAATAGAATATTACTTACTATCTGTCAAGAGAATAGAAAGTAAAAGAAAACACACCCCAATATAACACTAAACATAAATATAATCTAGGCTAAACGTAAAGAATCTACAGAAAGAAGAATTCCTCTGAAGTCCTCAGCATCGACTTGTCCTGTGCCAAAAGGTTTCAAGTCTGGTTCAAAGGAGGTCATGGATTAGTCACAATTGTAGGATTGGGTTGGCAGTTCTATAGACACGCTCCATCTAAAATTATATCATTGATTAATTACGTATTAAGTATTCAAAATCTCTGAATGCTTTCATTAGTTGATAAATCAATAATAGCTTCATTGATCTATTGCCAAGTCTTATTTATATTGGAAATAGTTTTATACAGACTTTATAGTATAACTAGTTACTCTATAATAAAAAATATTTGATCGATAAACTTTAAATCAATGTAGTATTTATGGCAATGATACATCTAAAATCAATCGTTAAGGTGTTATATAGCTTAGTGAAACAAAAAATCTATATAAATCTTAGCTAGTAATCTGTTCTCTATAACATAATTTATGCATATCCGTTTGCTTTCGATCATTATCGAAAGAACTTACGAAGCTAAGAGAATCTGTTCACAGTACCAAAATAACAACTCAAAACGCTACCGAAATAGATTCAGCCACGTATTGATGGTTCTATTTATATTCCATTAATTGAGCCATCCAAGATTAATTGCGCTCTTTGTAGATACGGAATGCACTTTAAAACTTGGTATCAATCCAATAGAAACGTGTCTATAGTGGTGACAGATAAGAAAGGTGAGGTGATCATGCACACTGCAACGTAACCTGCAACCGCTGAACCTATTCCTGACTTACGTAAATAAGCTTATGGTAATATCTTTGCTTCAAGTTATACAAAACAGAAGCATCGTTGAGGTATGTCAAGTTGGACATATCCTCGCATTTCTCGTATTTAGGTGGGTTGACTTGACCTACAAGATCCTTCTTGAAGTCTTTTGTCTGTGGAAGAGAAAGTTATATTAATTTCTAGTAAAGGTAAAGGCGCATTCAGCGCCTACTTACGTAGATCAGTTTTGCATAGTATCGTTGTCGGAGGTTATGGAGTACAGCGGCATCATTTAAGTACGTGAGATCTGCCATGTCCTCGACTTTCTCGAATTTCGGCGGGTTTACTTGTGAGAGGAGTTCCTTTTTTAATGTCTTCTCCTGCTCATTTAATAGACAACTTTAATATATTACATAAATCTAGACATAATTAATATTATACCGTATAGAGACATTAATTAAATAATAATTATTCTCAATGAAAGGGTGCATCAGAAAATCAACATTATTTTCAGAACAATCCTAATTGTCTGAAAATAGAGTATGCTAAGACGTACGTCTGTTTAGATTGACTACAATGGTGATGACCTTGACCACCAGAAATCTATTTTTAAGAAGTCCTATTGAAATTCTGTTATTAGAATTAACTGTAATTAAATATTTATCCAAACATTGTTAACAATTTTAAAATGTAAAACTATTCTAGAATGTTTAGTTTAATTTTGGATAAACCAGTTATTAAACTTTTCTTTTGGAAATTTAATAAAATCTCACTGCCCTACTTTATATAAGGAATTTCAGTGCAAAATTTCATACTTCTAGGCTATATACTAATTTATCAATTCTTTTGCATATTATATGCATATTAACATTATATCTGTTTAATTTAGTACTCAATAATTTTGATCAAACAAACATTTAAAAAAATATAGAAAACAATATTATTTTTCCATAATTAGACCACAAATTGATAATATAGTTCAAGATTTTATTCATTCAAAAATTATATTATGTAACCCTAATATAAGGTTATTTTATTCAGTTTTAAAGAAAAACCGGGTTTGATAACTCTATTATATCTAAACTACCATTGTCGTATCTTTACCTCGCCTCCGGGAAGGTTGACGGTCACCAGATCACCCTTGGTGGCCTTAATCTCGCCCTGCAAGAAGCCCTCCTTTTCGTCCGGTACCCAGCATGCCTTCTTGCCATCGTAGGGCTTGCTTTGATCGATACGCTTCTGCTCAAGAGAAACGAACAGGTATGGGGTCGGATCGGGATCTTCTCCCTCTTGGACCACTGGCTTCGGCATTTCGGAGGGCTAACGAGACTTTTGGGCTAGTCGAGACACGAGAACACAGCCCTGGAGCCTTCCTGCGAATATACACCACACGTTAGTCTACGAATTTTTTTCAAAGATCAAAAACCGGCCCGAAGCGCGCGTCTATTTGTGGCTGTAATCCGAGTAGTAGCAGATTCGGGAACGTTGCCAACGCGCACGCAGTTTGCGTAATACACAACTTTTATGCGCTGGTTTTTATTAGCATATCCCAAATGGGCCCTTCGCGGATGTTACGTCACACGGAATGCGAGTCTGGACATACGCCAGCCGATTTATTCGATTATTGTCTTTTATGGTGCTGGTCAATGGGTCAATTACGTTTGTCCAGTCAATGAAAGTTTACATCAACTCTATACGAATATACTTCAATTATGAGTCTGATTTATTTACAATTGCATTAACTTTTTCTAATGTCATATTAATGAAACAATCTGACATTGCAATTAAACAATCTGACAGGTGATTTAAACAAACATTTCAAATTATGCCGGCATTGATCAACGTTATCAATCAATCACTTAGAAATTTCATGTAACGATAGACTGAACCATAAACCAAACACCACGAAGTATCTCACTTCTCGACAGACCACTTCACAAATCAATCCAATCGATAAATCAGCTGGCGGATGTTCACTGATGCACTGCTCTTGCATCGATCATAGGCACTCGCGAAAACTAGACGCTGCGCTTCGGCGCGCGGGGTACGTGCATGCGTACTCACGTTCGAAGCCGTTCTGACCGGCGGCGGGGCGCTCTGATGCTTTTTATACCAGCAATTCGATACCATCGCTCGCGATCACCCCATTTTAGGCGGATGCCAGCCAGCCCTGGCTACACTTTCAGACGAGCTTAGCTTTCACTACAGCGGGAGCGCTCGCTGAAGCGGGTTCCCTACGCTAATATGTCTTGATGTTTATGCCTGCTGCAGATTCTTCTTCGATGTATCATGTTTTCGTACGTTATGTATGAAAACGAAATGGTGTGAGAATGATTTTTATGGCAGTATGTACAATTTGATGAGTTTGTTTATTTCTGTTTTGATGGATGAATATGGGATTGTGCACTCGCCTGTGCTAACGGTAAATGCTACGGCGCACCAGTAGAGGGTAGGCCTTGGGATCGTTAGGGCATCAGTCAGCCTATTGTAGTTAATTGCTTAATCACAATGATTTCCAGGGGATCGCATGGTGATCAAAATAACGTAACCATACATTGTTTAGAATTCTTCTCTGAGCGCCATTTTTTAATATTAAATTAATGAGAATAGTAGTGGCTAGTGGTTGGTTTATAAAACAAAAGGACATAGGTTCGAAGCTCTATTTGGAGCAATTTATGATGCATCATTTCAAATTGCATCTCTCATGCAATTATATTTGGTATTTTGAACTACTTTTCTTATGCTACGACGGAGCAAACAAGCATACGTCTCATCTGATGGCAAACAATTACCGTAACCTATAGGCGCCTGAAACACCAGGAGTGATACGTACGCGTTACCGACCCTTAACCCTTACCTTAACCCTAGACCTTACGACCTTAAGAAACCTTAATCCTTCTTGAAAAACCCCCTGCTGTAGTCCCAAGTTAAAAGACGAATTCTGATTGAGTGATGTGATTTGTCTCTGTCTCTGTCGAAATCTAGAAATCTTTGTTTTTCTTGCAAAGTACACTATGTAATTGTGTACTTAGAATAATCTACTTAAGAGATCAATAAACTAAAAATGAAAATATTACCCCTAATATTACCCAACAAACCGGCTGTTAAGTGCTGTACAGTGTTGCCTATACCTATTTGTTACTAATCTATACATTAATATTTTGGGAAATAACTAAAGAGAAATTGTAACCTACTGCAATATTAAGAAATCAATCATATTTATATTCATACGCATTGCAGTTTTGTTTGTTTATATTATTATGAAGTACACAGTGTGTTAATTTCTTTTTTTTTTTTAATAATATTACTTCTAATTCTAAGCGTATCGTAGACCTATTTGCCCTATATAGTCTGTTGATTCTTTTTTGGAATATTATTACATCTAATTCAATTTATAGAGGGGAAGGGGATTATTAGTAATGGGTACTCATGACCCCATTGCTAGCAATGTACCTTGTCAGGTCGACCTCCACGCGGTTCCCCCTGGAAACCATCGTGTTAAATTACTGGTGAATTTGTCACGATGGGCTAAGTGAACTGACCTCATGCTCATCTTATCGTCCTCCACTGGTGCCCCGCCAGCGTAAACCGTTAGCGCAGGCGGGTGCACCATTCCGTTATCAATCACAAAAAAAAATTCAATTTATGTCGTAGAGCTACAGCCTATTTGACCTAGATAGTCTGATGATTCTTTTTTTGAATAATATTTATTCTAATTCAAATTATATCGTAGAGCTACAGCCTATTTGACTTAGATAGTCTGTTGATTCTTTTTTTTTAATAATATTTATTCTAATTCAAATTGTATCGTAGAGCTACAGCCTATTTGACCTAGATAGTCTGTTGATTCTTTTTTTGAATAATATTTATTCTAATTCAAATTGTATCGTAGAGCTACAGCCTATTTGACCTAGATAGTCTGTTGATTCTTTTTTTGAATAATATTTATTCTAATTCAAATTATATCGTAGAGCTACAGCCTATTTGACCTAGATAGTCTGTTGATTCTTTTTTTGAATAATATTTATTCTAATTCAAATTATATCGTAGAGCTACAGCCTATTTGACTTAGATAGTCTGTTGATTCTTTTTTTGAATAATATTTATTCTAATTCAAATTGTATCGTAGAGCTACAGCCTATTTGACCTACATAGTCTGTTGATTCTTTTTTGGAATAATATTGTTTCTAATTCAAATTTATAAAGATACGGCCTATTTGCACTGCTGTAGCACAGAGAACAGTAACGTAAACTCATAATGAGTTTACGTTACTGTTCTGTGTTATCAGATAACATTGCCGTACATTTGTTTTTTAATTTTCTTACCTCTTTGTTACATATTTTATGTTCATGTACTGTTTGCTTATTTTGTTGTATATGATTAAATGATGTTGAACTATCATAAAAAGCGCAAACGGCGATCATTACAATCAATTTATATTTTAAACTAGCTGTACTCGCGATTTCGTCCGCGTGAAATTTTACTTTATTTTTCTATAATAAAAGTAGCCTAAGTTACACATTATTACATCAGCTACCTGCCAAAAAAAGTATCGTCAAAATCGGTCCAGCCATTTCAGAGATTAGCCGGAACAAACAGACAGACAGAAGAAATTGTAAAAAATGTCATTTTGCTGTAAGTGCCGTATTTATATACATATGCAAGTAGTAAAAAATGGTTATTTCAATATTACAAACAGACACTCATTTATATTATCCATAGCTATAAATAAAATTTATTTAGATGTATAGATAATATCAATCAGTTATTACCTGCTTCTTTATATGTTAGCCTTTTATTTAATATCTTACCTTTACTATCTTTTTATAAACCTATTTCAGTTGATCTATAACAGTTTTTAAACAACACTTTGCACTAAATATCTGAATGCATACATATACTATATACATACATTAACATACTCATAAAACTTTACACGTTTATTTCTAGCAGTAAAAATTAAACATTTCAGATATTAAATGTTAATTTACACGTAAAAGAAAATCATAACCTCACTGACAACTGTTGAGTTGCATACACGAATCGTAATAAAATTATGAATTAACAAATTTATGGAATAAAAAGTGTTCTTTAATCATTTATATAAACATAATTGTAATAAAATATAAATTTTATTATATTTTTTATTGCAGTTTGAATACATTATGCAAGTATGTAAATTTGTTGATTATTTTATTCCGTGTTTATTGAGTAGGTTTAAAGCAGGAATGTTATGGATATGAAATTTCGGATACGGATAGGTTTCGGATATAGGAATGATTATTATACCGGATACGGATACGGATTATTTCGGATTATCCGTTAGTTTCGGATAATTTCGGTTACGGATATTATTTTTTTTAGGAATTTCAAAAGTAAAATACAAATAACTAATAAAATAGTTATATAATGTATCTCAATTAGGCTCCGCCCCTATCCGATATTATCCGACACATTTATTTCGGATTCGTTTACGGTTACGGATATTTTTCATATCGGATATCCGATAGTTTCGGTTACGGTTACGGAGCTCCTTAACATCACTAGTTTAAAGTTTTATTACAATAAAATACCAAGAATAAAATAATAATAGATTGATTTGGTTTGGGTATGTTATACGGTTGAGTTTTTTTTTATAGAGGATAATAAAGTAGTCACCTGTGCTACGGTATGGTGATGGCGGAACATCAGTGGAGGGTAAAATGAGCGTCAAGTCAGCCAATTAGCTCATCTTGGTAAATAGCAATTTACCAGGTTATTTTGTTTCAGGAGGAACCACGTGGAGGTACACCTGACATGGTACATTGCTAGCAATTGCTACCAATCCACATCCTCGTAAGTAAGTAAAGGGTATTTATTATAAGATCTGTAATTTTGTAGGATCTGAATGTTGGGCCGTAAAGAGGACTGACCAAAAGGAGTGTGCATGTTGCAGAAATGCGAATGTTGAGATGGTTGAGGTAACCAGGAATGAAAAAATAAGGAGTGTGTATCTACGAGGTAGTTTGAAAGTTGCGTCAATTATAGACACATTGCGAGGTAACAGATTGAGTTAGTATGAGCATGGTATGCGAAGGAGCGAGGATCGTGTCTTAAAGAAATTATTTAACATGGACGTGGATAGATAAAAGGGGAGAGGACTACAGAAAAAAGGATGGATGGATTGTGTGAAAAATGATATTTAAATTATATGACGAGCGTGCATGGCAATAGTTGTTCATGCACGGGATTTTCATTTAATGTTAGACATAGACACTTACATAAGAACACATTGTAAATGAACTGTCTTTAAAAAAATACAGTTATGTTTCTTGCCAGTTCTTCTCAATTGAATCTACAGTGACTCACAAAAATGCCCCAATGATGTGTAGCTCGACACAAAAAGTAGTCAAACTCAATAAATTCAATAGATGCACAGCTGATACTTTAGTATGTAATAGTGCTCCCATTGAGCTATTAAACAATATAAGTTGCATGATTATTACTAAACTAGTTATGACATTACAATGATTACAAAGTTAAAAACGCATTGGGGCATTTTTGACCGTTTGATCAAATTTCACAACATCTCATTTTATTTCCTCATTTCAGTATTTTGTATGTCCCCCACGAGCTCGGAGAAGCGCCTGCACCCGCTCTGGCATACTGTCGATCAGTCTACTGCAATCTTCCTTGCTTACCTCATTCCAGATTCTCTGAAACTTAGCCCACATCTGGTCTTTGTTTTTCGGTCGTCTTGGGTCAATTGCAAGACGAATCTTGACCTTCTGCCACATGTGCTCGATTGGATTCATGTCGGGAGATTGCGGAGGCCATGCCAGAACCTTTAGACGCAGGTCTCGGAGACATTTTCGGGTCGCCAAAACTGTATGCTTTGGGTCATTATCGTGCTGAAAGATGACGCGTGACTTTTCAAAGCCATACCATTCAATGGTCTGGAGAAGTTCCTCTTTAAGGATGCCTTGATAGAGCACCGAGTTCATATTTCCAATGATGATCCTAGTAATATATCCGGGGCCATCGGCAGTGATACAGCCCCATACCATGATATTTCCTCCGCCATGCTTCAGCGTCGACTCAATGACGCGGGTCTCTAGCGTTTTACCTGGTCGTTTCCAGCACCACTTGCGG